CCACTGCTTAGCGGCACCAGCCGTCAAGTAGAACGCAAACCGTTCATTTTTGGTTTTGTCCAGCCAATTCGACATGGTCGCTGCTTCTTCAAACTCCTTCATCCATTCACGAGCGTTATGCTCTGAAGGCTTGAATTTATCGCACTGCAGCGGACCACTTACTGGAGCGTCTGTTGCGACCTTTACAAGACTCTGTAGGCCATCAGTAAGTGCTTTAACTTGTGCATCCATATTGACACTTTCAGTATTATTAACGTCAAGGAGAACCGTTGCAGTACGTTCTGGTATATCGGTCAAGAAAGGTGACTGTGTACCTGTCTCAACGAGTGGCGAAGCGTCACTTTCAAGTATAACAGCCGACTGTGTTGAGCTTAATGCGGTAACAGGCTCATCGTCATCTGATATTAATTCTTCATCAGATTTGATTTCGCCCTGGGCACGCCTGACCTTTTTCGGTTTTGGCAATTCGCCTTCTGCAAACTCTGCTTGACCGTCTGAACGCAACGTCCGTCCTCCGGCTTTTTTAATATGTCTGCTTCTGTATACGGAAAAGTCTGTGTAGCAGCTTTCGAACTTGAAGCTACAGTTATTGAACTTGCGACAGGCTTATCTGCTGCTGCAGTTGCAACTGACTTATCTGCTTTCTTAGTTAGCGGTTGCGTTGATTTACCGCTCTTGTCGGACATTAACGTCGACAATTATTTAACCAAGAATAGCATTACAAATAATGTTGGATTGCGCCTGGTGCAGCATGTATCCCAACACGACATTAGCAGTCAAACTACCAGCAGATAAGAGAATTAACAGTTGAGTTGACCACGAGCAACAGCTCATCAACTTTCTGATCGGTGCTACTATACAGTTCAAAACTTTACACATTTTGAACAAAAGCAACAACCAAATATTGTACGATATGCGATTCTTGTACGAATATTACATTCAAAAGAACTATCCGCTGAATAACGGAATCACATACCCAAAGCCGCTTCCACCGCCTTTAAACGTTCATTACAGGTGTCGTAAAGATGGGTATAAAATGGATCAATAACGGGAGCCGTCATATCGACTGAGAACAGAAAGGTCACCGGGCTATTACGGTTGCTAAACGCATCCACCCAGGAGCGCCATAATATATGATCGTTTCTCCTACACTATACGTAACGGAGAATACCGCCAAATCCCATCAATGATCTTTACTGTAGCCGCACACGATAGATAATGATTCGCTCAATCACAACTTCATCATGGCGCTGAGAAATCAGCATAGAAAACAGACGTCTTTAGACACAGATAGCTACGTGAAGATAGTTCACAACAATTGCATAAACGCCGGATTACGCCGGTGAGCAACACTGTATACATGATTATGCGTCACACAGCATAACCGGCAGGAAGGTGTATGACTTGATGGTGAATGTTCAGGAAATCGCCATCATTTTCCTGCCGAATTCAGGCAGAAATTTGGACGATTGATTCCCTAATTCGCCGGAGAGCGTCCGCTTTTCTGCCGCACTATTGGCGGCGTCAGTTGATCCAACAATACCATACTGAGTGCGTTCTTGCCCATTGTGAGATCACTGAATGCCGCCAGCTCGGCAGATGGGTGAAACCGTGAAGGACTCGTCCACCAATCTGCGGAACTGCGGTTGGAAGGTGATTGGCACTGGATGTTTCATATAATGTCCACCACCTCAAAATCCCGAGTTCAATACCTTGAACGCCCCGCTCGAACGGGCCCTTCTCACAGCAAAGCCCCGGCTGTACGTGGAACGGGAAACCAGCGGTACTAGCTTCTTAAAATATTTGGGAGCAAACTGCGGCAGTACTGATTCCCGCTGGCAAAGGTGACCAATTTGTGATATTTACGCTTATGACGTCTCTACGTTATAATGTCATACAGACGCTAGATTGTAATTGTCTGTCGACGATGCTAAGAAAAACCCAGTATGCATTCTCTAAAAATAAATAAGTTAACCTGAACTGGTGAAAAAAGTCCCGGTTGTTCTGAATCCATGCCTGCATATGAATCATGGGACGCCACTTTCCCGTGGGGAACAGCGCGGTGTTCTCTGCGTACAGCGGATACCGATCATCCAGGTTGACGTTCTTCACTTGATTCCAGTGATCCGACAGGGTCCGCAGCAGCACCCGATCCTTATCAGGCACGTACTCTTTACAGTCTGAATCTTCGTAATTATCACGGGATAAACCAAACCATCCGATTTCTCTGACAGTCGAATGCTGGCACGATAGAAAGTCTCTGGTGTAACTGAAGACCGAAAACTGGCCTACATCCGCCATATTTTGGCATATGATCGTTCGACTCAGCAAACACAATCGGGATATTAAGTAAATGAGGTATTCGATAACTACACTGAAAAACCGGACATCAGTTTTTTTATGCCAAAAATTGTGAAGATGGCTTTTTCAAATGTCCCGGTTGTACATCAAAATGGCTACGCTACACATCTGAAAAGCACACAACCGACCCCTTATAAACGCACAGTCGAAATCCTAGCGCCGCCTGATGGAAGAGATTGTCCCATGAGCCGAGCCAGCAGCAATATCTTTGCTCAGTCGCAGAGAATGGAACGAGTACAGAAGGGAAAAAGGCGTTGGGCGGCCGTTGGCCACCGCAGTCTACACGACTTGAAGTTTTATTCTGACGGGCGGTGGTTATCCACATAATCTGAACCACTTAATTTTTTCTCCGGTGTTTTTTATTCGCGTTAGTAGCAACAAAATTTTTCACACTTTCTACATAAATCGTGAGAAACTAAACACAAGCGAGTTACACAACATCTACAAACACAAGCGGGCGAATGGCAAAGAATATTTTGTCTAAATTCGCGCCGGTGGTGCAGTTCCCATTATAGATGCTGCGTTTCCCCGCTGAATTTCGATGCTGATCCTTTGACGCAGAAACTCTAGTGCTCGCGGTTCGCCTGACTGCTGCTGGATCATCTTTCCTAGCACGTTCAGCAGCTGGGTGGTTTCTGGTCCGAATGTTCCGTAGGTCTCGAAAGCCAGTGGTCTGAACCAGTAATCCTGGGTGGTGTTGCGGTATTTCTCGGTCTTGCTCCGCTCGGCTAGCGCTGCTGCCGCTTCGGCTCGAGTGGATGTGGCTGCGATGTATGACAAGGCCATGGTGCTGCGGCAGGTTACATCCCAGGCCAGCGCCTTTCCTCTTTCCCACGGGGAAATCGTCACTCCGTCCGGTCGTTTGCCATCTGTACGGAAGATTCCGGGAGGTTCCAGCTCAGTTTCAATTCCGGCCAATGCAAAGGCGCGCTTAATTACCGCTTTGAGGCTTTCATGGATCGGTCTCCGTCCGGCACTGAACTTGCAACTTGAACCATGATATCGATGCTCATCCGCTTGGTCACCGCAAATGCACTGGTGTGGTGTGCATACCGGTGCACCAAGGCGCAGCGCTACAGCTGTCCTTAGGCTGGAGTCGTTCAGTAAGTTTCCAAGGGATGCTGCCGGTAGTGCTTGGAGCCATGCGCCCGCCTCTTTGGTGCTGACTGCCAGCATCCGCGCCTGGATGGCGATATCGTCTTCAAAAGCCCGCTCCAACAGTCTCAGTTGTGACCATATAATAGGTTCGTCCCACGTTTTCTGCATTCCCCGAACTTCAGGTGGTGGCGCGTCTTGATTCGCCATCTGCTGCCATTTGGTGGTTGGTTCACTGCAATACGTCTCCGGCTGGAAATTCGTAATGGCGGAGGCTCAGGGATCTACTGAATAAGCCGAGGCCAGAAAGGCCGGCAGTGCTAGCTTTACAATGCTCCTAATGCCCAAACCACCTCTTGAAACCGGAAGGGACGCTTGCGTCCAAATCACGTCGGTGATAGCAGTGTTAGTTATTTTGGACAGGCTATCGCGTATCATGGTGTCGAATTCAGCCAGCAAGGGTTCCTGCAAGTAACATTGGCCGGTACGCAGTTTGTAAAGCAGCATTACCGGTCCCATACTGCATCGCAGTAGATAGAGTGCCTGGTGGGCTGGTACAGTTTGCAGACGTTCAGTCATACGGGCGGCTACCTCCGTTGCACTGACGAGCGCCCCGGTAACGGCATCGTCATGAAGTGGGGCGCCAAGGTACTGCAAACCCTTCAACGACGGGCACTTCAGGTCAGGAAATGACTGGAGAAAGGCAGCCGTAACCGAACCGCGGTCTGCTTCGGTTCCCTCAACCACCACTAGCTCACATTTAGCAATGTTTAGTACCAGTCCACGTTTTTCCAAGTCTTCTTTCAGCGTACACAAGTCGTCAAAAACATCGTCTTGCTGTCCTCCCAGAGCGTCATCATCCAGAAAGCTTTCGCGGAAAGCTGATTTAAGATGCTTATACGAGCCAACTGTTGACAGACAATACAGTAGCGGGCCGAGGGGGTCACCATGTTGGATACCCGCCTGAGACGATATACGGTTAGCACCATGGATCAACAAAGACGGCGTGCCATAACACTGCCATATATATGGACAATAGTCTGACAAAAATTCTTTAGTGGATTCCAGGATGCAGTTTCTGTCGAGAGAATTAAACGCATTTTTTACGTCTAACTTCAGGAATACCTGAGGCCTGTCGCATTTCAAACCGTCTTCAATGAAGGATCTGGCGCCATGGACGGCTGCTTCAACGCCTCCTTTGGTAGCAAAACCTAGCTGAAATGGTTGCAGAATGTTTGATAAATGGCGTGAGCGGAACGGAACGTCTGCCTATAATGCTCGTTACGTTACGTTCACTACGTCAATGGGATAAATGGAATCACCAACATAATAAGGAGTTTATTACTGTTAGACACTTATTTTTTTGTTTACGCATTGCTGCACTAATAATTACCAAAAATCGCAGTTCTTCGTGACCAAGGTTTCAAAGTGATCAAAGGTGTGCCAATAATGCTTCGTTGTCAGAGCCTAAGCAACATGAAAGTTCAACTACGCAAAGCCACACCAAAAATGAATTCTTTGCACACCGGTCGAGATTTTTGGTACATACAGTACAGCGTACAGTCTGCCATCAAGAATCTTACTGAAAGCGTTTTGCTGTTTTTAATAATTATTACGACACAACAACGGAACGGTGGGGGCAATCAAATCAAGACTGGGGTTTGAGACCGGACAAACCAAATCAAGTCTAGATAGACAGCAATCAGAACAGTGGATTTTGCTCGTTTATTTTAGTTTGCTTTGGTCCTGTCTCCTGTGAGGGCCATCTATTTAACGGACTGCCGGAGGAAGGGGTGCCGCACCAGCTGGATACGGTGACGGAGCGTAGGTCTGGGTAGGATACGGCACCGGAGCACCCGGTTGGGATACTGTTACGACCGGTGCGGAGTAGGCGTTATTGGTAAAGGCCACTTTATTGGTGACAGTTGTGCGTGGCCGGCGTTTAGCGCAAGCAACAATGATCCCGATGACAATGGCCACAAAAGCCACACAACCGATGACGATTCCGGCAATCGCTCCACCCTCCAGTGCTAAAACAATCAAAGCCGGGCTTTTTTAATCTGAGTGGATTTCTCGTTTTCAAACGCGATGCATCCTGCATACTGAATTTTCAAAAGACTTTTTCAGTAATTTCTGGAACAGGTAGCAAAAAACATTCGGAACGACGAAACAAGCGCTTACACCCGAATATTCCTCCACCATCGTGTGCTGCCAGGATCAGCAATTCCATTTTTAAAATCTTTGTGAATAAACTTTATCAAACGCGACACTTTCTGAGTAAAGAATTATCGAACGACGTTTTCCAAAAATTTAAATAAAGTTAGCAACCAATATTCTGAACGATGAAAAAACTTACAGCAGCTTTGTCGATACATTGCCGGATCCATACTGTACACTGAGGCTGAATAGGAACTAGGACAGTTGACGCGGTCGTTGCTGGTGTCGCAGATAAAACTGTCACTGACATATCCGCTTAGGGCGCTGCAGTACGTATTTTTTGATACACTGATATCTACGACAGAGCATCACGCCCAGTTAATTTTGCATAGATTTTCCAAGTCAACGTTCATGCATTCACTTCTTTTAGAATTACCCGAGACAAGAACGTAGTCGAATACGACCTGGTGGCTGGATGTGGGAGGATAGAAGCGAGAGGGGGTGAATTCAATGGAAATTTCCGGTCGGCTAGTCGATCTGGACAGATACTGACCGGCCGATGTGGGATTAGAATACTGCGGCTGACTGCCTCCATTCCACTGTTTGCCCAGGGTGCGACTGCTGGATGTGTCGTAAATTTCCATCGTCGAGCTGGTTGGCATTTTAGATTCTCTATTCAACAAAAAGACGAAATACTGAAATGTCATTTTGGAAAGAAAATGTTTATATTTTTCAACAATTAATTACTGTCAGTAGTATTTAAGAAGACTTATCCGGCACTATGGATGTTTTGTGCTGCAATTCTTGTTTCACACTTTAGCCTACAGTGTCACTTTCTGAACGTTCAAATTCTTACACTTGCTTAAATTTTTGTAATTTAATAGCCTATCTGAATGCTGTTCCAGTGGGGTGGCGAAGGCAACAGATTAGGAAAAGGTTGAACAAGTAGATGCAAGCTTTAGCAAGCTGAGTTCAAGACAGAATTCTAGAAATTCATGAGGAGAACTAGCCGGTGAGGTGTACGGAATTCATAACGCGATGGAATGACGAATCATAACTGGGTGATCTTATCGGTTGTACAAATACTATCGCTACAATATGTTTCGCCTGTGAAAATGATAAAATAAGAGTACAGTATTACAGCTGCTGATTACAATAGATCCGTCTACGGCGTCCCTTGATATACGGTCCGTGCAAGAATCCGGTAGCCACCTTAGCCTTACTGTCGCTTACGAACGAATTTTAATGAAATGGCATACTTTATTTATTATGTGCATACATCTGTTTACGGAACTTTCACTTCGACAAGCTTACCTTATATTGAGGTAAATTTTAAAATATTGATTGCACGATCCATAGTAGCAGTTGGTCAGAGTCACAGTCACTTTGCACGTCGTGCTTGGCATATACCAAAACCGGATAGTACCGGCTTCGCCTGACGAGTACGGGCGGTTAATGCTCAGGGTCCTGCCGCAATAATCCTCCAGATTCTCTAAAATATTATATCCTATGTTGTAGAAAGTTCAAGAAATGAGCGTTAAAGGCACAGACATTACATACTAGTGGAAGTATAAGATGCGGCATGGATTACGGGAGCAAACAGACATGTTAAAAAGATGGCAGCTGCTGATACTCCTACGGCTGTCATGGTAGCACAAAATTAGATGGTTTGCGTAAATCTGGATTTTCTGTAGTCAAAAGGAAACAAGAAATGAAAATGTGATGTCGCGTGTCACCCCGGAAGAGTTAACACTGATTCTCTCTATCTCTGCTGCATGGTATGTATCAGCAAAAATATAACGAACAATCGCACTAGACAGTACTTGTCTTCTATTTCAAGCCGTTAAGTGCAGAAGAGATAAGACAAGACTACGCAACAATATCATCGCACGATTAGCATAATGATTCATGCAACTGTTGCGCTGTGCACACTATGTAAGTACTGTACTTGGTTGCGCACATGCGCTATTATTATTCAAAGTAAATTTCCGTAAGCAAACCTAAGGTTCATATGCATTTTCTAGTCGGAACATTTATTTGAGTTGATGACAAATCACAACTATACTAGCAACTGTCAAATATCAGCAGCCCGCTTGTATTTGCGGTACGACTGCTGCGCACGTATCTGTTACTCATCATTCTGCTGTGAGTCACAGCCTGTGACTAAAGAAAAAAGCTGAAAATTAATGTGATACCGCCACTGATAACGGATACAAGTGTATAAGAAAATACCAAATCTTAGAGCAGTGTGAATTCTGAAATAAATCTGGCTTATGTTAACACTAAATGACGAACTACAGGTACAACGTAATTAAACAGTTTACTGCAGTGTGTTACGGTTATTAGCTCAGGATTTTAACGAGTTGATGAGCGGCCATGAATGCGAGCATGAATTATAAAACCTAGCTCTACAGCTCCGTTTTATAATTTAGCAACTGATTCTCCATCTGACCTATGCGCGGGGCGTTATCAGTGAATCTGTATGACTCATAAATCAGTGCATCAATTTTGCGCACTCATCTGTATTCGGCCTACTACCCGGGTAGGGTAGATACTCGCACAACTCGCATCAGAATCCCAATACGTGGTATATTTGACAGAATGATAATAAAGCAAACTTGACGCGCATTGTAGAATTGTCCGTGGATCACCGATAAACAACGCAATCATCTTCAGTGGCTATAAAATTTGTATGACTTTACTACAGCAGAATAATTCGCAAAATTGATGTCGCAGTAGAAGGTCGGCAGCTAAACTGTGTACTCGTAGTAGAAGTAGCGCAGCTGCAACGTGCATGTTTTGGTTCACCATAAAAAAAATCTAACTTGTGATGAAGAGAAGAATCGCGCAGTGAACAGACGAATTTTATACGAAAGTACGCTTAGATCCTACTGTGAAGTACCACGATAATTCGATAAAATGTTATCCGCACATACTTTGATTGACAGCAGACTAACTGTAAATAAATAAAAACAGGAATAACACAACAACAGTTGCTAGGTTATTACTCCGGCTTGAGAACTGCCTTCATTCTGACTTCCGGTTTCGTCGCCTTTCCAGTAGTGACAGCTGGCTTCCAATCAGCCTTTTCCGTTGAAGAAATCGTTTCCGGTTGCACTTGCGGCCTCGCATCCAGCGATGCGGTCGGCGAATTACCTGCAACAAAACGTAAGATCGGCTGCGTCGCAGCCTCCGTTTCCCTTCGTCGTACTCCGCCTTGGTGTAAAGCATGGACGCGGCAACATTCGCCAAAGTTGCTGTAAGCCTAAACCGCACCACAACCACTTTTCGAAGCGACTGTTGTAGACAAGGGAGGCGTATGCACTGATCCGCAACACTTTTTTTGTAGTCTGTTAATCTTCAGCAACAACGACAACAGCACGAACAAGAACAACAAAAAGAGCAATAACAACGACAGCGACTCACGATTATCTCGGTAAGCAACATATGAATAATTCATCCTACTGTAACCTGATGTTAGAATTTTATCCGGTGTATTGCAGTGCCCACTCATGGCGCGGTTAGTGGCGGTGCCACTGCCGGCATAGTTATCGGATGTGTGGCGTTTGTGGCCATTGTCATTGGCATCACTGTCGCTTGCGCCCATCGTGGACCGCAGGCGACGGTGCAGAATGCGGCTTTCACCTATAACGCCCATTCAGTTACACCACCGGTGGTCTTTATACAGCAAGGCGGACCGCCGCCGTATCCTTATCCTGCCCAGGTTTACGCCCCGGGGCCGTAACCGGGAACTATGCCACAACCAGCAATAGTCGCAACGACAACGACGACAACTAATTAAGGAACTTAATTCAATTACTTAGCATAGTCACAGACATAGAATCACAGCTGGTGCCACGCAAAAATTCGGATCGGGATGCAATCTACATCGAAAGTCATCAATATACTGTATTACTGTGTTCTTCTTGTAGAAAACCCAACTTTCCACAAAAATTCCAAGATGGAACTCTACATCCATCTTCTGATAACCTCAGATATGACAATTGATGACAATCGACTTGCAGCAAAATCACCGACTGCATTATTCGTATTAATCGTGCTTGCGTACTTCTGCGCCTTCCGTTGATTTTAAAGTTTGCTTTACTGCAAGATTAGAACTGCTACAGAGTCAGGTTTTAATTTCAGACACCGATTATCGGCGTATCAAACAACAGCCGACGCAGCTTCTACTTGATCCCATTTGCGCAGTATGTTATTCGCTTCGAAATCAGCGGACCCGGCACACCATTCCGTTGCTCGTACGGTTGCGGTAGATCGGTTGCTGAAGTCCACAATGAATCCATAGGCGGAACTGTCACAGTGAAACGTAGCAGTTACACAGGAATTCGTCGATGAGCAATGATTGTACGTACCGTTCGTAGTCCTGTTGCACAGTATTTCGCACAAATTTCAGAAAGTCATTGAGGAAGCTGACGTTGCGTTCCTTATTCCAGTGCTGGCAGTTACGATGTCGGCTTCCACACAGCAGGATGAATTTTTGTGTCTCAAATCAATGCACATACTTAACCGAACACGCTTGCAATTACTCTAAATCTGAGCGTATCGAAAATTCAAACGTGTAGTTCGTACTGACAGTAGCGCTATCCGGAATCCGGGCGACTTCAGTCATCGCACAGTTGATAAGTAAATTATCACGTTTCCGCCCCACAAGCACCCGCGGCGAGCCGCTGACGAAACATTTGCTCCATAAGCTTCTTTCAGCATTTTGGTGTTTCCTGCAAGTTTGCAACGCAGCGTCATCAGCACTGGCCATATTCAACTTGAAAAACGACATGACTTAAAATCACTCGTGAGCAACTTCGGTCCCGTCCCTTCTTACCAGGTGCAACGGTTGTCGTGCGGCGCCGCTGCCTTGTCTTCAGTAAACAGTAAGGACATGTAGTTCTCTGGCGAAGTCGTCCTAGCCAGCCGCGGATTAACACTGTCGACTTTCTGGGAATAGAGTACGCGCGTGTCGCCGATGGTGCGACCAATAACAGAATAGAAGTACTCGAATGAAGAGAAGTCATCGACTTCAGTGCCCGCACCTCGGGTTACTAGCTGCTCAAATCGATGCAACCTGCAACCGAAAAATCTCCCGTTTGCATATCGGTACTTCTTTCGTAGTAATATTAAGTACAAGATCTATACTACGCGCGGCGCCCCATAGTTTTGAGATCACTATAACCATAAAACTTCTGGAAAAACGGACAACGCCATTAGATCCGGGATAGTTTAGAAGTGGCCGGCATGTGTTTTTTTATGAAAATATCGAGCCGGCATCAAGCCGGCATCAAGACCAGATTGCTCCAACCCATCTTAAAGGTCACCTTGAAACTTAGAAATATTTGCCTAGATACAATACAAAATAACTCGTCAGCTGCGTGGATTGATCTGCTGTTATTCGGATCAAGAGCACTCTCCTCACCTGCTGCGAAATCCCTACGGAAGGAGTCCCTTTCCACAGTTATCCGCAAGAACCTGGCCGACTTATTATGCCATCATCATCCTCCTCGCCAGCGCAATATTCGCGTTGAATCTCATAAAAGCGAACTGAACGAGGAGCGTCTAACGGCCTTGGCCACATCCCTGTTGCAGGATAACAATGTTCGACGGGCTGTAGGAGTGGTTATGGGGGAAGATGCACTGGCTCCCCTGAACGCCGACACTCTGGAGGCTGTACGCAGCAAGCACCCACCCGAGCCCGAAGACAGCGATTATCCACCCCCGCCCGACCACTCATTAAAGCCCCCACTTGCCACTCCAGCGGAAGTTTTCAAAGCTGTCTTCAGCTTTCCCTCAGGATCTGCTGGTGGCTGCTCGGATTTACGGCCGCAGCACCTTAAAGATATGATGTGCGGGCCTGGTGGGGAAGAGAGCGAGTTATGTTCTGCCTTAACAGATTTCGTCAATCATGTGCTACAAAACGACGTCCCTGAAGACATCCGACCGTTCTTTTTCGGCGCCAACCTCATCCCGTTGGCCAAAAAAGATGGCGGCATCCGTCCCATTGCGGTTGGTGAAACTTTTCGGCGCTTGGTTTCGAAAGTTGTGAGTTATAGCTGCACTGAGCGGATGAAGGAATTGTGTAAGAACGTGCAGTTTGGTTTCGGGACGAAGGGCGGAGCTGAAGCAATTATCCACGGGGTCCGGGCCTATATGGAAACCCCACACGCAGGACCGCGCGTAATTGTGAAACTCGACTTCAAAAACGCGTTCAACCTTCTGAGACGGGATACACTGCTGCAAGCTGTTCGTCAACATTTCCCTGCGTATTATGGTTATTTCTGGCAATCCTACCGCTACAGCAGCCATTTGGTCTGTGGTGAAGAAACGCTGACGTCCGCCCGCGGAGTGCAACAGGGTGACCCGTCGGGTCCCTTTGGGTACAGCCTAGCCACGCTACCGCTGTTCGATGATTTAGATTGCGAACTGCTTCTGGCCTTCCTTGACGACGTGACAATGGCTGGCACAGTAGAAAAAGTAATGGCTGCCATAAAACGAATTGAAGAACGGGCCGCGAAAATGGGTTTAGAATTAAACTTCAGCAAGTGCGAATTCTTTCCCATCGTAACATGTGATGCAGATGACTCCATGATCCGTGCAACATTATTAAGCACTTGGCCAGATATGATTCAGCTCAGTCCCGACAACTTCACTTTGTTGGGAGCACCGATGACCTTCTCAGCGTGCGCGAGATTTTTAACTGGAAAAACGGAGGAACTAAAGAATTTTGTACAACGATTGAAGAAATTACCGGCACACTACAGTTTATTTCTCCTTAAAAATTGCCTCAGCGTTCCTAAGGTTTTGTACGGACTGCGCAGTTCTCGTGGTTTTGAACACCTTGACTTGCTGAAAGAATACGATAGCTGTCTACGGGTGGGGGTGGAGCAGTTGGTCAACGTGAAGATTTCCGAAGCGCAATGGACTCAGATATCTCTTCCAGTACGGCGTGGTGGTTTGGGGACACGACGCATTGAGACATTAGCTGTTTGTGCCTACTTGGCATCGGTGTACTCTGTGCTGCCTATGGTTTCCGAATTCTACCAGCCTTCTGAAGAGTGCCTGACAAAAACCGCTGTGGAATCTTGGATCCAACTGACGCAGGGCGAAATTCCCCCGGAATGTGTTCGGAAGTTTCAGTACGCCTGGGACACGCCAGTGATCGAACGGGACATATCCACGTTAATGTCGTCTACCGAAGGTAATGAGCGCGCCAGGGCGGTTTTGCTGTCAGCTTTAAACAGAGATTCGGGAGCCTGGCTGAATGCATTACCCGCACCTTGTTTGGGGACATTCCTGAGGGATGAAGATGTACGTATTGGTGTTGGTTTGCGATTTGGTTTACCAGTAGTGGTGGCGCACAACTGTAACGCATGTGGTAAACAAGTCGAAAACAACGGTCATCATGGACTATCCTGCAACAAAACGACTAAAGGACGATGGGCGAGACATAAAGAAATGAACAGCATCGCGAAAAACTGTTGTGAAAGCGCTGGTTTTCCTTGTGAGATCGAACCGAACGGCTTGTCATCAACCACCGCAAAAAGACCGGACGGGATGACACTGATACCAGTTAGACAAGGAAAACCGATCGTTTGGGATGTAACCAGCTGGTGTACGGTTGCTGACTCTCATGTCACTGGAAGCTCAAGAAATGTGGCAGCGTAGCCCAGCTGGCTGAAACTGCGAAGCGTGGAAAGTATTCGTTTTTGGAATACGGATATCTTTTCTACCCTCTAGTAATGGAAACCCTTGGAGTATTTGGTCCGGCTTTAAGTGAATTTTTACATTTTATGGGTCGCAAAATTCGGGATTTGACAGGAGAAGCGCGTTCTACCGCTTTCCTTAAGCAGCGATTCAGCCTTGCTGTTGTCAAAGGAAATGCTACGGCTGTTTTGAGTACGTTACCTTTTAACCCGAGGGAGGACCGGGAATTTGGTTGTTTTTTTAATGTTTAAATTCTAACGATTAAGTAGGGTGTCAGCGCATGCATCTTTTGTTATTTGGGTGGCTATTGCCAATAAAGATACAAAATACCAACTAACACAAATATCACACTAATTAAACCGAAAAATAAATAAATTATTGTACTTATTCAAACACTCGCGTTATTGAAACATTGCTGCCGGTGTTGCCGAGCTCGAAACACGTTTAAAATCAACCGATATAAAATGTAAAAATATCAAATATAAATCAATACGAAAAATCACTGGACGAGTGAGTGACCGAAACACTATCACCGACCACTGAGCGGAATCTCTAGATGAGTGGGTGACCGAGCTACCACCACTGACCAGTAAGAAAAATCACTAGACAAGTGAGTGACCGAAACACCATTACTGCCCACTGAGCGGAATTTCTAGGTGAGTGAGTCATCGAGCGGGCTTTGCTCTTCCTCACCTAACGGGCTCTGTGCACTGGACAGTAGTTGTAGCAGGGTCACATCCTCACCTAGCGATTTTCTCCTTACCTAGCGATATTTCTTACTGGACAGGTTGAGCTCGGTCAGTCCTCTCACCTATTGATTGAGTGCGTCAAAAAATCGCTAGGTGAGTACGTTACCGAGCTACCACCACTGTCCAGTGCTCAGAACCCGTTAGGTGAAAGAGTACCGAGATACCACTACTGTCCAGTGCACAAACTCCGTTAAGTGATTTAGTGACCGAGCTACCATTACTGTCCAGTGCATAGATCCCGTTAGGAAGATGGGTGACCGAGCTACCAATACTGCCCAGCGCACAGAGCCCGTTAGGTGAACGCGTGACCGAGCTAACACTACTGTCCAGTGCCCGAACTCCGTTAAGTGATCTAGTGACCAAGCTCCACTACTGTCTAGTGCATAGATCCCGTTAGGTAGATGGATGACCGAGCTATCAATACTGTCCAGTGCATAGATCCCGTTAGGTGAACGCGTGACCGAGCTACCACTACTGTCCAGTGCATAGATCCCGTTAGGTAGGTGGGTGACCGAGCTACCAAAGCTATCCAGTGCACAGAGCCCGTTAGGTGAACGTATGACCAAACTGCAATATTACTGAGCAAAATAGAGCAGGGCCTGCTAAGTTCTTAATGGGTGACCTATCTAGCACCACTGTCCAGTCTTAGCGTCCTTTTAGTTTGTAATGTGATACTCTCGTGGGTAATTAGATTCGGATGGTTTTCGCTAAGAAAATTTAACAAAAAATATCTGTAAAGTCAAAGTAATTGCGTGCGACTGCACGAAACCAAAACATCCATTTTTTTATAAAATTTTTGTTATCGGGCTCTTCAGATTTAACCGTACTAAGTTAACAATCCGTAAACCGGCCAAAGAGTTTAGAACCCAAGAAACGCGGAGGCGAAGCCGAGGCTGTTTCTTGTATCGCAATATTGTGAGGTTTTTTACCGGTATGACTTCTGATAGTTGACTGGGCGCCTGTCATCCGGGAGATCGAATTTCGCACATGTCAGGTAAATAATGCCTCGGCGTTTGCAGGCCACGAACGACTCGTTGAATGTCCTGTGGCCACAGGTGTTTGGAATGTCCAGGGCTTGTCTTAGCGCACGAGAGGAACAAATAATATTCGGTCTGTGCGACGAGAATACAAAGTTAAGTGCACCGAAAAATCGAAATAGAACTGCAACGGGATATCATTGTAAGTTTTCGTAATTCAAGCCAGTTCGTAAAATAGCTGTATTTAAAAAAAAACAAGTAATTGGTTGTCGATTTATTTTTAAGCTAGGTTTCGAACTAACTGCTTTTTGTTAACCGTTTGGAAACACCGATTACGCCTTCGCCAATTGCGCAGTTTGATCACCTAAACTTGTTGAAGACGTCGGGATTCTTTTTCATCCATGTTTGCATATGGAACAAGGGTCGCCAGTTGCCGGTTGGAAATTCAGCAGCTCGGCGAGCATACTGCTGATATTGGTCGTCCAGATCGATGTTCCGCACGTTTTCCCATTGTGGCGAGAGGACTCGCAAAAATCGCCGTTCTGGATCATCAACGTACACTTTGCAGTCCGGGTCTTCATACTCATTAACCAAACCGAACGACCCCAGTTCGGCAACGGGAGACGCTTGGCAGGGAACGAAGTCTGCAGTGTAACGAACGGCTGATAGCTGTTGTGTCATGATTAACTTGACACCGTAATATTTCTCGAAAATCTAGAAGGATATTTGGGTAAACCGCCAAAAAAGCGCCTGGATAACTGACAGTGCTTGAAGAATTTGCAACAGTCGCTGACGAAGCTGTCTCAGTTCAAAAAAGATTTCTCCAGTGATTGATGCTTATATATAAATGCTAAATGCTTATATATAAATTCGGCACAATAGTAATTTATTAGGAGACAGGCTGCTGCGTAACCGACCAACAATATTTCGGCTGGATCGATAACCACAATATGCCTTATCGTAAAATGCATACGCCGACAAGCACACACTTATCAGAATATATCACAATTGTCAGGGTATGTCATTTGTGGGAACACTGGGAACGCTTAAGCTAGAATGTTGCAATCAGATAAGCGTTCTATGTGATCATGCAGTTTTCATTTAGTTCGGATTTCGTAACGTAATTTGGCTAGCGGATCTGATAACCTTCGATATGACAGTTGATGACAATCGAGGTGCAGTCATCCTGAGATCATCGAATATCATCGCTTACAGCAGCACCATGCCGAACCAGGCACACAGGCGCCGCCAACTACCAATAAGTTTTAAGAAAAATCTGCGGATCACCGTTCCAATGATGCTGCTCGAACGATGCCCCAACCAATCCGGGAAAAGAGTACGAGTAGAAATGGAAATAAGAATTATAGTCGCAGGTTAAATTTTTTATAGATTGTTAACTTGCAAGTATAGCAAGAGCTAAAGAAATTTCGGTGAATTTATGAGATTGCAATTACCGTAAAACTGCTTTGTTATGAGAAGAGCATACTTGTACGATTATTTTTTTTCTGTGAAGATATAACGATACTACAGTTATTTCTGTCTCTTGCCCTGTAAATGCGCTAGTCAAAAACCGCAAGTCCCAGTTACACCCGGCAGTACATGACTAATGCCCATCTGGTGATCGCTCGTGTGCCCTACCCATTATCTGGTTATCTTTCATGATAATACTCGTTATGGCTGTTAAAATATTGTTTGTCTTTTCAGTAGGTCGATTGTCAAGTGCATATTTGGAAGCTTTATCTGAAAGGCTGCACTGGCAAATCTCACCGATATTGGAGATGCATATACAGGATACCTGTGCATCTTTTGAAACGTCGGTCAGGTGCTGGCATTCTGCTTAGCCGGGTAGCTATATGAGCTGCATTCGAATCTTGATTGATGACCATTACTTATTAGTACGAAAACTTCTACTGTCCGCTCATCCTGTTTTAAGCAATCGAGTAACGAACCGACGCACAGACATCATAATATTTAATCTGTCTGTCTGTTGGGACTTGATATTTAGTCCCGCTGATTACATTTTAACGGTGGTTTGTGCATTTTAGTTAATGTTACCGCTTCCGGACTCCACTGGGGGCACTGGAGCCCCGGCTGCTGGGAGGCTGGTGCTCTCGGTGATCGGCTGTGTGCGGTGACCGTGGGTCAGCGAAAAGCCGGCCGACCGGGGTCGGCGGAAGAGAGCGACCAGTGCCCTGCGCAACCGAAGGCCTCTTTATTGAGCAAGTGCGAAATAACAGCAGAAGAAAAACAGCAGGGTGTGGCGGGTGGTAAAAGAACAGAGATCACTCGCGCGCACACGATGTCGAAGGACCAAAGACAGACAGCAATGAGAAATGAGAACCATGCAATGCAGGCACACGAACAGTGCCAAGTGCAAACAGCATGCCCGTACATGACGGCGGCCGCTTTGATCTAAGCGGCACGGCGACGCGCAGCGCCACCAACAGACTCACGTAACTTGCTACACATGGGGAAGGAGAAAGAGCGGGAGCGCATGTCCTCCAGCTAACATTAACATCAATTAACTCGTCAATTGTCATTTAATCTGTGTTTTGCTGTTCTTGAGATGGACGTTTCAAGCTGCTTATGCTGCAAAATATATGAAAAAGTCTGTAAAGAAGCCAAACTGAAAGAAATTGTGCGCTTGTATGGAATGACAATATTTTGGAATGCCCCGACTTAATTAATTTCTTGCAAATTGGAGCACTGCGGCAGGCTCAACACTTTGTCCTCACTTGTAGAGATTAGCTTCCTGAAATAGCCGTTCAGGAAAATACAATTGAAGTGCGCACGTGCGGAAAAGAAAGCACCAATGTTATAACAATAAAGCTGCAGCGAGGTATCATAATTATGGCAAATTGTATTAAAAAGTGAATTATTGTTTACAATCTGTTATCGTACTCGCATTCAGCATCTGTAGACGATTGTACCACTTATCAAACATGATGGCTAAAACAACTGTATATTGCTGTTAATTGCTGATAAGCTCAGGAAACAATCACAAATATGTACAGTCGGTGACTGGGCATGAAACACGTTTGTTACCGTTGGCGGTTTAATTCTGCAATTTTTGTACTTAATGCAGCACCCCACTTCTTCATCTGCAGACTGGCTTTAACTGCAACAAATTTTAAGAGTTACTCATATTACAAAAAAGAGCCCCGGTACCCTTTTACGTATTACGCTTCATTTTTGTGTAACACCATCATGAAAATTTTCGGATTTCCCGCCATTGCCGTTTTCTTGACGTTTCTCCTTGTTTCGGAAGTGAAGACAGCATCCTATACTGCTGCCCGTAAGAATGCTCAGCACGACAATATCACTTGAAAAGCGATGCTCAGAACGATAACATCACCTCAACGAGAACAAGCAGCAGTTTAATTTCATATGATACGTTTCATAAGTTACTACTCTGTTGTAGGGGATTTGGAAAATTATTGTGGTAGCACACTGAGGATAAGCTGTCCCGGCTCGAATGGAGAAGCCGGGAGACTTAGATTTTATCGCATGCCTAGGACGGTATGCCAAGTGACGGTGACCCTAGAAAGCCTTTGCGGAGTGTCTTCCGAGTACTTCATGATTTATCTCAATATAAGGTATACCCTAAAGCCTACACTTGCATCCAGAAACGGCTTGTGTAGCAAACCGTTTGATTTAAATTAATCACGTACTTCGAAGCACAGAAAAGGCATGGAACTTCTTTGTTAACCCGACAAATGCGTCTCTACCATACGTACGAATAAAGAGATTTGGCTGTAGTTCTGCTAAACCAAATTAAGTCCCTGCAGCAAAATCAGTTGCTGGGATGACGTTGAAAGTAACCGGCTTCACAGCTCATTTTTTTAGGCAGAACAGTCTCAGTTTATCCCCCTATAGAATCAGAATTTATTTCTCCTTGTAGAAACTCCTACATGCCAACGAATTCTCTGATGGAAATCTACGATACTTCCGGGAGTCGAACCCTTGGCAAATCGTGGAGCGGAGGCGAGAGTCAGCCGCAGTACTCCAATCCGACTTCCGCCGGGCAGTATCTATCAAGATCCGCCAGGCAGCCGAAAATCTCCATTGAATTCACACCGTCATCCTCCTATCCACCGGATGGCATCCACGAGGTTTTCTTTGATTATGTTATTCTGTCAGGTGAAAAAGAGAACGCAGCGCGGCCAATCAAAGCCAGCTGACGGTGACAGGGAACTAATAAATAAAATCAAGTGATTTGATGCTTATTCTCGTAGACACTCGGTCACCGTACAATACGCTCTGCAGTGCTTTGAGCGGGTACGTCAGCAACAGCTTGATCTGCGACATAACGGATGACCGCGTCAATTGTCCTGACTCCTACACCCCGTCAGTGTACGATATGAATGCCGCTTGGTATCGCCAGAGTTGCAGTAAGCGCAGCCCGTTTTACAGCCTTGTTTAAAAAATTTTGGCACTGCGCATGTTCATCATAAAAAAAACGACTATAATATACACTGATCGTTGCATGAAATTGCAGCATTCGAATCAGGAGCAACAATAACGCCAAGAACATGGCCACCCACTACGACCTCCTTTTATTATGGGCCCGCGCACGGTTAGGAAACTGCCGAAATTCAACAGTTGTTTGTTGAAACGGTAGAATACAGTCAGGTGCTTTTACAGTGTCCTTTTCCACGCTCAGTGGCGGCGCAATTGCCGGCATCGTCATCGGATGCGTTGCGTTCGTGGCCATTATTATTGCTATTATTGTCGTATGTGGCCACCGTGACCAGCAGGCTATGAAGCAAAAAGCGGCCTTTACCCAGAACGCGCACTCAGCGGCGCCAGCGGTGGTTTTCACACAACAAGATGGGCCGGCACCGCAGCCTTATCCTACCCAGGTTTATGCTCCGGGGCCGTATCCACCGGGTACAATGCCACAACCAACAACAGTCACAACTACATCTACAACCTCTCAATAAACAACTGAATTTTAATGTTCTGGCAATACTACATGAAAAAATTCTTCTTCATGAGTTCAATTTCATTTATTCTTATTCTTCTTGCGCTTCATAATAAATAATATTTTGTGGTAAAATGGAAAGCAATAACCAGGAAACTGCTGTCTTGACACAATTAAATTCACAAAGGGAATTATACTCTGTAGCGTGCTTCTGATTCTCGCAACCCATACGAATGCCGGCAGTGTCGCTTCCTCACTTTTCCTGGTGACTACTTGGTTAGTTTGGCGCGAGAAGCGCGGAGTCTCAATTGTGGCGTGTCGCTTCTGGTGAAATTCTTGGTGTCTCGGTAACGTACGTTCTTATGTGCAGTGAGTCTCATTTACTGACGATTTGGCATCAGTTTAATTATAATATGAGGGCATTTGTGTTAATCTGTGTTGCTTAACCTCCAATGTTACGCTAACTTCAGCTGACACGTGTAATACTGTGCAAACAAATTAAAGTTCGCAGTGTATTAATGGCCATATATGTTATCTTTATCTTATTTGCATGCGACAGCTGTTTAACACAATTTATCAAACACAATGAGTAAGATTATTTCCTGTTGTTGATAAGGGATTATTCAGTACAGCAACAGCAAGCTTAAAAAGCTTGAAACGCCATTGTCAATGTCTTTTGCATTCAACGAAGCACATAAATTGCGTAATTTTTTCTGCTGTGTTACTTCTAAAGGCAACATCCATATTTTTCATGCTGCATTTCTTTTAAAGACAGCAGCTGCTTTAATAAGCAAAGTATTGGCGCTTCCACTTTATAAAGTACAGAAACATCATGTTAGTCTTTCCGGTGGCCACCGTTTTCTTGTCATTTCTGACTGTTTCCCAGATCAATGCAGCATCCTACACTGCAGCGCGTAAGCTAGGCCTGCCTTTAGCAGAACAGTATTACGATTGCAGTAGTGTTATAGATGACGTTACGAATTTTGACGTTTATTAATGTTTTAGGAAACCTGGAGAATTACTGCGACCGAACCCTGAGCATAAGCTGCCCGTCCATTTATGGAGAAGCTGGAACACTCAGATTTCATTACATGCCTAGCACGTCATGCAAAGTGACAGTTACACTCAGCAGCAGTTCTTGTGGATCGTCTTATGAATACTTCGGCATCTACCTTAATATACGGTAAGAGTGCGTATTGTGAATTCGATTACGTTTCACATAAGTTTTAGAAGTTTGAGTTTTACCGTATTCGTGGACAGTTGAGTAAGTATCGTTACCAAATAACGGAAGCACGGGCTGATTTATTAAATCTGTTAAATCTCTATAAATCTGGTGAATCTCTATGAAATCTGGATCGACCGGTAGTACAGTTCAAAGCGAGTCGCGCATTTTATGTACTGCGATTTTGGTTACACTTTAGGGCGGAGACATCGCTCCATAACATTAATTTTTAGTAATTTACATAGCACACGCAAGCGACCTGTATTCGGATTTCCCAAGCAAAGCCGCTGTACAAAACTTGTGCCGGGCCTCGTTTGAGAAGCATAGATAAAAAGCGCTCGGTAGGATTTATTGGAAAGGGAACTTCTTGTAGGAAAGGGAAAAACTAAATTTCGTTAAAGTTCTTCGAATGCAGTGTCCCGTATGGCGAGCTGTTTCCTTATCTCGGTGATCGGTTAGCCGTCGGAATCGAAGTAGAGATGACGGTTAACAGTCTTACATAATTATACATACGAGTTGTTCAGTTTGTATGGAAATTATAGTTCTTCATTGCAGAAAATCCTACATGCCAACAAGCTCGACCATGCAAATTTACGACACATCCAGCAGTCGTACGCTGGGAAAGTCGTGGAACGGCGGGAATCAGCCACAGTACAGCAATCCCACCTCCGCTGGTCAGTATCTCTCCAGATCCACCAGGCGTCCAGAAATTTCCATTGAATTCACACCATCCCGCTCCTATCCTCCCACATCTAGCCATGAGGTTTATTTCGATTATGTTATTGTTTCAGGTAACTCAGTGCAATTCGATTTGCGTAATGATGTTTTACGGTATCCCTTAAATGTAATTTATTAAAAGAAAATTCTTGGTGAACCTGCAGACACCACCTCATCGTACAACACGTACTGTCGCGCGTTAAGCGGGTATATCAGCGACAACCTTATTTGCGACACATCGGATGACCGTGTCAACTGTCCTTCGTCGTACTCTGCCTCGGTGTATACCATGGAAGCGGCAACATCCCGCCAAAGTTGCTGTAAGCGTTGACCGCTCCACAACCGTGTCTGAAAGCGACCATAGTAGAGAACAGAAGAATACGCACTGGCCCGCATTAATTTTTTATACTCTGTTAAATTTCAGCGACAACGACAACAAGAAGAACGACAAGAAGAGCAGCAACAACGACAGCGAATTACGATTATCTCGGTTTGCAGCAAAATAAATAATTCGTCATATTGTATTTTGATGGTGAAATAATATCCGGTTTATTGCAGTGCCCACTCATGGCGGGCTAAGCGGCGGTGCCATTGCCGGCATAGTTATCGGATGTGTGGCATTTGTGGCCATTATCATTGGGATCATTGTCGCTTGCGCCTATCGTGGACCGCAGGTGACGGTGCAGAATGCGGCTTTCACCCATAACGCCCACTCAGCTGCACCAGCGGTGGTCTTTACGCAACAAAGCGGACCGCCACCGTATCCTTATCCTGCCCAGGTTTACGCCCCGGGACCGTATCCACCGGGAACTATGCCACAAACAGCAACGTTCACAACGACCACCACGACGACTAATTGAGAATTTTTTTGATGATCACAGTCATAAAATCGCAGCTGATACCACCCGACGAGCAATCTTCCTCATGACATTGCATTATCCTTGGAACACTGCGGCAAAATCTCTGCAATGGTAGTTGCAAATTGTTTTGGCTTACAATATGTTTTTCATCCGCTTGGCACTGTTTTGTATTAAGATAAAAACGTGTAACAAGGAAAATGCTGCTTTGACATATTGCTGACTCCACAAAGTGAATTACTGTTGTATTGTGCTCCTGGGCTTCGCAACAAAGACGAAAATCCATGGCACGATTTTTTCATCATACTTTTTCCTGCCACTTGGTTACTCTGACGAGAAGTGCAGAACATGGCTTGCACGTCTCGTAATGCCTTTTGTGGTGGAACGTTGCGCAACGCTTTTTGCTGCTCTCTTTGCGGCACTTGGATTCCGCGAGTTATTCTCCCAAAGTAGCCTATCCTCTCCTAGCCGCCGAAGAAGTGCTGGTTTTTGCTTTCTCCGCAGCGGCAACCCCCTGACACTTACTTTTGAGTACAATGCGTGTGCATGATGCAGTTCAGAATGCGCCCCAGTTTGGCTACACGTTTAATCAGTTATGAGAAAATGAATGTACGGTAGATGCTAAGATGCGTAACAGCCGTTAAAAAATTTCATACCAGCTGGGCCGACGACACCAAAAGTCTTGAAAGCTAAAAGAACAAAGTCGTACTCAGGCGCTAGGTATTCGTACTTCGTGCCTAGACCATTACCGCCTTTTAATAAGCATCACATACAAGTACATACTGAGTACTAAATCAAAATTCATAACAAAAACACTTCTTCAATGCTATCCTGCTCGGGGATCGTACCCATGACACATAACGCGTTTCCCCGTTGCATTTGAATAGATAGCCGCTGTCTAAAAAACTCTTTTGCCCGCTTCTGGCCTGTGGCGGAAGCCATGCAGTTGCCGCCCTTCCCCACGAGTTTTTTCGTTCCGCCTCCCCAGGGTCCGTAAATTTCCAAGGCGGCAGCTACTAGATTGTATCTTGGTTGTAGCCAGCCGTGTTTCGACAGTTTTCTTCTCTCCGCCTGCTCCGCTGCTGCACCGACGCACACGGAAGTACGGTCAATATACGACGCGGCGAGTGGGTCCACGCAGGTTACGTCAATAGCCAGTGGTTTTCCCCGCTCCCACGGGACGAGGGTAATCACATCTGGCCGTTTTTTATCTTTCACGGACAGGCCTTTTGGCTCCATTCTGGCCGGAAAACCCGCGGTCTTCAAAGCACGGGTGAATTCTCCACTGATTCCATCGTGTCGTGGCAGCCTCCCAGCTGACCGTTTGCAACGGAGCCCGTGACGGCCCAGCTCGTCGACCAGACTGCCGCAGACGCACACGTGAGGAGTGATAATAGGAGCTCCCAGACGCAACGCCACACGTATACGGAAGGCGTCGTTATCCAACAGGTTACCAAGGCAGGCTGCGGGCAACGCATGGATCCACACACCGGATTCCGGCGCTGACACCGCCTTCAGGTGAGCGACTTCCTCTCGGGAGACCCTTAACGTGGCCAGCTTTGATAAGGCGTTCAGGGTCGCAGGTGTGTCCCAAACTTTTTGGACGTGGCGCAACGCTACAGGCGGGAGTTCATCCGTTTCGGTTAACGCTTTCCAGGCGCATGTGGCGGTTGTCAAATCCGTAGCCGTTAGCGTCGGGCACAGTCTGGAGATCAGCGGGTGCAACGAAGAAGCCGATGCCAAATAGGCAGAGGGAGCTAGCTTCTCCGTGCGTCTGATCCCCAAACCGCCAAATCGAACGGGAAGGGAGGCTTGCAGCTAGGTCGGGTGGTCCATTCGTACGTTCGTAATGGTCTCCACTGCTTCGCGAAACACCTGGTCGAGTCTGTAAAGCTCTTTTGGGAACATCCAGGCCAGTAACGTGCGCAAAACGTGGACGATTTTCGGCACTGCCAGGCAATTCTTCAGTAGAAAAAGGGCTTGGTGCTTAGGTATCAGCTGAAGTCGGCTGCACATAACTTCCAGCTGACGGATCTTCTCGTCGATCATCGGAACTACTGCTGCTGGCAACAGAGGAGATCCGAGTAAGCTCAGTTTTTCCGCCGAAACAATAGCAATGCCGGGAAACAAACCGGCAAAGTGATTAGCGGCCGCTGTTCGCTCCGTTGCGGTGCCGCCGCACAGGAACAGTTCACATTTTCCGATGTTGACTGCCAAGCCGATCTTCTGAGCTTCTGTTATTAGCTGCTGAAAGTTTTGTAGCACGCTCAGTAGGCTGCCTCCTAATGTCGCGTCATCCATGTACCAGGCGTTGAGGTGCCTAGATTGATATCTAGGCACGTTATCACCTGTCATACACAGTACTCGTACGGTAAAAATATTATTTTTATCACTTTTACATGTGCAGCATACCTTAGTCGGATCCCCACAGTGATATTGTTAACAGAAGTATTAGTAAGAAACAACAAAGGATCGATTTACAGTAAGATCCCCATGACATTTTATGGAAGATAATGCTGACAATAAATTATAAATTAAGTGCCTGTATAAAAATACGTTGCAGTTTCTTACCAAGACGAAATTTTGACTTTTCGCTGAGTCTAACATGCCATTCGGCTCGAGGATGGACATCTACGATACATCACGATACATTTACGATACAGCACGCGCACACTGGGCAAAACCTGGACCGGAACCTCCTATGCAGCGCCGCGGTACTGTCTTTGACATATCCGCTCAGAGCGCTGCAGTAAGTACTGTACGATGAATAGGTGTCTAGGATAGAGAATAACATCCTGTCTGTTCTACAGGAACTTTAAGGTTCATGAATTCACTTCCTTTCAGAATTACCTCACACAATAACTTAGTCGAATACGACTTGATGACTGGGATGTGGGATATAATGTTACAGAGGTGGATTCAATAGAAATGTTCGGTTGCCTAGCCGATGCGGAGAGATACTGGCCAGCTGAGGAGGGGTTCGAGTACAGTGAAACCTCATCTTACGTACACCCCGAAGAAACGTACACCCCGGAATTCCGTACGGAGGTGTACGTATTTCAGAGGTTTCACTGTATTATTTGCGACGCCACCGACGACCGCATCAGTTGCCCTTACTCTTATTTGTCGGTAGTGCACGGTTTGGATCCGGCAATATATCGACAAACCTGCAGTAAACATCTCTTTCTTCGTTCGTTATGTTCCGTAATAACTTATTTCGAATTTTTTGAAAACTGCTTTTGGATATTCAGTACAGAATGTGTCATTTATAACAAAACGCTGCAAAAGGCGCTTGCCTTGGTTCTATGCAGCACTGGATTGGGGAGAGATTGCCGGCATCGTCGTTGGGTGCGTGGTCTTTGTGGCAATCGTCATCGGGATCATTGTTGGCTATCGCGCCAATCGCCGGCCTCGCACCACTGTCCAGAAAGTAGCCTTCACCAACAACGCCTACTCTGCAGCGGTCGTAACTTTTTCTCAACCGGGTGCGCCACCGCCGCACCCCAACCGGGCCTATGTTCCAACTTCCAGCACCGTATCCAGCGGGTATAGCACCGCTTCCTCCGGCACCACAGCATGTTAAATAAGGGACTGCTTGCAGGCGGTAGAACCAATTCTAGCTAAACAAACGAGCGAAATCTGCTGTGCATACCCAGCAAGTTGACTTCATTTGGTTGACCTTCATCGGGTCTAACACTGTAATCGTACTTTTATAGGCATCCGTAGTTTCAACCGTAGTATCACTTAAAATTGCTGGAAATGTATTTCGGAAGATTTTCGAAGGCAGACAAAATTTCTTAAAAATGGCTTGTAAACAAAGCATTTGTTTGTGATGTGTTTCTTAAACAAACTTTTTAGGGGAAGGTTGTGGGCACCACCTTTCACCACCAAGGTCTCCCGACATCACGTTTCAACAGTTCCTGCTTTTGAAAAAGAGTTAAAAGCACCGAACAAAACACAACGAAATGCTTCTGTTCTTTTTTAATCATAGATGTTTGGTTTGGATGTGTTCTGTGGTCGAAGCAGAAGTAGAAAAGGAACAGCGACAGCAAGTAAAACATCTGATAGTGTACTGATTGTTGTACTGAAATAAAAAGGGCACGAGTGGTGTTAGTACTGAAATTGGGATTCCAAGGACAAGTAAGTTATTATCGCATAGACTACGAATCTACAGCTGAAAAGGGGAAGGGAAAGCAACTTCTAATGAATTACGGAGTCCCTATGCAGCAGGTGTAAGAAATTCAAATGATTTCTCCACTTTAAGGCGCAAAATTTTCCTTTTAAGGTTTAAGATCATTTCTGCAGCCAATTAAAGCGACATGCAAATTTTTTAGTAGACATTATCGTCGTCTGTGGACTTTGTACAATTTCAGGGTTCGTCCATAAAACCTAATTTCTACCTGCAGGCTGTTTTAATATTTGCACTACTATGTAGGTTATGATGTTGTATGATTTGTCCATCGCATACAGAGTCTGTAAATGATTAGGTTATGATCTGCCCATCGCATTAATTCTTTCGCGCAATTTGCGCGGGGTCTGCTGGTACAATGTTTATAATGGTTATAACTAAAGGTCAGCGGCAGCTACTAAACTGATGGCATTTAGTAACCTTTAATACTCAAAACAATTAAGAGAGTTGGCCGTCGCTAATCATACTAGACAGACTGACCGTTTCCATCTTCACCTTCCAGACTTCCTAACGGCAACTAACTTTACAATTTTCAAAACAGTTCACATTACCAGTTCATATTAACAGCTTAACAATGGACTCTGTGGGAAGCACAACAGAACCGCCAACATGAGTGATTCACAGCACAAGACAATTATCATAACTGTCTTGTGCTTGTGTAGCTACATCTTTTCCCCGATCGCTTTTGAGACGATGGGTCCCTGGGGTCCGTATGCTATCGCTATTGCGAAGGAACTGGGGAAACGAATGCAACAGCATACAGGAGAGCGCCGGTCGCATGAATTTCTGCGCCAACGGCTTTCGCTGGAGATTCAACGCGGTAAAATGCAGCATTTATCCTTGGCACGATGGACGGAGTGGATAGTTTAAATGAAATTTTGCTGTTGTAAATTTGCTGTTACGTGTTTCTTTTTCTTTCATCAGAAATGTGCGTTGATTATCATAATCCATAGGCAAACCATAAATCAAGAAATCATCGGTTATTTCTAAGTGCCAAAACTCTCTTTAACCATCTTCAGCTGGGGCTGTTGCTCCCTCATAGTTGGCAAATTATGATGATTCATACGGGAATTATGTAATCACTGGGAATGTATGCCTGCGTTTATAACCAACAGACGTACTACACGTGGCATTCATGAGTCAGCAAAATATTATCAGCGAATCGGAAGACGAGTACGCTTGCGTGGCACGGCAGTAATTTGTCAATGTCAAAAGTAGTTTTCACAAATTCTTACATGAGATAAATGCGATACCATTTCAAAGGATCAATTTTTTTAAAAGTTTATATCTGTGTCACTGTAGGTGTTTTCGTTCCAAACACATAAGAAATTAAGTAGTTTTGTGCAGGTAAGGTTGGTTGGGTGCTGCTTAGCCTCCAGTGTCTCGCTAATATCAGATGCCACGTGCAATGCTGTACCAACAAATTAAAGTTCGCAGTGCATTAATGTCAATATGTGTTATCTTATTTATTTGCATCATGCATGCGACAGCTGTTAAAGATAATTTATCAAACACAACGGTTAAAGGCTGTTGCACGTTGCTGATTACTCATGTTGCATGTTGCTGATAACTCAATACAGCAATTGCAAACTCAGAGAGCCGTAAATGCTATTATCAATAATGTCTTTTAAAGTCAACGAAGTACCACAACTGCGTACAGGTGCAGGTTAATTTCGACGGCCATAATTAAATTTTGTCATGCTGTATCACTTCTAAAGGCATTAGCTACCGTAACAAGCTTTAAATATTAAATTGGCCCTTCCGATTTGTAAAGCACAGAAACATCATGTTAGTCGCTCCGACAGCCACCGTTTTCTGTGCATTTCTCACTGTTTCCCAGATCAATGCAGCATCCTACACTGCGACGCGTAAGTAAGACGCACCTTTAGCCGAGCAGTATTACGACCAGATGCGTTATGAATTATTGTGACATTCCTTAATGCTCTAGGAAATCTGGAGGATTATTGCGGCCGAACCCTGAGCACAAGCTGCCCGTCCTTGTATGGAGAAGCTGGAACCCTCAGATTTTATTACATGCCTAGCACGTCATGCAAAGTGACAGTTTCTCTCAGCAGTTATTATTGTGGAACGTCTTATGAATACTACAGTATCTACCTCAATATACGGTAAGACTGCAAATTGCAAACTCGAGCGCCAATGTATGTTATAGCAGTTTGTGTTTTTTCCATATTCATATTCTTATGCACCTGAGTACCGTTATCAGGTAATTAATGTACGGGATTGGTTACTAAATTATTTTGGTTATCTCCTTCCCATTTTTGGTGGACCGGTGGCCCGGTTCAAAGCGGGTGGAACATTTTGTCATTTGTGCATTTTAGCTTTAGTTACGCTTTGGAGCAGAAGCATTGCTCCATAAAATTTGTGTAACTCCATAGCGCACGCGAGCGATCTTTCAGATTTCACAAGCAAAGGTGCCTCACGAAACGTGCGATGGAACAGTTAGAGTATGTAAGAAAAAAACGCTCGGTCAAATTCGGTGCAAGTCGAATTCGAGCGCCTTTTCCCATTAAAAGCAGGTGGCATAATATATTATTAGGCACGACATAATGAGTGATTCCCAATCGATAAGAAACTAAAAACCAAATTTCTTTTAGCTAAATTTCGTTAAAGTACTTGGTACTATCACAACCTTCAATGTGGCGCCTTACAACCCTTCGTCGGTTTTTGGTTAGCAAGCGTTTTGAGGTTGAGATAACAAACTGACGGAGAGCAATCTAAAAAGTTCAATCGGTTCCAAAAATGGTTACTTCATATTACAGCAAATCCTACATGCCTTCAAGCTCCAAGATGGAGATCTACGACACATCCAGCGGTCGCACACTGGGAAAGTCGTGGGACGGAGGCTTTAGTCAGGCGCAGAACAGCAATCCCACCTCCGCTGGCCAGTATCTCTCCAAAACCACTGGTCGTCCAGAAATTTCCATTGAGTTCACTCCATCCCACTCCTATCCTCCCACATCTAGCCATGAGGTTTATTTCGATTATGTCCTTATTTCAGGTAAATTAATACAATTCGATGTGCTTGATGTGCCCCTATTTTCGTCATAATTGAACTTCTTGTTGTATCTGCAGACACCTACACAAGGTATAACTCGCACTGCCCCGCTTTAAACGGTTATCTTAATGATAACATCATCTGCGACACAACGGATGATCGCGTCAACTGCCCTTCGTCGTACTCCGCCTTGGTGTATAACATGGACGCGGCAACATCCCGCCAAACTTGCTGTAAGCGCTGTCCGCTCCACAACCAAGTTTCGAAGCTACCGTAGTAGAGAACAGAGGAGTGCGCACTGGTCCGCACCACTTTTTTATAGTCTGTTAAATTTCAGCAACAACGACAACAACTGGACCAACAACAACAAGAACAGCAGCAACAACGACAGCAAATTACGATTATCTCGGTACGCAAAATAATAAATAATTTTTCATACGGTAATTTGATGGTATAAATATGATCCGGTGTATTGCAGTGCCCACTCATGGCGGGCTAAGTGCCGGTGCCATTGTCGGCATAGTTGTTGGATGTGTGGCATTCGTGGCCATTGTCATTGGTGTCATTGTCGCTTGTGCCCACCGGGCACCGGAAGTGACGGAGCAGAAAAAGGCTTTCACCCACAACGCCTATTCCGCGATGCCAGCGGTGGTCTTTACGCAACAAGGCGGCTTTCCGCCGTACCCTTATCTTGCCAAGATTTATGCCCCGGGGCCGTATCCACCCGGAGCCATGCCACAATCAGCATTTATCACTACGACTACCACGACGACTAACTAAGGAATATACCTTTAGGCTGGTCATGGCCCAGGCATGGAATCGCAGCTGATTCCACGCGAAAAATAATCTTCCTTATGGGCGTTACATTAACCTTGGGACACGTTGACAAAATCTTTGCATTGGTAGCCGTAGATTTTCTGGTGTGCAATGGAATATGTTTTCATGCTTTCGATAATTCTTAGTTGAAGATAAAAACAAAATAACAAGGAATCTTTGCCGTGACTTAATATTCCCAAATATTCTTGAATTTACAGAGTAAATTGCTTTATACTGTACTTTGGGGCCTTGCAAAAAAGATGAAAACCGACGAGCACGATTTTCTTTTCTTCCTGGTGACCACTCGGTTACTCTGACGAAGCCGTGGCGTGCGTTTTTGGTTGTTCTCGGTGCTTTGCGCAAGACAGCTGCTCGAGTGCAGACGGTCTTAATTTGTTTGCCATTTGACATACAATTAAAATAAAAGGGCATTCGGTTGGTAGAAAAAGCATGAAGACTTCCTTTTAACCAACAGGGTCTGCTAATTTTTCAAAGGTAAAATACTAAACAAAACGAAATTTAGCTGCTTTTGTTGGCAGTGTCATGTGTGAACAGTTTCTTTGCACGCGACAGTTGTTAAAAATAAGGGTGACACTATAGCCACCCTAACACCCCCGTGTTTTATACTCACCCCTTTTCCGCACCCTGACACCCTGTATTATTTGGTTAGTCTTGCTGATCGCCCATTGCCCGTTAGTCTACGGATCCCATATTCCCTGGTGAACCTGTTCCTGTCCGACCACCTTCAACTGCACGGAATCTGGCTGCGGCTGGCCAGGTATATTGTTTGGATGTACACCTTGTACCGCTTCGGCGTGACTACCCGGTATCTTGCTGCGGCGTGCTGCGGCTGGCCGCGTATACTGTTTGGTTGTAAACTTGTACATCAGGTACCGCTTCGGCGTAATGTTTGTGTGCTATTGTGTTGTGGGGTGGCGTGAAATCTCTCAAAAGCTTAAAAGAAATACAAGTGGTAATGCGCTGGCAGTGGCGACGCACTATGCATAAGCGCATCCTTTATAATAAAAGAATAAGAGGAGGTGTCGTCAGTTTGTCTGCGCATCCATCCCGAACGACATACTGAATCAATCTTTAAGCTCTATATATTCATCAATAGCACTAATTTGGTAGGTTTTTATAAAATCAGTTTGATTTGAGAAAACGAAAACGTTTTAAAGATATCTCTAGGAAACCTTACTATACGAAGGCTGTTGCATTGTTCCGGGAACAATGCAACAGCCAATCAAGAAAATCAGAAATAATTCCGTTAACCGTTGGTGGTTAAGTAACTGCCTTCAGGAGCGGTATGCTTTTTAACGTATCAGCCCGTCCATGGGGTAGGATATTTACTGTTGAACCACACGTACTGTATTGGCTGGCATGCTGCTACATAAGAAGGCGGTTGTCAGTCTCCTGTGAACGTGAACGAAGTTCAACCAAATGCAATCTTATCTTTTGTTAAAATTCAATAACTGTATTTAGTATTAGTAACAGTTAAAGATTTAGAAGCACAGTTGAGTATTTCTGGGCTATTAACCGAAGGCGGAGCCGCAGGCGACGCCGAGCTGCATCCGGCGAGAGCGGAGCTCGCGGAACAACAAGCGAGACTTCCATCTTCTGGATACAAAAATGTGAACAAGACAATTCCGGTTTCCGAAGTGGTCCGAAACTTATTTAGAGTGCGGGAACCTATAATCTACAATGTAGGACTAAATGGTCGCATAGCCCCATACCCAGCATTCTGTACGCAAGCGGTGCAGTGCACTTGTACGAAACGGATATTTTGAACTCAGTCGTACAGTGCACTGCGCTGCATTCGTACTGAATGTGGTGACGTGTACTGGCGTCCCTTAGTACACATCGGTACTACTCTACTACTTCTACCCCTACAACTAAGGCTTAGGCTTTACTACATCTTCTACGCGAGTCCTGACCCCGAGTCTCTACTTCGACTTCTCAGAAATCCCCAGCAGAGAACTTTGACCGCGACTTGCCATTTCGACGTGACCGCGCTTCGATGACGTAGCTCAACCTATTGTTCTAATGTATTAGTTGACCTGATGTTCTCATTAGTCCACGTGTAGTGATGCAGCGGTGTGATTAGTCCACGTGTCCTCAGATGTCTCTTATTGGTTAGCGTGTAAATCCCTATTGTTCTCAGACCCGTACCTGCGCGTACGAAGAGCCAGCACTTGCGGTGCCCAGGGCTATATAAGGCGCTCGTCGCCCACACAAATGTCAAGAGTTGTAATCCCAACAAAAGTAGAGTCTTGTTACTCGATCTGATTAACTTCAGGCTTTTGCTCTGGTCTTCTCTTTCCAAGTGAGGCTGTTCAAACTGACCTCTGGGTGACCTTTCACCTATTGTCAGGGGTCATTCCTCTACTTCGTCGACGTGCATTATCATCTTCGGATAGTCTCGTGACGTAACAGGCTACCCACTTGATCCCACTTGTTTGCCGTGACCTATCGGTCTCTTCGATCTTCATGCCCTGTAGCGCCAGGTTGATGGATTTGTCATACACATACGCTTCGGCTACCATCTAGCGTCGGACAGGTAACGTATAACTTCACGCATCCCTTGTGTTTCCTTTCGTGTCTTCTCTTTCAGCAGGCTTTCGAGTTCCGGATCCTCTTCTTCATCCTTGCATATCATCTCATACTTGTACATCAACATCCTTGAACTTTCGCTCCATGAAATACATAAGAAGTTGAGATTAAGAGTCGCTCTATTCCCCGACTGGTCGTGGTTCGGGAAGTGCAAATTTCCATCGCACGCAACGTATATATTTTCTTATTCTCTATTGCACGACAGTGGAGATGTTGGGTATGCGACCATTTTGTCCTAAGCTTTATGTATGCGCAAAATAGTAATTAAAATCTGAATTGGATGCCACTTAAATTGATGCTAACCGCTTAATTTGAATTACAAACTTTAAGGAATTTCCTAATACTGTATTTCGATAGCAGAACAGCTAGTACCTCGATTAACATAATTTTACATTATTTGGTAAGTGATCGTCGATAACTGTGATGGAGCGAAATTGATAGTCTGAGTTCTGGGTTAAACTTTGTACGGACAACTTTGAATTTAACGTGCATTTCTTATACAGGGTACTGTTTACCTGAAACAGGGACTGATTCTGTTTCCGGTAGGCGCGCCGGTTGTATGTTCAAACATTGCTTAACACGAAGGAGCGGGGATGGCTGGACGTTTTGCAACTTATTTGCTACAAGGGATGAGTGTCGGAAGGGTTCTCATACGCTGCAGGCCGAAACCAGAGGAAACAATGAAAACACTTAATTTAATGAGAATAATCTAATTTTATAATGGGCGGTTGGGCTTTCTGCTACTTTTGCGATAATTACGTTGTAATAGTAAGTCGGTCACTTTAGCGCTATACAACTAGGGAGTGGAGCTGAAAATCGTGCAACAAAACATTACGCAAACTGGTGTCGCGCCGTAGTGCAACAGCTGTACTACAGCTATGGTGCCGGGTAGAGCATAGCCTTCGGTGCAGTGTTAAAAAATTGTTAATGCTATGGTACAGATACGTACATTTAAGTTAAAGTTTCATTTAAAGTGCAAACATGCAGTTTAAACAGAATATCGTTTAATCCGAATTAAGGGTCACATTTATTGTGAAAATCAAGCACAGAAGTACGTATTTAGGAATACGCAAAAAAATAACTATTTGCTAAAAATAGTTTTTAAATCACGTAAAGTAAGTCATTTGTACAGTAGTTCACTCAATTTCTTCCGCGCAATTTGTGCGGGGTCTGCTAACTGTACATAAACGCGGAAGACGGGACGTTAAGGTCGAATAGGATTTAATCATTTTAATGTCATACAGGAAAGCCTTTGTCAGGGAAGAATAGGTCAGGAAGGAAAGCCTTTGTCTACACTCTGTCTCAATCTTTTTCCAGCTGGTTAAGCTGGAAAGTCGTTGAGTGCGGGCAAGTTTGGCTTTGCTGTTGCCCAGAATGATTAATCCAGTTAATTATCTTGTTGAAACGAGAATCCAGAGGTCGTTAAATCTTGGGTGGAGCTTAAATGAACAAGTTTCGGAGGTACAAGCATTCTTGTATAAGTACTATTGTAAGTACAAGTATGAGACCGTCAAGAGGAGCTAACCAATCGCATCGAGTAGTTAGCGCATTTACATAGTTTCTCACGATGAAAATGGAAGGTTGAGCAATTGGAAACTACCGTACGTAGTAGTAAACCGTGAAGGGTACCACGGCGACATGGTAACCAACTAGCTAGCTGGTTACCATAGTCTTGCGTCTCGTGACGAGATAAATGTGTGCCCTACTGGCTCGACTGAAGGGCTCGTAAAATTTGAGTGTTCGCACCATTTCGAGGAATTCAAATATCCAGCTCACTTGTCCAACCCCAGCAACAAACCGTCGTCGTTGTGCTTACAGTCGTTTTCTCCGTGCTAGGATATGGAGCATCCGTACCATCTACATCGAAAATCATCATTAATACCTTCTTGTAGAAGTTTCTATGCAATACAAGATGGCAATTTACGATATATCCATCGGTCAGGCCCTGGAAAGTGGTGGGACGACGGGCCTAATTAGGCGAAGTACAGCAATCCCACCTCCGCTGGTCAGTATCGATCCAAATATACCAGGCGGCCGGAAATTCCATCGAGTTCACACCGACTGCTGATTAGGCGCCCACGACCAGCCATGTGGTCGTTTTCGATTACGTCATCGTTTCAGGTAGAAATCCGCAACACCATACATACAATCTGATTGGTTTAGACAGCAGATTGAGCGTAACTTTTGTTGTAGACACTAGTGCATCGCATAACTTGCACTGCAGCGCTTTGAGCGGTTTCGTTAGCGACAACTGTATCTGCGACGCGTAGGATGACCGCGTCAACTGTCTTTCGTGTATAACATGAAGCCGGCAACATCCCGCCAGATTTGCTGTAAGCAAACTTGTAAACCAATTTTACAGCCATGTTTTGTTACATTTAAGTGAGTTAATAACGTTGCAGAGCAGTGCACAAAGACCTGAGACATTCGTTTCATGTTCTGTCTGATTTCAGTAATAACAGCAGCGACTGAAAATTGCAATCATTTGGGCAAGTGAGGTATTGGAGATTATTGCAATACTTCGGAGTACAGACAGTTCGATAAAATAAATGACAATTAACGAGTTAACTGATGTTAATGTTAGCTGGAGGACATGCGCTCCCGCTCTTTCTCCTTTCGCCGTGTGTGGCAAGTTACGTGAGTCTGTTGGTGGCGCTGCGCGTCGCCGTGGCGCTTAGATCTGTTTTGCTCCTTCGATCGTGTGCGCGCGAGTTATCTGTTCTTTTTTCAAGACAGATCTTCATCTTCTTGGATCTGCAGCTTGGATGTAGGACTTCGAGATGTCCTCACGCCAGCTTTATTGGCTGTTCATTTGTGAGCGCAGCTATCTAGCTGATCACGCGCAAGTTTCTACCTAGCTGCTGTCTTTGCGATCGCTCAGCGTTTCATTCAACGCTGGCTAGCTTTGTTACCATCGACGCTGGCTAAGTTCACACCTGAATTGATATTAGCGCATTCTTTGCCATCTAAATCCCACTATCCGAAAGAGCCAACGGAGCAGCTCCCGCTTGTGGCAGCCCTTGAACGCCACCTTTCGTTATGCACCCTAGAGAACCATCATTACGAGGCGAACAGCGGGCAAGAGAACAACCACTCAGCGCAATAAAACGATCAACGGGAAATTCGCCATCAGTTACCCGCTGCAAACGGAAAAACAGGGTGCCATGGACCGCTGCACCTATCTCTGCCGCGGGGCAAGCCACCAACGACGGCTGCACTGTCATAAGACGGTAAGTAGGTCCCCTACTACGGCTGCACCTACTTCGGACGGCAAGGGCAAACAACCAGCGTCAACTGCACCTCCTTCGCGCAGTAAAGCGGTTTACCCAACTACGGCTCCAGCGAGTTAGGTCTCTAGCCACGGCCGCACCCACCATCACCGCCAGGAAAGTCTGCGGGAGAAGACTCCGGTAACCTCCAACGGCAGCAGGACCATCAGTGACGATTAGACCTCCCTCCGCCGGCAGACAGGCCCCAACCAACGGCGGCGCCCTCCTCCGACGGCAAGCAGGCCACCAAAGGCGGCTGCACCATCCTCGCACGGCAAGGTAGGCCTTCAACCATGGCCGCACCTTCCTCCGACGGCGTACAGGCACCCTACCAGCAGCGCCGCCCTACTCCGACGCCAAGCAGTCCCACCAGCGGTGGCCGCAACTTCTTCGGACGGCAAGGCCACCTATCAACGGCGGCGCCTCCTCCGACGGCAAGTAAGCCACCGGCAATGGCCGCACCTTCCTCGGACGGCAGACAGGCCCCCTACGAACGGCGGCGCCCTCCTCCGACGGCAAGCAGGCCACCAGAGACGGCTGCACCTTCCTCGCGCGGCAAGGTAGGCCTTCAACCATGGCCGCACCTTCCTCGCACGGCAGACAGGCCCCCTCCAACCGCAGCGTTGTCTTTGGACCGCAAGCAGGGGCACCAACAACGGCCGCGCCTTCCTCGAACAGAAAGGCAAGCCACCAATCATGGCCGCACCTAACTCTGGCAGACAGCAAGCCAGCAGCGACCGCTGAACCCACTTCTGACGGCAAAGCAGGCCTCCAGCTACGGTTTCCCTACAGCTACGGTTTCCCCTCCCAACCGATGGCTTGTAAGCCAACTCGACGGCTGCACCACTTCGGACGGCAGGGCAGGTATAACTATGGCCGCACCCACCTGCGACGGAAAGTCAAGCCGTCTGCGACGACCGCACCTGCTCGGACTGTAAGGCTGATACAACTATGGCCGCACCACCTCCGACTGCAAGGCAAGCCAACAGCGGGGGCCGCACCTACCGCGGAAGGAAAAGGAGGCCTCTAGCTACGGCTGTGCCCACGTCAGAGGGCAAGGCAGGCATCCAACCACGGCCACCTCCGACGGCCAGACGCTACCTGCCATTACGGCCGCTTTGTATCCAACTGTAAGGTAGGCCTTCTACGTCAACCACCTATCTTTGGCGACACGGTGTTCCCCCAGCTATGCTCGCACCTACTTCCGACGGCAAGGCAAGCCATCAGCGACGGCCACACCTATCTTGGGCGACAAAGCATGGCAACAACGACGGCGGCACCCTGTTCGGTCAGGCGGGAGGTTATCACCTATAGCCACACCGACAAAAAATACGGGTCTCTAACGACAACTGCACCATGTCTGACGGCAAGCAGGACCGGTTCCGATCTCTGGCACCTACAGCTAACCTCCGCTCTGGACGGTGTAATTGCCAACGCGGAGTTTGCTCTCCTACTCTTGGGAACTACAAAGACAAACCAATTCGGGACGGTTACCGGTTTACACTGCGCTAGTGATGCTTACCTAACCTGCATAACAGCGAATTTCACCATTGAAAGACTACATTGTGCTGCCATACCGCGACAGGATGAGCACACACTGCTTCCGCAACGGCGACGCAACGACGCCTGCCCTGGCGAGATACACATAGCCGAATTTCGCGCTCTCCCAATGGAACTCAGACTCTACACCAAACACCTCCGCGGAACCATGCCAACTGCTGCATCAGTCCTCATACTATCAATCCCTATACTGGGTTGTTTGGGGTTTTGTTTGGGGCCTTCGGTTGCGCAGGGCACTGGTCGCTCTCTTCCGCCGACCCGTGTCGGCCGGCTTCTCGCTGACCCACGGTCACCGCACGCAGCCGATCACCGAGAGCACAAGCCTCCCAGCAGCCGGGGCTCCAGCGCCCCCAGTGGAGTCCGGAAGCGGTAACATTAACCGGTTTTCTCGCAGCATCCAATGGCGGGCTGAATGGCGGTGCCATCGCCGGAATCGTTATCGGTTGTATGGCTTTCGTGGCCATTTTCATTGGTGCCATTACCGCGTGTGCCCAGCGCGTACCACAGGTGACGGTGCAAAAGACAGCCTTCACCCTCAACGCCCACTCAGCTGCGACGACCGTGAATTTTACTCAACGAGGTATACCGGCACCGCATCCCTATCCCATCCAGGCTTTTACTCCGTTGCCTTTTCAACCGGGACCAACGCCACAACCATCGACCATCACAACGACAACCTCAACCATTCAATTCAAGATACATGGTGAAAACAACGGTTCGCCGCTTACATTGTATTGTCATCGGTCGTATTATGTAAGAGTTATTGCTCATAAACTTGGTCTGTTCACTACAAATTTCTTCTCTTCATCAGAAGTTTGATTTTTCTTGTGGGAAATCAACACTCTTTGGAACTGCCCGTATACTGTATTTCGGGATTTATGGAGCTGCATGGCATGTCAAATTACGACTGTGTGTCGTGCTTATGATTTTGAAACAATTACTGTACGTGCAAGAATACGACGACACAATTTACCTATAGCTGGCCGTTTACTGCGAAAACCATTTTGCGAATTCTCCTCCCAAAATGATGTCCAACATTGGCCATTGAAGAAATACCGGCCTGTAGGGCCGTAGCGAGGTCCGAGCGTTGGGGGGTGCGCAACGGCCCAAAAATGGCTGCGCACCCCCCAAGAACAATTGCGCCCGTAAACTCGTCCTGGTCAATTATACGGCAAAAGGACGCTTTCAACCCGGGAGGGTGGGGTGTGCGCGCGCACCGCCCCTCGCTACGGGCCTGCCGGCCTGCGTTAGTGGAACGGCGATCCACGGACACTGAAATTCTACAATACAATTGTGATCGGTCGCTTTCCTCAAGGGAATATTCAGATTAGAAAATACATACGATGTCTTGGGTCTGCTTACGGAAATTTATTTTGAAGGACAATAGCGCAAATGCGTCAGACAGGTACAGACAGTACAGTACTTACGTACGGCGCACAATAGTTGTATGAGTCATTTATTGCGAATCGCGCGTTGATATTATTGTTATCGCATTATCTTATCTTTTTCCGCACTCCACTGCTTGAAATAGAAGGCAATTATTGTCAAGTGCAATTGTTTCGTTATCTTTCTGCTGATAAATTCACCTGAAGGTAGAATGAATCGGTCGGTGGTATTTTTCCTGCTAACACCAGACACCACATTTTTATTTTCTAGCTTCGTGTAGACTAGAAACTACAGAAATTTAAAATTTTGCAACGTATAGGCTACCAATTTGCAACAGCATGGCAGCCTTAGGATTTCCTGCAAATGCCCTTTTGTTGGCTTGCCTTTTCGCTCCCGGAAGCCATGCCGTAACTTACTCTTCCACTTGTACGTAATTTCCGGGCCCTTACCACTTATTTCATGAACTTCTTATGACATTGCGTATATATATATTATTTTAGCGAACCTGGAGAATTATTGCGATAGGACTTTGTATATAAGCTGCCCGTACTCGTATGGCGAAGCCGGTACTATCCGATTCTGGATTATGCCAAAAACGACATGTAAAGTGACGGTGACTCTGAGCAGCAGCAATTGTGGATCATATAATGAATGGTTCAAATTCTACCTCAACATAAGGTACGATTTCAAAAGTGAAAGTTCCGCTAAACAGATGTATGAATACTTGTATAATAAAAAACTAAGCGCTTTCAATCAAATTTGCTTTGAAAGGCTAAGGTTGGACTTTGTTTTACAATATTGGTATGGTTACAAGAAATTCGCTTTTACACATTTCGTTCTTGCTAGGAAACAATGTTTTCAACTAAGAATATTTCTGCACCGTATTGCAATGAATGCAGTAGACAGTTATACGATGAAAGAGCAGCAACTGTAATACTGTGCTGTTATCTTATCACTCCCAATTGCGAAGCATCTGTAGGTAAGTACTTTGTACTACGGGTAGTACTTGCACGCACTGCTAGTGTAAACCGGAAGATGTACCAAAAGAATCCTTGTAATACATACCATCTAGTACAGTAGTACCGACAATAATTACTATAAGAATACACATCGAAAATTACTAGGCAGTTTCTTTCCAAAATGAAATTCAGTTTTTCGTCTTTTTGTCGGAAAGAGAGTCTAAGATGCCGACCAGCTCCACGATGGAAATATACGATACTTCCAGCAGTCGCACACTGGGCAAAACCTGGAATGGAGGCTCTTATGCTGCCACCCAGTATTCTAATCCCACATCAGCCGGCCAGTATTTGTCCAGATCGGCTAGACAACCGGAAGTTTCCATCGAGTTTACCCCTTCCCGCTCGTATCCACCCGCATCCAGCCATCAGGTCGTATTTGATTACGTTGTTGTCTCAGGTAATTCTGAAAAGAATGGAATGCATGCACGTTAACTTTAAAATTCTATAGAACATATAATGAGCGTGATGCTCTGTTGTAGATACCAGTTCATCGTACAATACGTACTGCAGCGCACTGAGCGGATATGTCAGCGACAATTATATCTGCGACACCAGCAACGACCGTGTGAACTGTCCTAGTTCTTATTCGGCCTCAGTATACAGTATGGATCCGGCAATGTATCGACAAAGCTGCTGTAAGCGTTTTTTGTATCGTTCAGAATATTTTAATTTAACACTTTTTCAAAAATTATTGAAAATGATCTTTTGGAGTTCAGTGCACAGAATAAGTCGCGTTTGATAACGCGTAATTCATTAAAACTTTTAAACGGTTTTGTTCTGATTCTTGCAGCAATCGAAGGTGGAGCAAATGCAGGCTGTAAGAGTTTCTTTCATCGTTCAGTATGTATTTTGCTAACTTTTTCAGAAACTATTGAAAAGCCTTTTGGCATTTCAGTTCAGCACACACAAGGTATCGCGTTGAAAAGACAAGAAGAAGTGTAGACAAATTAAAAAAAAAACGTTGGCTCTAATGATCCAATCTTTTTAGCACTCGAGGGTGGAGCTATTGCCGGCATCGTCATTGGGTGTGTGGCTTTCGTGGCTATTGTCATCGGAATCATTGTTGCCTGCGCCAACCGTCGACCACGCACAACCGTCACCAATAAAGTGGCCTTTACCAATAACGCCTACTCCGCGCCGGTCGTCACCTTTTCCCAACCGGGTGCTCCCGCGCCGTATCCCACCCAGGCTTACGCTCCGGCACCGTATCCAGCCGGTGCGGCTCCGGCACCATATCCAGCAGGCGCGGCTCCGGTACCGTATCCAGCGGGTGGGGCACCACTTCCTCCGGCGCCGCAGCTCGTTAAATAAATAGATCCTCTCAGACGATGGGACCAAATCAAACTAGAATACACGAGCGAAATCCACTATTTTTAACCACCGTCTTGACTTGATTCGGTTAGTCCGGTCTCAAAGTAGAGTCTTGATTTGCTGGACACCCGCGTGTGCTGTAGGCTGTTGTGATATTGATTAAAAAAGCAGCAGAACATTTTCATTAAGATTTTCGATGGCAGCCTTGACGCTGTACTGCAAAAAATACAAATTGTCCTGTATACAAAGAATTCATTTTTGGTGTGTATTAGTTGAATTTTTAATGGCTCCGCCATCGAAAGCTTGATTTGCAAGATATGCTGTGGGAACTTCCCTTTTTTGGTGCATCCGAGATGACAAAGTTCTGAATGCCGTCTTGCCTAATTTACCATTCGTTCTTGTGCAACTCTGGCGCGTCGCTTTCAGTATTTTTCCGTCACATTTATGCACTTTTCTCGTGAAATATTCAGTTTTCGTGCTATTTGGCTTTTAAGGAAATACGCATGCAATGTGCAAGTGGGTAGTGAACAATAAATACGGCGAAAACATAAACATGAACAATAAATACGGCGGCAATAAGGCTTAATTCAAATACGGTACGAGACTGCATACAACAGTAGTAGGAACCGTTTCTTCTGGATCGCAGAACAATAATATTGCTGGCGTTATCTTATCGTTTTCCCGCGAGAAGCCCGTAAGGAAGTGCTATTTGTCGTGAACAATTGTACGTTAACCGTTTGCTGATAACCTCACATTACACATAGAACGCTGATTGAGTGGTGTTAACGATTCCATGCTGTCTTTTTTCTTTTAAGCGGAACCACGTACTAATTTCGATAGTTGCTCTTTGGTACAAGTTACAAACAGTTATAAATTCAAAACTTGAAACATCATGGCAGTCTCAGGATTATCATCACTAACTTCCGTTTTCTTGGCATGCCTGTTCGCTGCCGGAAGCCATGCGGCATCCTATACTTCCAGTCGTAAGAACGGCATAATATCTGTCGCCTTATTATGCACACTTGCTAAGACAACGAGGCTGTTTTAGGGAATCTGGAGGACTACTGCGGTCGGACGTTGAGCATTAGCTGTCCGTCTTACTCGTTTGGCGAAGCCGGAGCAATCCGCTTCTGGAACATGCCCAGCAGGTCATGTGAAGTGACAGTGACCTTGAGCAGCAGCTATTGTGGATCATCTTATGAATACTTTAGAATCTATCTCAACATAAGGTATGCATGCGCACGCACCACTCAACAGGTGTATATAGTATAAAAAAATCGGTAATAATGCTGTGAAAATAATATTTGAGCTCCTCATGTAAAGTTCCAAGGCAGAGAACTAAAATGTTAATAAAAAGATAATTATGATTTGCCAGCAGAATAATGAGCAATATTACGTAAGGCAAGAATGAGTAAGCCGCATTATCTTATCATCATCCGTCCGTATACACAGAGTACAGTAGCCCGTAATAAGAGAGCATATATAAATTTTACGCAGGTTCCGGGAAAAGTTTGACCCCTTCCCTTAGGTTGGTTTGGCCATGGGGTGACCCTAAGTTAAGTCAATCGGGCCGTCACATTTCTAGCACCTTTCTTCCCCCGGTTTGTGTACGTAATTTATGGATGGTCAATAATTGATAAAGCATATCTGTATGTAAGCTAGAGTATGAGCCAAAAAACGGAACAAGAAGTCCATTTCGAAGGCAATGAAAAACAAAATACTATACGTACAAGTGATTTCTGCCTATTTTAAAATTCTTTTTGAACTGAAAGTCAGTTCTGTTTTTCTTCGGACAGAGAGTCAAAGATGCCAACGAACTCTCAGATGATGATCTACGATACATCCAGCAGCCGTACATTGGGCAAATCTTGGAGTGGAGGTACTCAGGCGCAGTACTCTAATCCCACGTCAGCCGGTCAGTATCTGTCCAAATCGGCGAAACGACCGGAAATTTCCATTGAATTCACCCCGCACTCTTCCTATCCTCCCGCATCCAGCCATCAAGTCCTATTCGACTACGTTATTGTATCAGGTAATTCTGGAGTAGGAAGCTAAGGCTTATATGGCGGACTGGAAGCTGTACACCGACTAAACTAAGTGTTATCCTCTGTCATATCTGCAGATGAAAGCTCGTCGTCCAGAACGTACTGCAGCGCGCTGTACGGATACATTAGTGACAGTCTGATCTGCGACACCACCAACGACCGTGTCAACTGTCCTTACTCATATGCGGACTTAACATACAGCATGGATGCGGCCATGAACCGACAAACTTGCTGTAAGCATTTCTCAGTTTTGGGGATGATCTTCCTTCACTTTCGTTCTACTTACTACAAGAAATGATTGACAAATTTTTCAACCAGCAGATGCAAACGTATCCTTTGATAATGGGGAGTCCACACAAATTCCAACCGAAGTTGTATTGCTTCTTCCAGATAATAATTATGATCTCGGGGCTGGAGCGATCGCCGGCATCGTCATCGGATGCGTGGCTTTCGTGGCCATTGTCATCGGGATCATTGTCGCCTGTGCCAGTCGTCGACCCCGCACAACCGTCCAAAATGTGGCTTTCACCAACAATGCTTACTCTGCACCAGTGGTAACCTTTTCCCAACCCGGTGCTCCCCCGCCCTACCCTACCCAGACCTACGCTCCGGCAGTACCGCCACCGTATCCAGCAGGTGCGGCTCCGGCGCCGTATCCAGCGGGAGCGGCACCGCTTCCTCCGGCTCCCACAGTGGCTAAGTGAGAGCCCTGGAGCAGGCTACGTGCAGACGGTGGACATAATCTAACTGTATGACTGCACAAAATTCTATGCTCGTAACGATGTAATCATCGACCAGAATTGGAGAGTGACTATGCTTGTGTTCGTGGTGTCAAAAAAAACTGCGAACGCGGGTGACGTGCGCCCTTGTAGCGGCAATCGTAACTACCTGTGTGTATTTTTTTCTTATACCTACTGGCTAAAGCACAAATCGGAAAAGTTGCAATATATTGATAAACTTTCTTATTCTGTTCACTGCACAGGCGAAAGCGTAAACCTCCTTCAAATAAAAGCATGATGATTTGCTAATCTCCCAAACACGGGTTAACTGCTTAATGTTTGCACCGAGCGCCGCTAGGTGCTATTTAACGCACCCGGACAACTGGGACTGTACTTATCATTTCGCCACACTCAAATTCGACGTGCCGATGTTTAAGTCTTCGTGAAGGGCAAAAAACTTGTTTGGACTTTGGTGCCTAGAAGAGCATAATGTCACACTTTTTCAAATATCCTAAGTTCTATATTTCTTAATTGACGTAAAAATGTATAATGCAGCCATGCTGCCCATGTCGGCCCTTTTATGGCCTGGTAAACTTGAATGTACTGTATCTGTATGCATGCTAAAGAAATTGGAGACAGTGTAGTCGTCCTAGCGAAACATTTACTAAACGGTGCTTGAATGAAATGCGACAACTTCGGTGATATGCTCTGGAGTTACACACAGTTTTACAAGTGATGTACGCACCATTGTTGCAGAAATCAGATTGCCTCTCCGTGCTATCTTATCATATTATGCACAAGCAACATCTGCTAAATAAAAAGGCTACTTGTTAACCTTAGTAAATAACAAGTGCACGTAACAATTCCGATGATTGGCAGTTGTTCCACAGAGAAACTGTGACTTGATCGCCGTCAGCACGGCGTTAGCATCGTTGACTTTAATACTCAGGCGATATTGCCACACCATTTTCTTGTTAATTATCAATTTGTTTCGATTTTACTGGGCAGACAGCTTTCGCTTGCTGCAGTTGTAATTTTATTCGGTAATGGCATCCCTAAAATTTTTGGCAGCTGCAGCTGCCTTGATCCTCATCGCTTCCGTAGCCGATGCGGCATCCTACACTCCCACCAGTAAGAACTAAGAAGAATGAAACGAAACCAAAATAGTATTGCTTCTTCAATCCGAATTAATTGCTATAGCCAGTATGTTTCCAGGGGATCTGGAAAATTATTGCGGGCGTTTGTTAGACATAAACTGTCCGTTCACGTCTGGAGAAGCTGGAACACTCCGATTCTGGTCTATGCCTCGCTCGCCGTGTAAAGTGACAGTGGCTTTCTCCAGCCTTTCTTGTGGATCGTCATTTGAGTACTTTTCGATATACCTCAACATAAGGTAGGAATGTGTCAGCAGCAAATAGTAGAACGGATTTACACACTGATGAAGTGCCGGTGTAATGAGGCAAAATAAAACTCGGTAACTACCCTAGAGTTTGTAAGAGCATAAAAGTGAACCTACTTATTTGCAGATCGTCTTATATGCCTCTGAATTCAAAAATGGAAATCTACGACACATCCATCGGCCGCACACTAGGCAAGTCGTGGGATGGAGGTTCCAGAGTGCCACAGTCAACCAATCCCACATCAGCCAACCAGTATCTGTCCAGAGCGTCCACGCAGCCGAAGATCTCCATTGAGTTCACACCGTCCACTTCCTATCCACCTTCTAGCGAGCATGATGTGTTTTTTGATTATGTTATTGTTTCAGGTGAAGCACTCTGAGTAAAATCAACGTCAACTTCGTGATGGCTTTTGTTTCTGTTGTTCTGCTTGTTGTTGTTTTGCTTTTTTGTTGGGATTTAAAAGGCCTTTGCGAATACATAACTCACAAATTTTTTGGTTGTAGATACTTCCTCACACTATAACACTTACTGCAGCGCTCTACGCGGCTACGTCAGCAACAGCCACATCTGCGATACAACCAACGACCGCGTCAACTGTCCGAATTCATACACCGCCGAAGTGTACCAGAACAATCCAGCAACGTCTCGCCAGACTTGCCGTAAGCATATTTTTGATCTGCTTAAATATGTATGTACCGTATAATACACATACTGACCGCAGTCGTACAACGCGCCATTACTATGCTGTACCGGACAAAAGTCAGGCTGCGGCCCTTTACCCCGCCTACCGCCTGTAAAGATTTTAACTTCACGGCAGAGCTATTGATGATTTATAGAAGTACCTGACATAAGTCACAATTTTGTCCAATAATAAATTCCAGATATGAGGCACGTTGACAGGGTATTGTACTTTATTAATATCAATCGCACAGTTCAGGTAAGAAAGAAAGAAAAACGCTATCTTATTCACAACAGCAAAACTTCATTTAAACTATCCACTCCGTCCATTGTGCCAAGGATAGATGCTGCATTTCCACGCTGAATCTCCAGCGATATTCGTTGACGTAAAAACTCATGCGATCGACGCTCTCCTGTATGCTCTTGAAGTCTTTTGCCCAACTCCTTCACGATTGCGATAGCCGACGGGCCCTAGGGGCCCATCGTTTCAAAGGCGATAGGAAAAAAGATATAACGCCCTTGCAGATACGCATACAGTCGGGACTTCTTATCTTCTGCATGTACAGCAGCAGCTCCAGCCGTAACAGACGTCGATGGGAGATGGGAAAAGGCCACTGTGTCAACGCACGTCACATCCCAGGCCAGACACATTCCTCTTTTCCAGGCGAAAGTTGTACAACCGTCAGGGCGTTGATCTGTTGTGGAGGACGTACCACGTGGTTCCAGCTTAGCGGGAACACCGGCTGAAACGCACGCACGACATACGATGCTGTTTAAACCTCCATGGCGCGCGTGCCTACCGGCCGAGTAGCTGCACGATAAGCCATGGTGTCCTAACTTGTCAACGCGCTTCTGGCATTTGGTACAGTTATGGGGCTCACAAATATCCGCTCCAAGACGAAGACCGATTGAGATTTTAATCGTCTCATCGTCGAGGAGGTTACCGATATGGGCAGGGGTCACTCAAACAATACAGTTCTATTTTTTTGACGTTTTTGACAGGGTTCACTCAAACGTTTTTGACAGGGTTCACTCAAACAATACAGTACTATTTTTTTTCCAGGCTATTATTATGGGCTTGGAGGTGGAGCGATTGCCGGTCTCGTCATCGGAGGTGTGGCGTTTGTGGCAATCATTATCACGATCATTTTAGTCTGTGCACGGCGCGAACAGCGAATGAGGGCCCAACAAGTCGCAACCAACAACGCCTACTCCGTGTCCACCGTCACCGTTACACCACAAGGTACCCCGACGTCATATCCAACGCAAACGTACGCCCCGGCTCTCTACCCGGCTGGATCTGCACCATTTCCTCCTACCCCGGCAACGAGCTAGAGGTTAAGCGCAAGTTATTTGTAACGGACTGCTGCACATTTCAAGAAGCTGACAATTAATGAAATGTTTGCAATTTGGTCCTAATTGCGACCGACAGAGTTCTCATAATTTCTGTTACCATTACAGTTTGTGTTGAGTACGATGCGGACGCAAAATCTGCTACTGATACCTGTTTTTATGTGTGTTTTGATTCGAATTTATTTGTAATTTTTCAATCTGCATACGTATCTGTATTAAAACATTTATCACACACGTGGTCCAGGAGCAAGATAGCGGGACAATTCCTGTGAAACAGTTGCAGACTGATGTTTTCATATTGCCGTACTATCGCTATCTCATTAATTGTAGAATGATACTCTTCATAAAATGCTGGTGCCTATCTGTAGAATATTTGTTAGAGCTGATTGATAACCTATTTTTAACAATTCTGTCTTTACATAGCAGTCATACAAGTGAATCAAATTTCGTGTTGCACGAGACTTGACTTTCAATGTTTACCCACAATCAGCTACAATTTATTGTATGCATTCTGTACTCCGTAGTCTGTATACGGTATTACTACCACGGCTCTGTTTTGATCACGGAAATACGTACTACGATCAGCCCACGAATGTGGTTAACTGCCACTACCTTCTTGATACGGCGTTGAAGAACTACATGGCATCATGTTGAGCTTCAAGTATCCGGCCAGTGCCTTCCTTTCGCTATTCCTTGCTGTAACCGGAGCAAATGCGGCGTTGTATTCTGCCCACCGTAAGAATTCTCGTACAAGATTCCAGCACGCTTTTATTGCTTCAGAAGCATCGCACAGAATTCTCTGTTTTTTCTGCCAGGGAACCTGGAAGATTACTGCGGCAGAACCCTGGAGATCAACTGTCCGTACTCGTATGGCGAAGCCGGGACACTCCGGTTCCTTCGGATACCTGGCACAGCCTGTAAAGTTACAGTGACGCTTAGCAGCAGCTCCTGTGGATTGTCTTACGAATACTTTGCCATTTACCTTAACATAAGGTCAAACTGCAGAAGTGGTGTACAAACACTGGTTTACGGATTGTTAAACCGTACAGAATTTTCTTCTCTGCAGAAGCTTATATACGCCAGAGAATTCAAGGATGGAAATTTACGATACATCTAGTATCCGAACACTGGGGAAGTCCTGGAACGGAGGCTACACGCCGCAAAACTCTAACCCAACTTCGGCCGGTCAGTACTTGTCGAAATACGCGAGACAACCGGAAATTTCCATTGAATTTACGCCTTCCTTGGACAATACACCAGCCTTTTATCACGAAGTTGTTTTCGAATATGTAATCTTGTCAGGTAAATGGTTAGCAGCCACCATTTTTATTTTATTTATTAGCAGCTTTCATGTTTGTAAAAGCCAATCAGACAGTCCTATTGGGCCCAGTTCCCAAACTGACGTGTTAATTGGTAATACTGGTTATAGTAATCATTATTCTCATATATCCTGCTGAGACTCTTAACAAAATGATAGCTGCCGATCTGCAAAGAACCTACGAAATCGTGGTGTGGTAAAATTATTATATTAATATCGTGTGCTGCAGACACCAGCTCGGACTCGAACGCTCGTTGCAGCGCTTTGAACGGCTACGTCAGCGACAACTACATTTGCGATACGGACAATGACCGCTGCAATTGTCCCTACGCTTACACGCCCTATGTGTACAGCATGAGTCCGGCTGGGTACCGCCAACAATGTGGTAAGTTAACACAATCTTCATTTTCTCAGCACAAACGTACTGATGTTATTTCGTTATATTCTGGTGTTTGATGCTAATTAATAGCTAAAATTCGTTAGCCTACGAAATCGTTTTTTTAGCTTATGAACTGAGCGGTGGGGCTATTGCCGGTATCGCCATAGGATGCTTCGCGTTCGTAGTGGTAATTATTGTCATCACAGCGCTCGTTGGCAAACGCCGACGACCACGGACAAAAACCCCGCGAGTGGCATTTATCAGTAATGGGTACTCCGAGACTTCCGTTGCCCTTACACCGCAAGAAGCACCACCTCCGTATCCGGCCCAGGCGTATGCTGCGCCGCCTTATCCAGCGGCAACTTCGCCACTTTTGCCTGTACCCGCAGCTAATTAAGCACCATACAGGGGCTCAATAAAACCTAGTTGCTCAAATTTTGTCAGACAATAAGCAAATGGAATGAAGTCAGTATGTCGCTTCCATAATTAGATCTTCACTGATTTTTGCTAAACCTTCGTTTTCGTCTTTGAACGAAATGTAAATACTACGTAATAAGTAATTTTAGTGGCAATAATTTTTCAGCTTGTATACAGACAACGTCATAACAAACCGCAGCAACGAATTAAAACGAAAAAATTAGCACTCTTACGATTGCCCAGTCTAAAGCTTAAATAAGGATATCTGATTAAAACATGTATCTGACACAGGTAAGATGTTTTCCATTTTAAATGTGTTTTTCTTGATTATGATTCGATCAGCACTCATAATAACTTTAGACTGTTTTGTCGACTTCGGTTGCCAATAAACCTTCAGTGTATTCCGGTGGTCTGTCGCTTACGTAAATACTGCGCTGGGATGGCGTGCAGCGTTTAAATCAACAACATTAGTGGGATAATAATTGATCAGGCGACATTGTACGAGACGCCGTTCCCATGTAAAATTCAAATCATGGTATTTTGCTGCAACCAGCTCTGCTAATTGCGAAACAGATTCTCTGACCTATCACGTTCCGTGCATCCGCCAAACACACAGATACAAAGTAAATGTACAGTATATTGGCCACGATATTAGCAAAATATCTGGAACATTCGCACCTTTGCTCTCCCGGCTTCCAAAAAGTTTCATTTATACGTCATCGATCATCGTGGTTATTTTGCGTTAACTCAAGTCACCGATAAACACATTCCAGATTCTTCATGTTCCATCGTGTAGGCCAATTTTTATTGATTATTACTTATACTTACCACTTCCTTTAATACGCTCATTTACACCAGTGAGCCACGATGTGTCTGAGGTACTTGAACTAATTTTGCTCTCAATCTAAACAGGCGCACTTTTTGTAGTCCCCATCAACCAGATGGTAGCAAAGCCCGCGTGCGATACATTCCTGATTTCCATTGCTATTCACTTTTTGTACGTCGGGCAAACAAAGTGACGATGATCTAATCCACCTGGAGCATGTTGCTGTTCCGTGATGGCCTGTTTATCCACACTCGATAAATTCGCAACAAGGAACCGGTTAACCGAATTACCCTAACTTTCTCTTTCCTTAAACATTTCTTTAGCGGTTGCCAATTATAGCGCACGCATAGCGCCAATCAGATCAGCTATCCTGAATAGTAATCCGGCTCGCATTTGTACTCCGAGGCGGCGGAAATTAGATTAAACGTACACGCATGACATCAACGATTTTCCAGACAAGACTACTTTCTCTTCCTGATGGAATTCTGAATAATTCTGTTTTATGTGGCTGCTCGTTAATATAACAAAGCTGCAAGTAAAATGGACAGTTCATCGTTTCGCAACATATCCAATAATCAGACATTGCAGTTGTCCGTAGACTGGAATTACGCCGCAGTCGGTCGCACCACACTATGCATCCTCCAACTGCTTCTCAATTTTTCCATGTTACTCGTCATCATCCGGCAACAGACTTTACGGACAGCGTTCAGTGTGTACATCATCGGTTTATTAAGCGCCAACATTTTCTACGCCGCGTGTGAATATCCATTGGAAATTCTCCTAGCCTTATACAGCGAATGGTGGATGTCCAGAGCGGCGTGCAGCTTCTATCTGTATCAAATCTGGGTGTTTGTCGCCGTGCCGATGCACATGCACGTCCTGATCACCATCAACCGATTGTGGGCGCTGACCTTTCCACTATCGTACCGTAACATCCACAGCTCGAAAGTGGCCGGTTTGCTGTGCATCGGAAATGTAGTGTATGTGCACATCTTATGCTTTCCGCTGTTTCTAATTGATGAACTGTACTATCGCGTGCCGTTGGAGCGGTTCGGCTGTTCGCTGGACACTGTCAATTTAAACGTGTACGCTAATGTTGTGAACATGATGGCGTTTAACATGCCCATCATCATCGTTGTCTGCTCGTATCCGTTTATCCTCCATAAGCATCTGCAGCGGCGGAAAGTGTGGGCTGTGAATAAAACGGATCGTACCGGCGTTTATGACAAGCATGATAATCCGGTAATTTATCAATACAGTAAAACCTCTCCTTACATACACTTCTTTATTAAATACACTTCTCTATAGCATACAACCTGTAAGGAACCGAATTGGCTCGCATGTTATAACATAGAGGGGATTCTCTTTATAATATTCACCTCTTTATAAGCCTTACGTACACTTTCCGCGGAACCGAATGCAGTTTAACTGGTGTAGAGAAGCTCTGAACAACATTCAGTTCCGGTTAAATACCGCTGCATACAGGTAGCCGGGTGCAATATGATGTTATCTGAACATCCTGAACTAATATGGGCAACATTGACGTTGTTTGTGTAAATATAATTACCACATGCAGAAATATATCTCAAAATAATTTTATTTACCAGTCTTCAAGTATTAATCATACTTTATGATGAACTCAGAACGAAGTACAATATGTAACTCCTACGTAATACAAATTTATAGTGTACTACAAATTCTTGCTACTGCCTTATGTTGGATTTATAAAATACATGTACCGCGACGCCCCCCCCCACCCTAAATTATAACAGCGCCCCTGGGGGCAGTTTCCCTTTATGGAATACACCCCGGTATAACATACGAAACTGATGGAACCGTGCCTGTATTTTATAGAGAGGTTTTACTGTAATTATTTTCGGCTTTAATACGGTGTACTCATAAATTTGAAATTTTTTACTAGTGTATCTCAGCGCACGATTGTTGTTAGGTTATTTGGCTACTGCGTGATTAAAACCTGCACTTATTCCGGTAATAAAACACTATTTAGCGCAACCTTTTCCATTGCCTGTTGTTGTTGCAAATTAAGAGATCTGTGCGAATGGTTATTTATCTTAATGTTTCCACAGATTTCAACGCATCACAGAAGAGGAACGGAAAGCGTGGCGAACAAGCACACCGCCGAAAATGTCCGTCCCTTCCTTGTTCTTAGCATGCTGACCTGCAGCGTCTTTATCTGCTGGACGCCCGATCAGGTGTACTGGACTCTAGATAATTTCGTGGACACTTCGGGATTCGTGTGGCTGCACCACGTGGGCATGGTGCTGTACGGACTGCAAGCTGTGCTGGATCCCATTCTGTTTGCGGTGTCTTTAAGCAGTTTCCGAACCACAATTAAGCAGCTATGGTCCCAATGGTTTTAACACATGCAACGGATTATCTGATTCCCGCCAAGAAAACAACCGTCGTTAAAGCATTTCTGTACGAAACACTTTCCTTTGGTAATTGCGCATTACAGCTTGGTGAAGCTTCGCCACGGACGCTTCTTGGACGGACGCTTTGAAGCTTCAAAAATTTGGATGAAGTCCATGCCAGTGAAAATGTCAAGGACATGTTGTCGAAATCATATGTGAGGACATTAACTCGTATTTTTGTACACTCTCGAATCTCAAACACCATTTTTATTGCATGAGTAATTTATAGTCGCTTCCCATGTCGCTTTAGCGGAGTTTCTCTAACTTGTTACCCAAATTAATAAATTTTTACCACAATGTAAAGCTCAAGGTAAAAGTTCCGTAAAATAAATACTTAACGGTGAAAACATTAACGCAAAGTAAGCGCCAGTCAAATGTACCGATGAAACTAGATTTTCAGTTGCGCAGTATATTAATTCACAAATTTATTACCTATATCGATGCAATGGTTCCACGTTTAAGGCCAAAGTATTATACTATTGTACAGCAAACGTAACACGGCAGAATCTAATTAAGCAGTCTCCTCGAAATCACGTTGAGCCGACACGATAGGTGTAACATGTTTGTCGATCGCAAGGCTTGTTTATATAAGAAACCATTTTCCTGAAATTTGCATCATGCTTGTTACTTGCAACAGATCAAGTTAGCCAGGAGGTTCCGGAAACGATTGAGTGAAAAAGCAAATAAAATAGGATCAAAGACAGCTTGGAGGAGGTAAAAAATACTGAACGTGTGCCAGAGACCGGGCATATCCCCGACAGCTGTCACGCATCCGATCGTCCACGTAACCTGATTGGGAGTCCACAGGATGAGGACGCTTACCGTTAGCAACGTCAAGACGAGGAACGGATGCGATAATGAGCTGCTGCGGGTGCTGCGCGGCGACTGTCCTACCTATAATTCATTAATCGACAATAAAAAGGTCACCTATAGGGCTATAAAATAAAATTTTGCAAAACATTCTGGCACATAGTGAGCCCATAATTTTTGTGACACCCAATTCATTGCATAAGCAAATTACTTTGTTTGTCACATTTGTTGATGCGCCAGTGCGAGAAGCGCTTGCAGTTAGTTTCTTTCCTCGCCGCGCTTGCTTGTAGTATAGAAACGGATAGGCACCAACGACGACAACAATCGGCACATCGCAGCTTATGATGGAGATTATTGTTGTGGCTACCATTTGGGATTCCGTATTGAGAAAGCATCCGTTCTCTTTTTCCGGAAGACGATAGTACATGGCGTCCAGAATAACCACCGGCAGGCACAGAGCATGCACGTACACGGTCATTATGCAGCACAGCAGCAGCGCCACTTTTTCGCCATGGACATTCTTGTAGGAAACGGGAAAGGTCATCGCCCAGATTCGGTTTAACGTGATCAGAACGTGAATATGCACAGGTACGGCGGACATGACCCAGAAGAGATACATGTGCACGGTGCACACGCTGGAGGGCAGCCAGTAGCGGCCCCAGTAACCTTGGCGAATGATCTCCAAAGGATAGGCGCTGGCGGCGTATATTACGTTGAGGAAAAACAGGAATGCGAGGTAGACAGCAAAGGAGGTCCGTAGTTCTTTGTATATTACGATAGCCACGAGCATGGCGGAATTTAGGAAGATCTGCAATATGCCGATGCTGATCCGCGCCATGGCAGGAAGGTTCCAGATCAATCCCGTCACCGTGCTGTTAGCGTCAGGTTCGATACAATTCATCTTTGCTGTGAAATATGCAGTCCTGTTGTTCTAGTCTGTTGGTTTTGCTGTCCAGGGTCGCACGAACTTAAATGCTTGGAATTGCGTTGTTCTTGTTCCGTAACACTTCTAATGCTAGATCCAGAATGGATCCAGAGACAGAGACAGAAACGGGATCTATCCTGTGGAGTGAGCGATACGACCTGGATCGCGAGCTATGCGGAAACACAAAACGTCGCACCGTAATCGCTGACTTTTTATAATATTGAAAGTCTGGAGACCAGAAATCAACAAGTGATCGGCACAGCTCGATCGTAAATCGTAGAACCAATTCAACAGTGTGTAACACTGTGCAGCACGTGCTAAGCCGCGCCCACTAACACAACTCAAGCTAGCCAATCAGAGCGAGACACGTCACAGACCGTAATCCGAAGGCGTAGCGCCTAGCGCCACGGGCGTGAACGCTAGTGAGCCTCGTCTCACATGCCTCTGGGGGGATGCCGAGCTCCGTTGAGGCTGGACACACTCCCGAATCCACGAAAAGACGGTTGCCGGTGTCTGTGCGTGCTCAAAAACATCAAATTCTCTTATTCCATTTATCACATCAATTCCAAATGCACTATGTGAAAATAAAGAGATCTGTATCAAAATACTATTCCATATCAATTTTAATACAAAAACAGATCAACAGTTATAAGATCAACAAAAGTATTAATCAAATGTAGACTAGGATCCTCCATTTCTGACTCGTAAAGGTCACAGGTCCTGTCCACCGTTTTCCGCACTTTGGCCCATTCCGCTCTGTTGAGCAATCCCGCGCATGTGTAATGCGACTTTCATCACAATCAGCTTGAGAATCGGGTGCGTATCAAGTACGACTTAGGAATACTGCTTCAATCTTTGGAATACGGTGCGTATCAATTGTACGACTTTCAAATGAGATCCATTAAAGGTCATGGAGGGACGTCGTATAGACAAGCGTAGTTCGCTTCCTCCCTGGTAAAGGTCAACCTTTGTTGAGATGATCCGTTGTGATGTGCGACTCGGTTTGGGTTAATGGTCCCAAAAGGTCATACGGCTTAAATTCCAATACGATGACTCTGTTGGGCGGTAATAATCCCAAAGGTCATCCAACTTCACTTCAAACTTCGATTAAAGGTCATGGAGGAACTTAGCCGATTTTTGCCGACTCTCAAGCATTTCTTCGCTTGCCTCCCTGGTAAAACTTTTAAGTTGACCTTTCCGTCGCACATCCAACTCCAATATGCCTCGAGCGGCCAGAGTGCCGGCAGAGTTTACCGTAACATCTCCGATGGGGCCGGCTAACTACCGCATTAAATTTACCCCACGATGCTTCCACATTAAATCTTTGACTCTTGTTCGCCGCTTGTGGCCCAACTTCGGTACGAGAGATCCGGCTTGATTACCGCTATTTCTCTCGTTGACTTATAACACTGATTCGCTTAGAGAGATTGCCGGCATAGTTTGCCGTAGCAACTCTAATGAGGCCGGCTGACTGCCGCATCAAGTTTACCCCATCAAAATTTCCACCTGTTGTCTTTCTCTTTTTCGCCGCTTGTGGCCCCCTTTCGTATTCAAGAGATCCGGCTTGATTACCGTAGTTTCTCTTGCCAATTTATAACACTGAATCGCTTACGGAGGAGTGCCGGCTAACTGCCGTAGCAACTCCTTTGGTGTAGTGTATGATGTTGCTAAGTGCAAAAGGTCATGAGTTGTGGTGTGCGTTAATACTGATGATTTAGTACGATTACCAGCTGGGTACGAGAATCTGAGACTTTGTGCTATTACTCTATTATTCATATTAAAGCGTATTACATATACGACATTGGCGTGAAGGCGGTATTACTCAAGCGAGTGTATGCCCGGATCGGTCGATACATCCACGTCGACTTCTGATACTTCCCCAGTGTCTTCCCCAATGACTGCCGCAAAAGAAAAAGCCCAGAACTTGATCCGGTTTAACCCGGATCAGGTTGAATGGACATCCTGGAAGTCCCTCCTTAAAAACTACCTGTCCCTCACAGAGACTACAGCTGCGAAGCAAAAGGAAGTGCTGATTAACAGCCTGGAATTGCGCGCCTTTCAGGATGTTGTCAGCGCTTGCCGACCGAAAGATCCGACCGAATTTTCGTATGATGAGCTGCTGAAGAAACTGGACGACATATATATCAAGGTGACCTATCAGACAACTGAATGGGCATCCTTCTTCAGAACACGCCAGCAGTCCAGCCAGTCATTGGTACAGTTCTCTAATGAACTGCGAAACAGGACCTACACATGTAAGTTCCCGGGGGCCATACTGGAAGATCTGCTGAGCGCTGTATTTGTTGCGGGAGTTCACAGCGATACAACGAGAAGACACCTTATGTCACAAGAGCTGAAGTCGTTTGATGAAACACTCCAGCTTGCCAGAAGGTTTGAGACGGGACAGGAGCAAGCAAAGATGAACAATAACCTGGAGGAGGATATACCCACCTCGGTAAAGGTCATCCGGAAAGCTGGAAGAGGCAACGCAGCGAGACAGCAGAGTCCGCGGAAGACGAAGCCCTGCTACCGATGCGGTGGGACGAACCACGATCAGGCAGACTGCAGATTTCGCAATCAGCCATGCCGAAAATGCGGTAAGAACGGCCACATTGCGAAAGTTTGCAGATCTGGTGCGGCAACGGAAAGGGAACCCAGCGACGCAGTGGTAGAGTGGAAGCCGTATACGACGTGCTGAACACCACCACTGGAGAAGGGATCCCATCATGGTGCATCTAACGGTTTGCCGTCGGTCAGTTGCGTTTGAACTGGACACAGGATCGGCGAAGACCATTGCCACCAGGAAGATGTGGAACGAATTGAAACGACCGGACCTGTTCCCGTGCGACTCGAAGCTCCGTAGCTTCGGGACACGAAATTCCAGTCCTTGGAGCTTGCTACGTGGGAGTTAAACGCGACGGCGGCAGTGAAGAACGGTTGATGGAACTCATTGTGGTCGAGGAAGGCACGAACGTCTTGGGAAGGGACTGGATCACCGCGTTCAACCTCCAACACCACAAGATGTCTGAACTGGCGATTGGTCAGGTGCACGAGGAAAGGTCACTAGAATCCATACTGAAAGCGAACAAGAATCTCTTTCGGGAAGAACTCGGATGCTGCCGGACGTTCCAGGCGCATCTCCACCTGAAGCCGGATGCAGTGCCAAAGTACTGCAAGCCACGCCCCGTGCCCTTTGCGCTACGAGAGCCTGTGGAGAAGGACATTGAGCGCCTCGAGAGACTGGGCGTCCTAGAACGGATCGAGCGATCGGCATGGGCGGCGCCGATAGTAGTGGTGCGGAAGCAAGGCGGAGCAGTGCGGATATGCGCGGACCTGAGCACCGGGCTCAACGATGCCCTGGATGTGCAGCGGTACCCACTGCCCTTGCCGGACGAGTTATTTGCCATTCTCAATGGCGGTGAGGAATTTACCACGATTGATATGTCCGATGCATATCATCAAGTGCCACTGGATGAAGCGAGCCGTGAGTTGGTTGCGATAAACACGCATCGCGGATTGTATCGCTACACTCGACTGCCGTTCGAGTGGCTGCAGCGCCCAGCATCTTCCAACAGATGATGGAAGAACTGCTGAATGGCATCCCGTACGTAGCTGTGTACATGGACGACATTATAATCACAGGCAGAACACGACGGGAGCACCTTGCAAATCTGGCCGAAGTAGCCGAACGAATGAACCGACAAGGATTCACCCTGAAACAGCAGAAGTGCAACTTCCTTCAGCTGTCGGTAGAATACTTGGGATTCGTGGTTGACAGAAACGGCCGACATGTGTCCGAAACAAAGATTCGCGCGATAATGGAGATGCCAGCACCGGTGGACGTTGCCCAGGTGCGATCCTTCCTGGGAATGATCAACCATTACGGCAAGTTCATTCACCAGCTGGCGACCAAGACGTACTGCCTCAACGCCCTGCTGAAAGTGGACGTCAAGTGGGAATGGTCAGGAGAATGTGATGGTGCCTTCCGCAGCCTGAAGGCGGAGCTGGCACAAGCTACAATGCTGGTGCATTACGATCCTGCGAAGCCGCTAATCCTCGCAGCGGATGCGTCGCAGTACGGGATCGGAGCGGTTATCAGCCACCGCGGACCGAGCGGAGAAGACCAGCCCATTGCCCATGCATCAAAGACGTTGACGCAAACTGAACAGCGGTACGCGCAGATAGAGAAAGAGGCGTTGGCTTTAGTCTTCGGTGTGAAGAAGTTCGACCAGTACCTGGCTGGTCGGGAGTTCACACTCCTTACAGACCACAAGCCGTTGGTCACGGTGTTCGGCCGGAAGACTGGAATTCCTGCGGTATCTGCCAACCGCCTCCAGCGATGGGCCATTGCACTCATGGCATATACCTTCACCATCGAGTACCGGTCCACCGATGACTTCGGGCAGGCTGACGGATTGAGCCGGCTCCCCCTGCACTCGAAGGATATCTTCGATGCCAATGATTGGGGAATGCACGAAGCCATACATGCCGTCCAGATGGAAGTGTTGCGTGAGACACCGGTGGACGCGATGCAGATCGCCAGTGAAACTGGTAAGGACCGTGTGTTAGCGCGGTGCCGTCACCTGGTGCTAACTGGATGGCCAGACAAAGCGGCGCCGGACCTCCAACCGTACCACCAACGGCGGCTTCAGCTGTCCGTGGTTGCTGGGTGCATCCTGTGGGGAGCGAGGACGGTCATTCCGACGTCCCTCCAGCCAGCGCTGCTGAAACACTTGCACGCGACACATGCCGGCATGGTGCGTATGAAGGCGGAGGCCAGAAGTCATTTCTGGTGGCCTGGGTTGGACGCAGACATCGAGCGACTGGCGAAGAATTGCCCTGCCTGCAGTATGGTGGCAAAAGAAACGCCGAAAGTGCCGTTGCAGCAGTGGCCAGTTGCCGAGAATCCGTGGCAGCGCGTGCATGTGGACTTCTCGAAAGTGGCCGGAAGTCATCAAGATGCGGCGGACGCAGTCCGGCGACGTGATCGCCGTGCTGGAGCACTTGTGCGGCCGTTATGGATACCCGAAACAGCTGGTAACCGATAACGGGCCACAGTTCACCAGTGCCGAGTTTGCAGACTACTGCAAAGAAAACGGGATTGCACACCTGCGCACGGCGCCTGGACACCCGCAATCCAACGGGCAGGCGGAACGTTATGTCGGCGCATTCAAGGACGCCATGACCAAGATGTTGGCCGACAACCGTGCCAACATCGACGATGCACTGCGGAAATACCTATTCAGGTATCGTACGACACCGCAAGCCACCACTGGAAGTTCGCCCGATGAGCTATTCCTCAAGCGCCGAATGCGCACAGCGCTGGATTTGGTACATCCAGACGCGAACGAGACACGGCAAGCCAACATGGACCGTCATAAACGTAACTTCGATCAGCATGCCAAAGCGAAAAACTTCCATGGCGGACAGCTGGTGTTAGTACGTGATTTCCGCCACGGTCCTAAAACCCATTGGACACCCGGCCAGCTGCGGTCTAAGAAAGGAAACCGTCAATGGACAGTTACGGTCGACGGCCAAGAGTGGTTCCGCCACGAAGACCAGATCAGGCCGCGTGAATGGCGTACTGCAGCTGAGCCCAACGACGTTACATCGCCAACAGTGCCAAAGGCGATGATATCGGAAATCCCACAGCGTGACCAGCAACCTGCAATAGCGGAGCCTGTCATCCAGCCACAGCCGGAACCAGCTCCGAGGACAGAACTTCCTCCGGTAGCAGTGCCTGCTACAACGAATCCTGCTCCTCCATTGCGTGTGTCAGCGAGAGCGAATAAGGGAGTCGAGCCAATACGATACGGATATACAAAATAAAATTTTTTTTTATCGGGGGAAGGAGATGTAGTGTATGATGTTGCTAAGTGCAAAAGGTCATGAGTTGTGGTGTGCGTTAATACTGATGATTTAGTACGATTACCAGCTGGGTACGAGAATCTGAGACTTTGTGCTATTACTCTATTATTCATATTAAAGCGTATTACATATACGACATTTGGGGCCGGCTTTATAGACCGAATCAATTTCAACCCCAATCGATGCTCCACATGATTTCTTTATCCTTTCTGATTCTGTGCTATAAATGCTGAAAACAACAAATACACAAATGCAGTTAATGTTAATATGTCACGTCGCCTTTATACAACACCATTTCTCATTCTTGTGACGTACCGACAATTGCCGTAGACGCCCTTTTAATAGTGTGATCCTGACGATCAACACTATTCCATTTCATTTGAATCGTCCTCGCCATCTCTTGGCGGGCGCTTCTTAGAGCTTTCTGGTTGGTTACGGTCAGACGTTCGGTCAACTGGTTCCGTGGAATCAACTGCCATGACCTTTTCCGGATCAACTTCTCGCTGACCGCGACCTTTCCCTTGGCGACTGCGTTTAACCGCCTCTACCCGATGGCGTGCGTCATTTTCTTCCAGTCGCAGTCTTCGATTGTCGGGGTCATCCGCTAGTCGACGCTGTACATCGGCGAGATTTTCCCGGAGCTGCTGGTTCCGTAGACCACGTCGTCCAAGCTGGTTAGGGGCGCGTTCTGGGCGCCGATCGCTTTTCTTCACAAGGAATTCGTCGATATACATTTCAACTCCGTCGAAGGGGTCGACGTAGTCGCTTCCCATGGTGTCTTTGATTTATTAACCCTCTCTTCTACCTGGGAGGCATGGCGTTGTGTAAGATTGCCCTTTTCCATACGTATCTTGCACTTTTTCAACGCCTTTCTTGCCGTATGGGCTATTCCAACATGTTCCATGGGTTCGCCCAATTTCGCCACGTGAGGTCGGAAGAGTAGTGGGATGTCGTCCTTCATGGTATTGGACACCAATTGGTTATGGGTCTTATAATGTGCCAATCTTGCAGCGAAAACCTTTTGCCCCATCCTTCTTGCGGCATGATCTTTAGGATCCACTTGTAACCCGATCGATGCTCTTGCTGCAAGCAACTTGAAGGCTGGATTCACGTGTCGTAATACAAACTGAGCGACATATTCTTGTCGTTCGGGATAATCTCTGTAACAGAATTGTGTCATCCCGATTGGGTCAGTCGTATCCAGTGGCACGTCCAACAAATTCAGATCCAACAGGCTATGTAATCCGTTTCGTCGAATAGGGAGGTAACAATCCCTTGCTGAGTCGCGGGGAATGTATAACTGACGGAAACTTCCTTGTTCCACTCCCTCTTTAATTTCTTTCGCATAGCCCGAGTCGAATAAAAATTGACGCAGCTAGTTCAGAATTGTATGGATCTTATTCGCATCCGCCGAATCGTCTTCAATCCCTATGTATCGGCAGATTTCTATCTTTTGTTCGTCGGTGTCGCGCATATCGTATACCATATCGATTGTGTCGGGGTGTCGGTTATTGAATCGAGAAGTCGTTCGCCGATCGACTTCGCGACGTTCATCCGGTTCGCGCTGACTTTCTTGTGCGCTTCGTTCTCCTGATTCTGCCTGCGGCGGTTCATTACTCGCCGGTGTAGGCGGTTGAAGGTCGCTGTCCAGAATAACGTTTCGTCGGTGTGTCACATTTGCTTGGGACGCTTCTGCAATTGAACTGGGTCCTTCCATCGGGTCATCATCTTGAGCGGTGCTAATAATTGGGTCCACCACATGGACGGTTGACTCCATTCTTTGATACTTTGGGGTGAGTCTTCCCTTTCTGCGCTGGATGACCTTTACTTGCGCCAGATTCAAAACCCGCATAATACCTGGCTCTTTCCTGCCAGCGTTTATCCTGTGGGTCTGGCGTTCGATTTCGCGTGTGTTCGCGTCTTTTATCCCATGACCTTTCCGGCGTAGACATTCTAACATTGCGATTACGGAATCCAACTTCCAACGGCACCTGATGACCTTTCTTTTCAGGCTCTGTACGGTATGACTCCGCACGCCGTTGCTCTTCACGTCCTCTAGTCGCTGCTAGAATCTTTGCCGTGTCGATTTTTCGTTGGATGCTTGTCTCCGTTATCTCATTTCCATGGCGTACCCATCCTCTTCCGCCACGGTAGTCTCTGTCGCGAGAACGCTCGCGTGACCTTTCGCTTCGGTAATCCCGTGTCCTTTCCCGGGAATGTTCACGTGACCTTTCACTTCGTCTTTCAGAAGTCCGCTCATGTTCCCGTGAATGTCCGCGTGACCTTTCTCTCTGCAGAGGCGAACGGGGTCGTGTAAACACATCGTCTCGTCGAAAGCCTCTGAGCGCCTGTAAAACATTGCTCTCGGTCTGGCGGGATTTACGCAGCTCCTCCATACGTTCTTCGACTGCTTTCTTTATGTATGGTGCCGGAGCAAAACCCTTTTGCAGTCTTAACTTTTCCCGTAACAGCGCATCAAATAGGTCTTGTTGCATGGCCGCCGGATCGCTCGTCAGCGTGTCGATTTGAATAATGAGCGACTGGCGTATCAGCTGTGCTTCGTCGTCATTGAGGCTGGCTGTCGGTACAGTCGAACTCGACGGATTGGGCTGCGTCTCTCGTGCGGCCTGTTCGCTCGCCTTTTGATTCGCCGCATTGATCTTCGCCCGGAGTTCGTCCTCCAGCTGTTGCCGCCGCATCTTCTCTTGTTCTTCCTCAAACTTCTTCCGGTATGCGTCCGTCTGTGGGCATTTCAATGGCTCCAGAGTCTCATCCCAGCCGCTTTCGTTATTCTGGATCGCTTCCCGGTAGCGATCCTCGAGTAGCATCCGCTCCTCAACTGGGATGCTGCCATAGTTCCTCGCGCTGATGAGGTTTCGAAAAACGTCCATGTTCCCCGTTTAGCTTCCGTAATCCCCACGAGTGAAACGATATGTGGGTCGCCCAACTTGTGAATGCATGCATAGCAGGGGAATTTCTTATCGACCTTTTTATTATTCCGTAAACAGTCCGGACACTTTGGGTTATAGCCCGTAGATCTGTTTATCTCCGATGCCGTTCCTGAGCTTTTAGGAGTGGCTTGACCTTTCTGTGCCATCTTCTCCGTTTTAAATCTGCAATCAGAAAACAATCCGTCATAATAACCTTTCCACGTTAATCGTTTCCATCTTATCCATTATCAAGGCTTCTCTAGCATTTTTACGCCTATTCCGTTACTGAGCTGAGACTTTCCTAGCTCCTGCTGCCCTTTCTATCACTGTAACGTGGTGACCTTTCTCAACGTTATCAGCACTTTCTGACTACTGTGACCTTTTCTATTAGTCTTATCGCTGCTAATTCTCGCGTTAACCTCTTCACTTTCAATTTTCCATAAAGTTTTTCCCATTCGTTTTTAACTATTTTATGCTTTTAGTAATATGCAGGGTTCATTACTCGCTGCACATTACACTCGCCCTTATTCACTCAGACTCCTTCGCCGGCGGTTTATACGGCTTGAAGTCAATTCGGCCATCCTGATTCATATGAAGCACGTCATCTGCAATCAACGCTTCGACGGCATTCTTAATCCATTCTCTATCGTTCTCAATATTCAATTCTCCCAACTCATAATGGGCGGCCATGAAATTCGAAAGGTCATTCCATGACACTCCATTGGTACCACCGATGGCGTCCAAGGCCACATCTGTGATGGCTATTTTCCAGACTTCCAATTCCATTTTCAGTCTGGGCGTGCGGTCCGTGCCCTGTTTCGGAAGGTAGTAAATAACTTTGTTATCCTTGTTATATTTGCATCCCAACTTTCCTTCCTTATATGCTCTCTTCAAGACCCGTTCGGTCATGCTGAGTGATGACCTTCCATTCGAATTTTCAGCGACTTGTCTCTTCAAGTCTGCGCCAAGCATTTCGGCTTCCCTAATATTCTGGAGTGCAGCCTGGACTTCGCCCCATGTCCGATTAGTCACATCCAAGGGCGCGCCTAGCGTGTAATCTGTCGGCTCTTTTGTTTTTGTACCGCTAGTCTCTGTTTTCTGGGGGGATGTTGCCGAGTCCGTTATTTCTGTTCTCTCCATTTCGTCAATCCTCAATTTCGCCATTGAACCAGATGATGACTGTGCCGATTTCGGTTCCTCAGCTTTCTCCTTCTGTGGTAAAGTCTCGTGACCTCCCACTTCATCTGCTGACTTCGGCCGCTCTTTTTCAAAAGCCTCCTTCAATGGTGTGAACAATGATTTCTGGTACACCTGTCGCGCAGATGCAGCTTCTGCTTCTGCCGCTGCCTTGTCCATTGGGAGCATGACCTTTTCTTTCTCCCGTTTTTCTGAAGTCCCATGACCTTTCGGTTGAGTTTCTTCCGTCACAGTTCCAGATGTCTCTTGACCTTTAGACTGTTTGTCTTGTCCTGTCACTGGCTCGTGAAGCGCTGGTGTCGTAGTATCATCGCCACTTTCTTCCGATTCAGTATCCATGGGTCCCTTCTTTTTCGACACTTTCGGTGCTTGTGCTTTAACCCGAACTGTTTCTTCCTCCGCTGTTAACTGCGCGATCCGATTCAATATGGGAGTTGTTGGATCTCCACTCGATGGCACTTTATCCATCTCCTGACTGTCGGACATGGTACAATGGACTTGTTTTTCCGGCGGTATCAGGCCTACCCTCGTGTATCGGATCGGATATCCTTTATGTGCGTTCGTTGTTGACAGGATATTCTGTTTTATCAGCCTTGGCAATACACGTTCAGTTGCCGTATCGATTTCCTTAATCATCCCTTTTCCGTCATTCCAAACGGCATTGATGTATTGGCTGATCCGGTGACTCGTTGACCCCAATGGGCTTGTCATTCCCGCGATCGCCCTTTCTACTCGCATAGAGGTATCTTCGTTTGGAGTCGTCAACGACTTATCCGAACTGGACGGTCTGAATAACTTGGCCTTATACGCGAAATTCGGGTGTTTCTGGAGAAGTTTTCCCGCATTCCGAGCATATTCTAATACCACATCGAACTTCTGTTTGGTGAAACTTCGGTGCATTTCTTTTCTCAGGTATTTCTTTAGACCCGTTCTGAATTTCGACGTTACTGATGTCGTTCTTATCCGTGTAAAGTTCTTCTCCGCTCCGTCGAATGCGTCGATGATTTCGTCAATTGTGGTCAAATTGTCGCTGTCCGGATCTTCGAATTCTGCTTCATCTCCCGAATAATCGAGTTCACCTTCTCCATCCGGTTCGATGTAATTGGCCATCGCCAATGCATCAATTTTCCTGGCCTCCTTTCCTTTCTTTTTCGGTTTTGTGGGTTCGCTCTTTGCTTTTTTCCCTTTTTCAAGAGCCTCCGCTAGGCTTCCTGGCTCCACGGTTCTTGATCTGGTCGTTTTCGGGTCCGTGTGTGACCTCGTACTAACCGTCGACGTACTTGGGAGGCTCACCTCCGATGCTTCCGATTCGCGGGACGTTTCCCGTTTCGCTTTCTCGCGCATTCCTTTCTCCCTACGCTCTTTCGTAGTAGATGCCGAGATAACGACCGGTACGATCTGTTTTACAGCTATGACCTTTCCTTTGGATGTTGACGGCTCAGGCTCGGTGACCTTTAACTTTGATGTTGCCGATTCGATAACGAATTTCTTTGGAATAATAGGTGTGGATGACCTTTCTTCCACTTCACCGACTGCTTCGTCCAAGATTTCGACATCATGAGACGACGGTTCGTCTTTCTTCTTTCTCTCTCCCTTTTTCTTCCGGGTGTTTGTGCTCTCACTTTCATCACCACTCTTCTTCTTCTTATCTTCTTCTTCCTTCCGTTTTTTTAAAAAGTCACCTTACTTGACCTTTTCACGGTTCATGGCCTCTTCTAGTTTAGGGGCAACTCTTGGGCGACGAGTTTTGGAGGGTTTAACGACAACTTTTGGTGAGGCATCGTCGTCCTCAACTGCTTCGTCATCTTCTTTTTCGTTGGTCGATTCTTCTTCCGACTCACCGTCATCTGTTTCCTCTTCTGGCTCATCTTGTTTCGATGGTCGCTGGGTACTCTCCGTTCCTGCCATTTCGGCTACGGAGGCCTCTGCCATCTCTCCGACTCCACTTTCTTGTGCCGGATGTTGGGCTTGACTTTCCAAGTGCGGTGTTTCGACCGTCTGTCCCTGTGTGACGATCTCCCACAAAGGGTTTTTCTTCGCGTCATAAAACACCGTTTTATACGCTCCATTTTCCATTCTTCTTGTTAGTCGGAAATGGGCTTCATCTATTTCCGCTCGATGTCGCATCATACTGATCAATGTGTTCGCTTGGACTAGGGGATCTTGACGTTCACTTACTGGTATCAAGTTCCACAGCTGTTCTAGTGCTGCCCGATTAGCGTGCTCGGCGCTCTCTTCCGACACATCCCATGGAGCGTATGGAATCGGATCTCCTGTGATCGGGTCGACGATTACTGCAGTTACACATTCTGTTGTTCCATCGCCGAAGTGGAGTGTCAGCGTCACTTTTCTGCACGTCCCCTCGGTATATTTCAGGGTTGACTCGTAATCGTCTAGTGTTCGTTTATTCGGGTCTGGGTCTGCTGTCGGTTTCGGCCGAATTCTCTCCTTCGTCAGCAACTTCCCTTCCACTGTGTATGTATATGCCAGGTGGTCGTCATTTGTGCCCACCTTAATACGGATCCACGCATTTTCCTCAGTCGCAACTTTGGACACCACGTGTTTCATCATCTGAATGAGGACTCTCGGGTTATGACGTTCCTCCGGGGGGAATGAACTGTAATGCCTCATTAACTTCTGTCTTTGCCCTTTCTCCAATAGCAGTTTTGACTGACTTGTCCGCTAGGGGATTATATGAGTCAATCTCCTTATTCGTTCTTTTATCGACTATACGAGCGGTGACCTTTCGTTCGTTATGGTCAGTTCCAGTGTATTTGACTGTGAAAGTCCGGCACTTCGGAAGTCGAACTGAAGCTGCTTCGGGATCCGGCGGCGTGGGTGGTGCACTCTTTCTACCCACTGAAATCGGTGTTTTACTCGTCGTGACCTTTTTCGTCCGCTGCTCCTTCTTGTCGCTTTCTTTTGGACTTGTCGTCGGTGACCTTACTCTTTTTCCGCTTTTTACGGTCCCGCTAGACGGCTCTGTAACCGAACTGGTACGTCCGCGTACTGATCCTGCGGTTGAACTGGCCCGTGACCTTTCTGCCCGTTCGGTCAATTCTGTCTCGATTTTTCTCTTTGTTTCCAGGAGAGCACTGTCCGACATCTCCTCTACTGGTGCTTCAACTGATGCCCGTGATGGCCCCGCCGCGCTGCTTGCTGAGGGTCCCCTTTCTTTGGGAATCGTCTTAAGGAATATCTGTATCTTCTCGATCATCGGCGGCCATTTTCTGTAGGTTAAAGCCGGGTGATACTGTTTCATCGAGGCGATTCTGATCGCCAACTCCTTGCGTTTAACTTCGATGACTTTAGTTTTTTTCCTTCATCGCGATATGGACTGTTTCAATGATCGCATCCAGACTCATTAGTCTTCCATAAAATGCATGTTCATCCTCGACTCGCATATGAATTCTATAGAGATCTCGACACATGCGGTTGAAATCCTGGATGCCCGCTATATCAGCCGCTGTCAGTTTTTCTTCATTTCCCACTATCACGTTCAATCGCGCGTCATCATCTTTCATGTCTAGCGGGAGCTTAGGTGAGTAATCATGCACCGTTGGTTCACCCGGGGGCGTTGCCCGTAGACCATCTGGTCCGACCTGCTCCAAATTTGGGCCCAGCGATGGCAGTACTCCTCGCGGTCGTGGTGAATCAAACCGATTTCCTCCTCGCCTCCCTCCTTTTTGTGGCGAATTCCTGTGAAATCGTTGCGCTCCCAATTGCTGTGGCGTTCTCATCCGAGGCGTTCCGATATCTAACAATGATAGGCCTCCCGATTCTGGGAAAGGCGGCAATATCGGAGATGACCTTTGCGACTGGGTCGCTAACATTCCGCTAAATCCTCCATGACCCATAAATCTACTCGGTGTAGTCTGTTGCGGTGGCGGCATCAACATTCTTGCCGGTCCCATCGCTTGCGGCGGTCCCATCGGTGGGGTATACGCTCCTGGATGCGGTTGATAAGGGGCGCTCATTATTTGTCCCGAATACTGGGTTCCGGCAGGTAAGCCGTGGTGCACCCAGTTTACCGTGTCCTGATAAGTCGTCTGCTGTCCCGGATCGTGATACACATAATACTCCGGGCCGCCATAATAACCTCCCTGGCCTGGCTCGTTCTGTGCCGTTCCTGCTGACGACGTCGACCCTTCGCCATATGAAGTGTCGTATCCGTATTCACCTTCCATTCTTTTCGGGGTCGATGCCTTTAATGGATTTCCGATACTTTCCGAATCCGAATTCTCTGAATTCTGTCGTTCCAATCTATCCATTAACTGAGCTTACCTTCTGTAACAATGAAACAATAATGGTTAGCTGTCGTACGATGATGACCTTTTTACAGCTTCCCAACTCCTATTTTTAATGAAGTGAACCTTTAGTTATCCGATCTTTGCGTCCTTTAGTTATCCGATCAAGAAGTTCTTTATCGGCCGCATCTTCCACTTCGCCTTGCTGGGTCAGTAATTCCGTAGGAGTTATTCTCTTTTTCTTCTGTTTGACTTTTCGCTCGTCAATTGCTTTCGCTATATCCCGGCCCAACTGTTCAGCTTTTGATTTGACCGCTTCTATCTCCTCTTTTCTCTTTCTTATGAGGTCGTTTTCATTGCCGGTAGCAGTGCGTGGTTCGAAAAATTTCGGGTCGCGCTCTGATATCTCGGCGACTGTCTGCCGTTTCGAAAGGTCATCGACGTCTCCGGTAGCAGTGCGTGGTTCGAAAAAAGGATCTTGGTTCGATTCAAGTTCTTTTTGCGAAGCGCGTTCGGCTACTTCATCTTCAGTTCCTGGTGACCTTTCTGCCAAATTTCCGGCTTCTGTATTCAATTTTATTGTGACTGCTGTTTCGAAATCCTTATCCTCTTTCCTTTTTCTTCCTCTTTTCTTTGTTGGTTTATCTTCGCTTTCACTCTTGTTCATCCGAGCTTCATCCGTTTCGGGTAGCGAAGGTGGTTCGAAAAGAGTCTCTTTTTGGGGCTTAAGCTCTGCGTCTTCATCTGGCAGTGGCGGGTGCCATAACTTCAAGCGATCGATCGAGACCACCTTCAAGTCCGCTTCTTTCTTTGGGTTCTGCTCAATGACCTCAGCTTCGTTTGTTCGCGGGAAACTCAGAATCTTCCACACTTTATCGTATTTCGACTTAAAGTCGGACTGGTTTTCTTTCTTCCCTTGTTTCGTGTCCTTTGGTAGTCGTATCAGTACCAGGTCGCCCACTTTGAAGTTCGGCTCCGATTTCTTCTTGTTGTAAATTTCCGCATTCTTCTCGTAAGCATCTTTGATGTTGCATTTTGCCACTTCTTCTGCAAAAGTCAAGTTCCTTTTCATGGTTTCCACCCATTCATCTGGGGTCCCATAATCGTCTGGGATATTCGTTTTTGTGACCACGTCCTCCGGCATTGTCATTTCTCTGCCGTGCAGCATATAATATGCTGAATATCCGGTCGTGGCGTGTACAACTCTGTTCATCGCCGAAATGACATATGGGAGGTACTTATTAAACTTTCTTTCGTTCCCCGCTTTCAAGTATTGCGCCAAGCCGTCCGCAATCGTCTGCATCTGTCTTTCAACTTGGCCTTGACCTTCTGGGTGATACGCCGTTCCAAATGTGTGTTTGATCTTAAACACATTGGTGACCTTTGTCAAAACTTCGGCCGTAAAATGCCGTCCACGATCCGTGTGCAGGATGTGCGGCGCTCCATGTACCAATATCACATGTTTGACGAACACTTTGGCAAATTCTTTGGCTGTAGCCGTCTTCATTGGTACGGCAATCACGTATTTCGTCAACTGATCGATGAACACCGCTATGTACTTATATCCACGTTTCTTCGTCGGTAGCAATGGTCCTTTCAAGTCCGCATAGACCCGGAAGAACGGATGTCCGACCTTTATCTCTTGCAATTTCCCGGGTGGGCATTTCCTCGGTGTCTTACGAAATTGACATCCTTGACAGGCAGTTATGTAATTCTTCACGTCTGTACTCATCCGATCCCAATAATATCGGAGTCGGATTGCTGTCAATGTCTTTTCGAATCCCAAGTGTCCTGCCGCTTTCTCATCGTGTAATGCGTGGATTATCGCTCTTCGCATTGACAACGGTACCACATATGACCTTTCAAGTCTCCCATTTTTATCTTTTACTCGGTACAGTATACCGTTCCATAACTGGTAATGCACTTCAAATTTCGACCTTGTTTCAGCATCTGGCAGATGTTCCAATTCATCTATTATCATTGCCAGGTGGGGATCTTTCAACTGTTTATTGCGCAACTGCAAGTTCGAGTCGTCTTCCTGTTCCTCATCACCTTGCAGGTTGACGATGCGGACTGTCGCTGTGCTAAGTTCGTTCCAGTCTTTGATAACCTTACAGCGTGGTAATGGCTTATATCTCTTTTTCATCTGTTTCGGGAATCGCAACAACTTTATCGGACACTCATTCAACGCCTGTGCCACTTTGTCTGTTTCCCAAAGGTCATCACGAGTTTCTACCGTTTCGTCAAGTCCGGTGACCTTTCCACTATGAGCTTCAGTATCCGCTGCAAGTCCGGTGACCTTTAAGTCACTAACGGTAGGCAACCAACTTTTAACTCGGTTCACTTTTGCTTCCGTTTCAGCCGACTCTTTCGCCGTAGCTGAGGTGACCTTTAGACGTTTCTCCCTCTGTTCCACCATCTGCAGGAACAACTGTCCAATTTCGATTGCTGGTTCTTTCGTGTCGAACTCTTTCTTATAATCTTCAAAGTTCGGTATCTCGTCGAATTCTTCTTCCTGACACGTCGGGCCTTCAATTGGTGCTCTTGATAACGCGTCCGCATTGTCGCAATATTTCCCCGGTTTATATTCAATTTTGAACTGATGACCTTGTAATGCCATCGCCCATCTCGTCAAACGCGGGTTCATTCCAACTTTATTCGTTTCCGACCTCAATAGGTTGGTCAGCGCCTGATGGTCCGTCCTTACAGTAAATTCCGCATAATCAATAAACGGCTTGAATTTTCTGACAGCAAACACTACTGCCAGACATTCCCATTCCGTTACGCCGTAATTTCTCTCGGCTCCGTGTAAACGCGACTCGCGTATGCGATCGGGTGTCCATCTTGGGACAGTACCGCTCCAATTCCTTCTTTACTCGCGTCACATTCAATAACGGTTGGTTTCGCCGGGTCGAATTTTGCCAATACCGGACCTTCACATAACAGTTGTTTCAGGCTGTTGAATTCCCCTTCATGCACCTTTGTCCAGTCCTTCTTCACTTGTTTATCTTGTCTCAGCAATTCGTACAAGTGGCAAGTCTTTTGTGCGTATCCCATTATGAACTTGCGGTAATAGTTCGCCAGTCCCAGGAATGACCTTAATTGTCTTTCAGTTTGAGGTCGTTTGAATTCGGATACTGCGGTGACCTTTTCCGGATCCATTCTGATTCCGTCTTCGCTGAGTATATGACCCAGGAATCCCATTTGTCTCATTCCAAATTCGCACTTGGTTGGCTTAATCGTGAATCCCGCTTCGACCAAGCTCATCAATACATTTCTTAAATTCTGCATGAAGATTGCCCAAGTTTTTCCGGCGAAAATCACGTCATCAATGTACCCGAAAACGCAGCCTTTTCTTTTCGCTTTCGAAAGTACTTTATCCATGCACAACTGGAATGTCGCTGGCCCGTTGCAAACTCCAAATGGCATCCTTTTAAATCGATACATTCCATCTTGCGTTACAAAGGTCGTCTTGTTGATTGACGCTGGATCCATTGGGATCTGCCAGAATCCACTTTGCAAGTCCATTTTTCCGTAATATTTATTGCCTGCACACGCGTCAAGCAACTCATCCGGGTTCGGTAACGGGTAATTGTTCTTTCTCGTTAACTTATTCAACATGATGTAATTGACACAAAATCTTGTTCCCATTGTTCCGTCGCCGTTTTTCTTTACTGCCAGCACGACTGGAAAACTCCACTCGGCATCCGACGGTTCAATCACATCTTGTGCCAACATCTCTTCTATATGCTTTGTTATAAACTCACGGCCTGTCCAACTCGTTCTGGCCGGATTACATTTAATCGGTTTCGCATCTCCCGTATCAATCACGTGAGTGACCCCTTTCACATCTCCATACGGTTTCTTTGATGTCGGTAGGACTTTCCAAAATTCCCAGAAGGCGTCGTACACGTCATTCTTCTGTTCCTCAGTTAGATCAGGTCCTAGCTTCAAATTCCCAATTATTTTTGTCAATTCAGCTTTGGTTGTATCATCCACTTCTGGGTCTTCGAGTACGTTCTTTACTGTCCCAGCGTTGACCTTTACATTTTCCATATGTTCATACGGTTCAACGTATCCAAGCAGTTGATTTTTCTTCACAATCTGGTATTTGCTACTGTGATTCGCGATGACGATTGCAAAGTATTTTCCCCTGTGATCCGTCACTCCTGCCAACGGTTGCACTTCAGTTTCCACTTGTGGGACCGGTGTAAACATCAACTTATTCTGAGCCGGTGCATATTTTCCCATCTTGACCTTTACCCGTGTGCAGTTTGACGGTTTCAGTTTAATTCTTTGGTCGCTGTAGACTTTAATCACATCTTTCGACATTCTAGCCTTTTCTACTTTTAATCTTCTGACTTTAATTTCTTTTTCTTTTTCTTCGTCCACTTCGTCATCTTCGTCCAGATCCATTAAGTCCTCTTGTTCTGAGAGGTCACTTACACCTGAATCTTCCGAAGTCGTTGAGTTATCACTTGAGCTCGTCCATTCCGAGTCCGAATCGCTGCTCTCGTATTCTTGTGCAGCGGCTTGACCTTTGTCAGCCTTTTCAAATGGACGCTCATCAACTCCTTCGTCTTCTGATGAAAGGTCACTTTCGTTTCCTCGCGAATCGTTAAGTTTTTTCGCTTTCGAATTTTTGAGCAGAGGTTTGTCCGTTTCCTTTGCCTTTCGCCCATTTCGTGTAGCGACTCTCGGGTGACTCCTCACTACCCGGATTCTCGTTGATGACCTTTCCGATTGATCGGAGTTTGACTTTTCTTCGTCCGATTTTGGCTTTTCTATTCCCTCGAGGTTCGTTAATGGCTTTTCGGTCAACTCGACCGGCGGACCTTCCTCACCGTTATCGAGTGACCTTTCCCCGTTTTTTGCCTCAGTTACTGGGTTTTGTTGTTCATTCGATATCCTTTCGACCTCCTCTTTAAACTTCTTCCACATTTCTCCTCTGTCCGTTAACATGTGTGCAATGTCGAAGGCCGATTTTGAACTTCCTTCTGTTTCATTCGATCCTCCTTCAGCTGTCTCTTTAGCTGTTTCTTCCTTCTCCGCTTCTTTCATAGTCTCTTTATCCCCTTCATCCTGTTGGACCGTTTCATATCCTTTAGGTCGTTTAGGACCAACAAAAACGCAATTTGCCATCAGCTCTTCAGTGACCCAGTCGTCACTTGGAATCGTTTCATACATGCACCATGTATCCCCGCCTCGTTCTGGGTATTCCACTCCATCTGGATCTGGTGCAAAGGTCACCTTTTTCTTTTCCATTAACCCCGGTAACCTTCTTTTCCGGGTTATTTGCAATTCTCGCATTTCCTTTGTATCGAATATAGGAATCTCCGCTTCGAATTTCCTCCAGTATTTGTCGAATAACTCCCAGTTATCGTCTTTGAGTGCTTTACAGAATACCACCACCGATTCGTACACCGGTGTACCAAGTCCCGTTGGAAATATAATTGTTCTCCCTTGACCTTTATACATATGGTTTATGCGGAAGTCCCAGAACAATTCTATTCTCGCTTCTTCCCATAGCTGTACTTCCTCGTTCATTGAGTCGATCTCCCTTTCAAGTTTCCGCTCAGTTGATACCGGGTCAAGAGGATCTTGGATTCCGTTATCCACTCGTTGCTGCCAATGGTTCAGCCATTTTCCTCTCCCCGTAATGAAGTTTTTCACACATGACAGCCAAGTCCGATATCTGTTCCAGTGATACCGCTCAATGTGTGGCTTCCACATTTCGTTTGTCCGCATGATACTTTTCACTTCTTTTTGGACGTGACCTTTAAGATCTGCTAATGCAGCGTTACATCTCGGCCATTCTGAAAGGTCATCTTGGGAGGCGTCTTGGCAGCATTCAGTGCATTCCCATTGTGGTTGCACTCTACACGGATCCTCGTAGTAACCGTGTCCGCAGCTCCCCATTCGTTCTTCTGGAGTTAATATCCTCCGATTCGTTTGCGGTTTGGTGATCTCCTTCTCCTGTGTTGTAGCTTTCTGCTCACATTCGATTTCTGTGCTACTCGCTTCGTCGGAGGATATTTCAATAATCTCTGTTTCATTGTTCAGTTGGTGACCTTTCAACTGTTCAAGCGCTTTGTTGCGGATTTCGCTCGCGAACATCTGTTCTTCTTCGGCTATTCGTTTCAATATCCGCAATCTTTCACTCTTTTTATCCTTCCCGACTTTGGCCGTCTTTATTCCCAGTGCCTCTGGTACTGGGATAGGCTTTGCCCACTCCATGCCAGGCACAAGCGATTGTTTCGCTGCAGCTGTCGCCTCTTTCTGTGTGGCAGCTATCTCTTCAAGTGTTGGTGACCTTTCGTCATTTCCGGTAGTAGATCGAGGTTCGAAAGATTTCGGGGTACGCTCTGGTACTTTCTGCAAATCTTTTTCCTCCTTCTCATTTCCGGTAGCAGGTCGTGGTTCGAAAAAGGTCTTGCTGACGTTTTTCGGATCCGACTCTGATGCCAAATTCTCAACCGGTGACCTTTCATCTTTCGTTCCCAGTGCCTCTGGTACTGGGATAACTTTTTCAACACATTCTCTTGCTGTGGCTCCTTGCTCACGGTTATCTGCGATCATACTTCTCCCGTCCGGGAGAAATATGATCGCCTCATCCATGTCTGGCGCGAGCGGTTCCTTTCTCCTTTCGTTGGCTTTTTTGACATTTCCACTTTCACTTTTCTTCTCCGGTGCCTCTGGTACCGGGATTATCCGTTGGTTGGTCTCGTTCTGCTGCACTCTCGTCATTCCCGGTGCCTCTGGTACTGGGATGACCTTTTCTCTTCCCTTTTGTGTCAGCATTGTCCGGTTTAGTGTGTTTTCAATCTCCTGTTGAATCATTTGCGGCTGCTCAAATGGTGACAATTCTTTTTTCGCCCTCATTTCCTTTGCCTTTCCCGGTGCCTCTGGTACTGGGATTAGCGTTTTATTAACCGCTTGAGCGTTTCCCGTCTGTTTTACAAGTTCGGTGACCTTTCCGACTTGAACTCTGGCGATCGGTTTCGGATCATCTTCTTTCTCTTCTTCGCCTTCGTTATCCATTAATACGAACTTCTTCTCTAAGAAGTCGAATCCCAGTAGCACCTGGACGTCATCACATTTCGGTCGGACGTAGAATGAATGTTCGCTAGTCTTTTTCCTTAAGGTCACTGGTGCTACGCAATAATGCGTCACCATGAATCCTGATGTTCCGCTAATTCCATTTATCTTCACCAGTCTGTCTGGTGGCAATGGGAGCATATGAAGTCCATTCTTCTCGCAAAACGGTTTGCTGATCAGCGACGTCTCAGCGCCGGTGTCCAACATTGCGTTGACCTTTATGTCTCCCACTTTCACTTCATGAGTGTACGCTTCAATTCTTTTAGGCAATTTTCCGTTTTGAATCTTCAATGTGTGGATCTTACATTTCACAGGGATTAACGATACTGGTCCCGGATCCATATCGGGAGGCACTTGTCCTTTCGCCGGAGTGCTATGACCTTTCAGTATCTCCCTCAAATTGTCGATCCTGTGTGGCACGTCAGTTCGGACATCATAGAATTTCTGTGGCTTTTTCTTGTCTGCTTGTTTCTCTGCGGTAATTTTACCACTGGTGACCTTTTCAACGTTCTGCACTTGCGGATTTGCTTTTGTGCTATCCACGTGACCTTTAGTCAATTCGTTTATCGTCTCATGGATCAGTTCCTCTTTGCATTTTTCGTTTCGTTTATCTCGCAACTTCTCAATGACTCCACTTGTTATTTGGTCAGCTCGCTTCAATTCATCTGTTTCGCTATCTTTCATCTCGTTTGGTGACCTTTCATATGTAACCATATCATATCCCTTTTCGGTCATCCATTCAATCACCTTTGCAGACACTTCATTGTTCGTTTTGGTCGGGTCGATTTGTGAAGACATTCCATCGGTTCGAGCTGGTGACTTGTCATTGGCATCCTTCTGCAGTGCCTGTGACAAGTCCCGTGACCTTTCGGCTGCGCTACTCTGTTGCATTTGCGCATTCTCATTTGACCCTCCTTTCTGTTCATTTTGCGCTAAGTCCTGTGACCTTTCATTGCGCTTTATAACAAATCCGCCGTTTGACATCTTTTGTATGGGAACTTTTTCTCCATAATTCGACGGTTTGTCTTTCGGTGGTGCATTTCGCGAGTTATTCAGGTCAGCTTGTGCATTCTTGTATTCAGTTGCGTTAAATACTGGAGCAAGGTTCGGTGACCTTTTAACTTCTTGCCCGGTAACTAATTCTTCCAGTCGTTTTCTCTCATGTCGCGTTCGCAATTCTCGCATGTCCCAGTAATCTTCTTGAGACATTCCCACTTTCTGTTTCGCTTTTGGCGTCACGGGTATCCATATCCCGTGATTCCCATTCGGTCTATAGGCTACTTTTTGCCATATTTCCTTCCGTTGCAGCGTTACTGCATCCACAAGTGAGTCATCGGAGTTCTGCTGTTCCGGTTCGCCATTCTTCTGCTGCGCTGTTCGCAGTGTCAAGTCTGTTTCTTGACCTTTTAACACGGTGCTTTCACCATGACCCTTAGCGTTCGCCCTCGCTCCTTGACCTTTCACTTGGACTTTTCCTACGGAAGGTGACCTTTCATCTTTTCTGTTAGTGATATTCTGCTCCATCCATTTTTGCCTTATCAACTTGTCCTCTGAACAATTCCAGAACTTTGGCTTCGGTTCTCCGTAACAATCGCAATTTGGCCCATTCACCTTATCGTTTTCTTCCAAGTATTTCCGGAATTTCGCATGTTGCTCATTTACCTCTTGCGCAGTATCGTTCTGCGGTTTCTTCTGGTTCAGCAGCGCCTGTTTAATCTTTGCGTTCCGTTGTGCGCGTCGTTGCGCTAACACTTCTTCGCTGCAGTACGGTGACCTTTCATTTTGCTGCGCTGTTCGCAGTGTCGCGCTACCGTCACGACAATTTCCACTCGCAGTACCATTCTGCGGTGACCTTTGGTCCCGTTGCGCGTTTCCACTCGCAGTACCATTCTGCGGTGGCCTTTTATCCACTTGAACATTTCCACTCGTAGTGCCATTCTGCGGTGACCTTTGGTTCTGCTGCTGTGACGGCATTCTTATAGCCGTTTCGATTTCTTTTTGCAATGACGACATCCATATAGCCGTTTCTTGTTGATTATATGACGGCATCCATCTAGCCGTTTCCTGTGGTTGCGGCATCCATATAGCCGGTCCACTTTCGTTTTTCGCTGACGGCATCCGTATAGCCGTTGCAGTGGTCACATTCACTGCAGTACCATTCTGCAGTGGTGACCTTTCCCTTTTATCCGGTGGTTTAGGGTCGGGACGATCAGTAGGCTCACCGGTGCCTACTGATCTTGCCCGTTTCCCTGAACCGGCGCCCCACCTTGTTGCGCGCCCTGCACATTTCCTTGCACATTTCCTTGTCCGTCGTTATTTACCGGGACATAGTTTTGTCCGCCTCCGTTATTCTGGCCACCACCATTATTTTGGCCACCACCCTGTTGGTAGTTTCCGCCTCCATTTGCACCGCCTCGGTTGCCGCCATTCCAATTTCCGCGGCCGAAGCCTCTGTTTCTTCCTCTGAAGCCGCCGCGGCCGAAGCCACCACGGCCGTAGCCACTATTCTGGCCACCGCCATTTCCATTATTCCCGTTTCCTTGTTGATTTGGGAAGTTTGCCCGAGCCTGATACCATTGCGCAATCAGGTCATATCCGTTTGCCACCGCCTGACGCCAGCCACCCGTGTTGCGCAGCCGTTGCCATTCTCTGAAGGCGAACAGATTTGGGTTCTGATCCGGCGGCGTATTCGCGAACTTGCATCCTTGCGTCTGGTGGTTGCCGTACATGCAGTATTGGCACATCTGTACGCCGTTTGCCACCCATCCGTCGATCATCTGGAACTTGAATTCTGTTCGTGACCCTTGATTCTGTTGAAAGTTCTGATTTCCTGTGTTTGGCTGGAAGTTGCCCTGACCTTGACCTTGGAAGTTTCCTTGACCTCCGTTCCAGTTCCCATTTCCGTATCCATTTCCACCGAAGTTGCCATTTGGCATTCCCTGTTGCGGTATCGCCACGTTCGGTGGTGCCACATTCTGGGGTGCTGGCCTCACTTGAGCCGCCGTTTGTATCGCCGCTACCATTGCGTACGTTATGGGTTGTCCCGTCTGACTGTCGATAAAGGTCACCTTTTCTGTGACCTCTCTGACCGGAGTCTCCACGCGGTATTCAACCTGCTGTTGGACTGGCGCAGCCGTCATTCTCTGTTGTGGCACGTTTTCAACTTGGCCTTGGCGGATGGTTGCGTATTCCTGATTACGTTGACCTTTTGGCGCCTTGTACTTTTCTTCTCCCGTTGCCCAGTGTCGGAAAAAGTCCTTCACGTCGGTTGGCGTCCTGCACTTTTGTGTACGCAATGCCTTGTAGAGTTCGTTATCCACTCTACATCCTTCAATTAAGAATCCCACTGCTTGTTTTTCTGTAATGATCCTTTTTGCTTTGAACCGCATTATCGCCTGATAATATTGGTCGAGTGATTCTTTTCCCAGTTCAAATTTCCTTGCATAGGCCTCGCGTAAGCCTAAGACTTCTTCATCCCGGTCACCGTATTCATCTTTGAATTTATCCATCCATTCTGTTACGGAATACTCGATTCCATCCTCTGATGCGATGTCTTTTTCACTTTCAAACCAGGTTTTGGCAGGACCTTTCACCGCACTGGCTATCTCGATCATAATTTGGTCATCGGTAAGCTGGTAAGTTCTCTGCGTATCTTTTACCAGTCTTGTCCAGCCATTCACTGTGTCGCGACTGCCATCAAAGGTCACGAGTGGCGTTTTTCGAGCCATGGAGTTAAGCGCCTTTGCTAATGCAAATCCCGATTGCGCTTTCTGATCCTCTTCCTCTTCGCCACTTTCGTCGTCGTTTGTATTTCGCCTCTCCTTTGCGTAGCGGGACTTCCTTGGGCGCTCTTGCCGACTAGATTGTTCGTCCCGTCGTCCTTCGTTGACAAAGACGTTCGTTTCAATGTGCGGGGGAAACTGTGAGGGATCGCCATGACTCGGATAACCTCCTGATGGTGGCTCTTTGTCATCTTTGCCCTTGTCACCGTTCGTTTCATTTTTAACATTTCCTTTGCCGGTACCAGTTCGTAAGGGCATTTCAAAATGGAAGCTTTTGCCCGTGCCCGTTTCATGCGCCTTGCTGTAACTGGGCGGGGGAGACTCCACTGTTGCTGACTTGGCTTCGTATCGCAACAGCTGTTCATCTTTGTGTTTGTTTGAGATGTTGAGCGCTTTATTCTCATCTTCTAGTCGTTTATTCCTTAGCTGAAGCTCCTCTCTCTCAATCCGCAAATCGGAGTTTTCCTGTTTGACCTTCTGCATATGGGCATGCAGTTTGAAAGTTTCCTGCTGGGTGACCTTTTCGTTATCTTGTTCCATCTTTTTGATGTGTTCGACCAACTGGGTCACATCTCCTTCGAGTTTCTGATACTCCCCAGCGGCTGATCTCAGCTGATTTTTGGTTGTAATCAACTCGTCGTCCTTCGCTAGTGCTGTAGTGGTCATCTCGACGAGTTCAGTATTCAACCTCGCGATTTCCTCACTCTTTTGGTCAAGCTGCTGTTGCCATTCTGTATCCTTCAGCTCTAATGCTGTAACCATTGTGTCGAGCCGGAGTGCTTGAGTTTGCCACTTAAGGCCTTCCTTAGTGATCTTTTGAATTTCTGCCGTGACCTTTTCGTTTTCGTCGTTGGCCTCTTTAATCTCTTTTGCCAATCTTTCTCCTTCTGTTGCTGTGATGTTTCTCGCCTCGCGCATTGCTTTAATTGCCTCGTTGCGTAGCTTTTCAGCTTCGTCGGCGCGTTCCTGGTGACCTTTTGATTCACGCTGCAGAGTACCGATAGCTTCGTCTCTGAGCTTCAAGTCGTTTCTGAGTTTGAACGTCTCTGTCGCCAGCGCTGTCAATCGCTTCGTGACCTCTGTGAAATTGGTCGCGTACTCGTCTCTTCTAGCTTCAGCTTCGGTGACCTTTTGACGCAATTGGTCACACTCGTCCTTCAGTTCGGCTAAGTGCCGTGACCTTTCTGCTGACTCCTCGGACATGCTCTCGTTCAACTCGTTGACCGCAAGATGACCTTCCATTTCTCTGTCATCTACCATCTTCAAGTATTCTTCTGCCATTTCTCTTTGTTTTTCATATTTCACCTTCCATTCATCTGCCATGTTTTCCAAATAACCCCGTTGCTGTTCCATCTCGAATAATCGGGTTTCAAGTGATACCAATCTCTCTTGGTATTCCTGTTTTCTCTTAACCATCTGTCCTTCCTTGGCGTCAAGTTCACTTTCCAAATCTTGGACGCGTCTCCTCAGTGTCAGCGTAGGGCTACTTGGTGAAGGTGGTCGTACGTTTATGACTTTTCCAGTCTGTGTCCGCTCGATGAGGTGTTCAGGTATTTCTTTAAAAGGTGTCATCCCTTCAGCACGGTCGGCTTGTCTCATCGCAGACTGGAAGGACATATTCATCGTTGTTTCGTCATCCGTAAAATATGATTCATTCGATTCGTCTGAGACCATTGGAGTCGCCCAAAGGTCATCGCTTGCAGTCTTATCGTTCAGTGAAAGGTCATCCAATCCGAGTTCAGCCAGTTCCTCTTCGGTGACCTTTGTGTTTCCCTCCATTTGAGCCAGGTTCACATTTTTATCCTGCTCATTCATTCCACTGATGGTAGCATCCAATTGGGATGCTACCACTGCTTCCGCTGTCTTTTCTGTGGTTCTGTCCTCCCCAGTGACCTTTGTCTGGTTCATCGGTTCACTTCCCGCCACGAGCGCGGGGGTTTGCTTTCCATCTCCGCTGGAGCTCTCTTCGTTCTCTGTAGCTCCCAGCGCCACTTTGTATGTATTATCACTGCCTTTGCTGTCCTTCCTTGCAAAGGTCACCGCTGCTCGGGTCTGTCTGTCATGTCCGACTGGACGCGCGAGCGACTTGTATTCTTTTTTATAAGGATCCACTGCGCCTTGCTGTGATCCTCGGGAGCTCCTGCTTCCCTGGCTGCTGTTAGATGTTGGTTCCGCGTTGTCTTTGTCCATGTTGATCGGATAACTTTGACGCTCCTGCCAATTGTTCTCACAAACGCGTTATTGTATGGTTTATTCAATTGACCTAAAGGTCACTTTGTACTTTCGAAATCTTTCTAAGTCCCTGTTAAAGGTCACTTTTCGATTGAAAAATTTCGGCTAAGTCCCGTTTAAAGGTCACTTTTTTGATAAAAAGTTCGAGAGATTTGCCCTAAAGGTCACTTTCCAGACAAAACTTCGAAACCGTTCTTACAGTTCAAAACACGTTTACAAATAAAATCCTACAGCTGCTAATATCGCTGTACTACTATTCACTTCAATTGCACTTCGATAAAGGTCACCGTTTGTCGCTTTCAGATCGTAAAGGTCACTTAAATAGGTCAATTTAGTCAGTTCCAACTTTTTAGTAAAGGTCACTTTCCGAACTCAAAGGTCAACTTCTCAACTCGTTTTAAGTTAAAAGGTCACTTTCCAGCTCAATTAAATCAAAGGTCACTTTTCCTTTGTTTCAACTCAAAAGGTCACTTCTCATCTCAATTCAAGTTTAAAGGTCACTTCCCGCTCAATTATCTCATCTCAAATCAAATTTCCCGTTACGACTCGAGTTCAATGGAAAATCCCCATTCGGGTTGTTTACTTCATTCCTATTGGTCAGCTAGCTCAAATTATTCTGTTCAAATTTCAACCAATCACAGCTCAGATAACCGACCAATCACGTTACTCCTCTTAAATTTTATATCTGCCTGACGTCACGGTCAACGGCCAGACATGCGCGCCGTGTGCAAAACTCCGCCTACTGTTATGCTCAGCTCAGTATCGGCCAATAGAAATTACCAAATTTATCAACTAGCCAATCCCGTAATTAATAACGGTTTTTCTACCTGTTAACCGTCCGTCCGTTCCACGTTCCACAGGGAAAATGATCCGAATGATCCAGATTCTTCTTCCAACTCCGCTCCCGCGTCGCCGCTGTTCCGTAGCGTGCCTCGCGCTATTAGTCTAGTACTGTGCCGGCTGTGCCGTAGCAACAGTAGTGCTCTACAACCAGTTTGGAGGAGTCTGATCTGTCTTTTCCCGTGCGCCCCTTTCGGCGCTTCGCCTCTTGTGGCCCACGGCTTAGGCTTCGCTGAAGCCTTGCCGAGTATCAGTGACACCAGTGTAGGTCTTCGCTGAAGACTCTACACCGAGGAACACTGACGACTGAACTCTTGAACTCTTTCACAGCTGAGGAAACAGCATAGGTCTTCGCTGAAGACACTGTACCGAAAACCAAAGCTGGTAATCCACGTCCGATGAGACAATTTCACCGCTTGTGGTGTGCACGTTGCTGTCAAACAGACCTGCGCCTTGCTGGTCGCGGATAACGTCAAATAACAGGCTAACTTTGCCTGACACAATTCAAATCAAATCAATCAATTCAGAGAACCGCTGTCGGCTCTGCTACCATCTAATGCTAGATCCAGAATGGATCCAGAGACAGAGACAGAAACGGGATCTATCCTGTGGGTGAGCGATACGACCTGGATCGCGAGCTATGCGGAAACACAAAACGTCGCACCGTAATCGCTGACTTTTTATAATATTGAAAGTCTGGAGACCAGAAATCAACAAGTGATCGGCACAGCTCGATCGTAAATCGTAGAACCAATTCAACAGTGTGTAACACTGTGCAGCACGTGCTAAGCCGCGCCCACTAACACAACTCAAGCTAGCCAATCAGAGCGAGACACGTCACAGACCGTAATCCGAAGGCGTAGCGCCTAGCGCCACGGGCGTGAACGCTAGTGAGCCTCGTCTCACACACTGATATTGTCGCTCGTTACGACACTGACATTCTGTAGTACGGATTCTCAACAATTCTGACATACATGTCAACATTGTCCGCGCATACGAAGCAACCCATCCGAACCATTTTATGGCTCCGCGTTGTATCGTACACCGTGGTATGCTTGCAAGGTGAAACCTTATGCGTTGAAATAATGGTTTGTTTTTGACTTGTGTAAACAGTTTTTTAATGAATCGTCCTTGACAGGTTACAAGCCCATCGGGGTTAACAGTTTCTTGGGTTCCTTAGATGTCATGCAATCCAGCCGCATATTTGTGTATTTAGGCCCTTTGTGATGGAAATGGATATTTTGGCATGATAAAATTTCCAGCATTCTGACATCAGCACAATGTTTTTCATTTACGCCTATGATCCACGTATCTACAGAGTACTGCACAATGGCAACACAGTGATTCAGCGTTATCGTTTGGAATATTGGTAATTTCTTTTCACTACAGCATTCTGATTTGCTTGGTGCCTTCGCCAAAGATCTCAAATTACACTATTACGAAAGGCTGATTTTCCGGGCAGGGTGTAAAAACCTGGCACTGGCAAGTGCCTGTGGCGTTGCCACTGGCATGCAAGGGATAAAACCTGGTAAGTCATCCCTTTTGCACGCAATAAAATATGGCATATGCCAAAAAACTAGAATTATTAGACTCAAGAGGGCAATTTTTTCACATAATATCATAATAAGAGAAAATGACAATGCTGTACCCAGTGTGAATCAGATATCTTAATATCTTTTAATATCAGACTGAATATTTACCACAACCGCTTTCTCTACTGAACAGGTTACGATCACAACTACCGGTACGAGTAGTGATTGTAACCTGTTCATGGTACTTCACGATCGTTTTTGCATCAATCAGATGCACGCCGCTGATTACAGAATTTGAATGATGATGATAACAGTTAAAAGGTTGACCTTATTTTAACAGGTGCGTCTATTTAGTGCAGAATAACGGGTGGTTTTTGGCTTTTCAATGAATCACGTTACAGTCTTGCTTTGTGCTTCTTTTACCAAATCATACAGTGAGCGCATATCGTTGGGATGTTTGACTGCATGTTTTGTGTGGATGTAATTTTTTATTGAGACCTTTGTACCATCGCGTATAGGTATCTGTACAGACGGCGCGGAATAATTCCGCACCGTCGGTACCTTCTGTAAAAAACGATTTTAAAATAAAAATTTTTACTAATTATTGCAGCGACTTTTCAGCGACATACTCCAGCAAACTTTGTCGGGGCGCCAACCGGTGTCCATTAGGCGATAAGGATTTTGCATTACAGTATTAGGCGTACACGGCCCCTGCTAGAGGATTGCAACAATGCAAATCGAAACACGAAACACGATGGCTGCACAACATTCGCCTGGCAGAGAGGAATGTGCTTGGCATGGGACGTCACTTGTGTGGACACGGTTGCGCCATCACACGTCAGGTCTACGGCAGCAAACGCAGGTGCAGCGGCATCGGAAGCGGAAGAGAAGTCCCGGCTTTATTTGTATCTAAGTGGCAGATACATCTTCGCACCGATAGCGTTCGAAACCATGGGCCCTTGGGGACCGTCCGCTATCGCCATTATCAAAGCACTGGGTAAACGACTCGAGCAACACACAGGCGAAGCCCGTTCCCATGAATTTTTACGCCAACGATTGTCACTGGAAATACAGCGCGGCAACGCGGCATCGGTTATGCGAACGATGGAAGGAGCAGAACAGTTTAATGAAGTTTTGATGTTATAAGGAAATGTCGATGTTTTCAGTTATTATAAAATTACGTTGTACCACAGGTGAAATCAAGCACAGCACGGAAACAGTGTTTCGTGGAGCGGCGTGGTTTGCAGCTTAGTGTACGGTAATTCTCAAATTCATTCTTTTTGCAACACCGTTACGCTATCGATTGCTGATTGAGCCAAAATTCGTTAAGAAAATTAATAAGACCTTGTAATTCTTGTCATGTACGGGTTCAAGTACTAGCAGCTATTAATGTAACAGTTATTGTAAATGATGCCATCGCAATTCTATTTGCAACTAGTACAAGGTGACACCCGTCAACATTTTTCAATCTTATTACGTATTAAACGCTGTGGTACGTGTTTTCTGGCAAATGCCATATTTTATTGTGTGCCAAGAGGGAAAACATACCAGGTTTTATCCCTTGCCATGCCAGTGGCAACGCCATAGGCACTTGCTAGTTCCATGTTTTACACCCTGCCGATTTTCCGTTGTTGAATAGGAATTTCTGAATTGTCTTCAACTCACTAAACGGTGAGCATGGTCACTAGAGAAATACGTAAAAGGAACATTAGTTACAGACTTACAGTACATCACAACGGCGTACATATGGGTTATTGCTGTGCGTTTAACTGGCAGTTTATCCTGTCCGAGAATTTAAGTCGACAGCAGCGATCCGATTAGAAATGGCTAAACGTACTTTGTACATATCTGATAAGAATCCAATAATCGGAACAGCTGCTGCGTCCTGTTGCAGCGTGACACTTCCGATTATTAAGCAAGTAGATGTTCAACGAGCAAATACAGGCGGTTATTTGCTAACAGTTTCGCTACGCAGGAACAGGCCTTCTATTTCAGCACAGTTTATTTACACGATGCTCGTCCTTGCGTAAGAACATCCATTCTAAAACGGTCCGAATATTCGGTACACATGCTTCTTTTCCCGCAATGAGTTCGACAGTATTCAGGATACACCCTATACCAACAATTCTAGCGTTGATGTGCATCTGGCCGATATTTCCCGCCAAGCACATTAACCCAGGCTGCGCTTACCGCGAAATGAACGTTTTTAAGTGCGACGCCGATGCTTTCCATATGATTGAAGCGCGTAACATTTCGCGCATTCCCGCAACAGTGGAGCGAATCCATTTTGCTTGCTCCGTTGCCAGTTCTCGCTCGTACTGCTACGGAATGTCACAAAATCCTACTGCTCTTCCACGCCGGCACTGGCTGTATAGCGTTGTCATGGAAGGATTCAAGGCCACTGATGGCGGCCGGATCCCGATAAATAGTTTTTTAAGTACCAATGCGCACCATATTGGCTTTGTGGCGATTTCCCACAGTCAGATCGGCTACCTAGATCGTGATTTGTTCGCTGGGTTTGCGTCTCTTCATACTTTAGTTCTGAACTATAACGACATTCATAGTATCGACATAAACGCTTTCCAGAGTTTGACAGGCAACTCCGCCCGCAAGCCGGTGTTGGAGCATTTAAATCTGTTACACAACCGTCTCGAGGAACTCGACTGGAGCACCCTATATCCGTTGAGGGAGTCTGTGGTACGCCTATATTTTTTGGCGAATTTAAACTCAAACACATTTCGTTTTTGTAAAACATTAGGAAATTCTGTATCTTGCGGACCAGAAACCGGGACTGCGCTCCATTTACCGTAGCGGTTCCGCATTCGCAACTGTTATTCGAGATCTCAGTTTAAACAATAACCGACTACCATCTATTCCTGACTTTATACTGAACAGCATTGGTCTGCGGAACTCCAATTATCGCTCATTCAATTTCCGTAAAAACGTCTTCTGTACTAACACATCCAAACTTAGCTACGATTGCGGTTGCTGTGATGTGCAGAATTTGGTGCAGTGGGCGAAAATCCATGCATCGTCGAGCGACATTTCGCCGGCATTAATCCGGTTGGATACAATGTGTGGATCAACACTGAGGCGGTTCACCAATGATGCAAGCGAAATTGCATCGCGTTACGCATATCCCATTGCGATGATCGAAAACACCTTTGAACACTGTAAGATATTTGTTGAACGGTTTGAACAGTTTACAATGGAATATGGCATACACATGTTGTTTACAACCGTCGTAATTTGCCTGAATTGCGACGGTTATAACATTCGGAACAAATGCGGGTGTGCTCGTAAAAAAATATCATTGAAAACCTTTTCATGCACAGTCATGAGTTGCTGCTGTTAGTACAGCCTGTAAAACCTGGTTTCTGCCACTTCATGCATTCTTCCAGTGTCGACAAAGCAGCTGTTTGTGCTTTCCAGTGCTCTATAAGAAAAGCAATTTCTACAAATACTTCTATGGACGTTTACCGAATTTCTTTTAACCTGTTTATTTTAGGTCCTTCCACAGTCTCAGCGCAACCAAGTCATGAGCCAACTACGGTTGCAGTGCAGACAACTACGACTTCAGCGCAGCCAATCACAACGGCTTCTGTACTCGTAGCCACAACTCCAAAGAAAATCCACGCTGCCGCGTCTTCCGAGGTGTTATGTCCTGACTACAAACCAATCCAGATAAACTGTTCGGCAGGGCAGCTATTTATTTCTCAACCAGATCTCACTCAGGCTCAGGGCACTGAAACCGTTTTTCTTAGCGATGGAACTTTCGGTTGTGTTAGCAAACTTTATGACTTGCACAGCATGATTTTGGAGCTGCTCGAAATATCTCCGGAGACAGATGCGCAGACGAGTGGACAAGGTGTAATACTTGCGGGATGTCGGAACCGCCTGACTAGCATCAACATACGTGATCCTGAAAGATCTGGTGCCAATATGCTAATCTACTACACTGATTTGCATCCGGAATGCTTCGGAAAATTTACACAGTTTCTTCGCTGTGTAAGTGACAATTTCCTGAGTGAGGGGGAAGGAAATGTACAAGCGCCTCGATTAGAATTCGGTTTCTCCTTGTTGACCTTCAAGTCTTGTACTTCAAGGAAGATTCCCAGTGATGATCTAACGGCAAACTGCACAGACGGCAACTTCGCATTCTCCAAAACCAATGACTCCGCTTTGGCAAGCTTTGGTGTTCGTATTCGCAGTGACGAACACCTTGATTGCAGGACAAAACTGGCCTTGATACATGAATTTATTTTAAACGAACCAGTCGCTACTGTTGAAGTGCCCGATATGCCGTCACCCTCGTCAGTCGTTGCCGTCTGTCAGAAAAGTCAAGTGTTTGTATCCGACGGTCAACCAAGGCGATCGCGAAAATTAAATTTGGAGTACTATGCAGCACCCAGCAAGTTTTGCCGGCAACTTTTCTCGCGGTTTCTGTCACATCTTTTTATGGTCTGAATTTTATATAGCCTTTATGTCAGTTGGGTTGTACTCGTAATAAAAGTGATGTCCGTTCTTGGGGCTATGCGAGAGACCAGAAACATTAAAGTTAAACCGGTTCTGAAATCAGTTGGTTGGTTATAGTTTTGCTGTGCTGGACGCGATTCATCTATTGTGTTGCAGGGCTTCGTACCAAATCTGTGTTGTACGTAGATGTTCAGTTTGCAGTATACATTGCCACACAAATCACAAGTTTACAGTGAATACACCGTACTCGACATGTTTACGCCGTACTCGGCAGTTTTGAGGTAAAGAACCAGAACATCTGTTTTTGCTTCATTCTGCTTTTGCTAATTTTCTTGTGTAGCACATAATCCATGCAACCTGCTGCGTTTTGCATACAACCTTACTCATGTAACACTGGTTCTGAACCTAACCGAACACTCAGGCCATGGTTGTCAGTGACTGTTACACGTGCTGAATTCGCTGCAGAGAGCATAACAAATTTTTGGCTTGAGACGTCTAGAAGTTTTACTAACCTGTGATTTTCGAATCATGTTATGTATATTGACGTCTTTACAACATGTTCTTAAAGATCTAACAAATTTACCAAAGATAACGTACGAAACAGGCTTCAGCATTGCAAAAGAAAGAGATGTTGTACTTTTGCAGACATTTTCTTCACACATTTAAACCGTATTTGATTAACCAGTTAATCGACGCCCAGCCGCATCGTTTACAATGGACGAAAACAGCTGCAACAAGCTCGTATTGGCATTGTTAAGAGCGCTGGCCGTTACGGAGCAGTCGGTAAAGAACGCATGATAAGCCGGCTTGATGCGCCAATTGACTCGGCCGACGGCTTTTGACATGTCCTCCCTCCCGTACCAATTGGGATTCGTTGATATCATATCGTCCATGTAAACCGTGGCATTGTGCTTCGTCTTGTAGAGCTGCATGGGCACAAAGCCGGAATTATGTACCCACGCGTATGATCGATAATCTTTGATGTACTCCATCAAGAAATCGCGTACATAAGCAGCGCCCTTCCGACACGCCAGAAATCCGATATTCATAAAATCCAGGTTCTCCTGGCTAGCAATGCATTCATATGTCTGCAGATGGCTTAACAAGTTGGTGATGTTAGGCATCATGTATACATCAAAATCCAGCGCGATACCGCCGTGTTTGACGAGAGCGTACAGCTTCCCGATATCCGCCTCGTGGCGGATGGCCCGCTCTTCCCGACTGAGGCCGAACCGGCCGATGACATAGCGCCGCCGGGCGGCCACCACCTGTACCGTACTCCAGTTAGAGATGAGGGTGTTGCACGGGTCGAACGGCCAGAAATCGGGGTAGTTGGTGTGGAGGTAGATATGTTGCGGTTGGATGTACATCATCACCGACAGTAAACTGAGACAGTGGATCCAGCATAAGCTGTCGTTGACGCCAGGCGGGTTGGCGTAGAAGCGCACGAAATGGACGGGGTAGTCGTTGGGTGTGGCGTCGACGATCGTGTCGTCGGTGATGTCCGGGATAAAGGGTCCGTCGTCGGAAAGCGGCCGGGCGTCAGCATCAGGTAGGAAGTCGAAGTCGCTGACGTGCCAGGTGGGGTAAAACTCGGGCGCACCGCTGTTGAGGGATGCGATGAACAGTGCCGCAACGATGCCGCAGCCGATGGCGATGTACAAGGTCTTTGCCGATGCGTTACAAGGGAGATTCATAGCATACAATTTCTCCAGCATCGCTGGCACAATAAACTTATTTTTAGTCAGTTGGGATTGTTTTTAATGCGCTCAATCAAAAAACAACTGCTTATGGAAACTTTTAAGATGGAAAGATTCGATAAGGTATGTAATCAGTTCGGGATTTGGCAAATCCCCGGCAGAAGCGGGAATAACGGCGCATAGTAGACGTTATTATTGTAGATACGTGGAGCTATTACTCTTTGTGTCATACGCTACCGCACGTGTTAGCAACAGTTCTCTAAGTCAAAAATGAAGAATAGCAATTTTGATTTCGTCAGCTGGTGCTGACTGCATAATGTATTTGTCATTATACCAGAAGTCTGCTGCAAGGAATTTTCTTAACTGCAGCTAAATTATATTTGGTTCCCCTAAATAGCTATTTGTACAGATATGAACGCTGCGATAGTACCTGAAGAAGAAATAATAATATACAAACGTTAAAATAAAAACCAAATGTATATTCTTTCGCGTGCTAAATGGTATTATGGTCGGTACATAATTTAAAGATCGCTGGCGTCAGCTACGTCGTGCCACCGTTACCCGTTTCAATAACGGTTTCGAGTTGATGTACAAATTTGAAGCACGCCGGTAGTGATTTATACAAATTTGTGCAATCTTGACGAATATGCAGCAGCTGAGTCTGTTTAACCGCTTGGCACTCTCAGACACATTATCGATATTATTAATGATATTATTGTGTACTGTACTACAGAATATTATAACCATGTATTAAATTGCATATTATGTCATAAAATTTCTGAAGTTTACTTAATTAAAGCTAGTTTAGTTTTTCTGATTAATTTCATGGTTTCTTATTTACTTCGCATTAAATACAAGATTCTTGATTTTGCGCAAAAGATTTTTTTTCGCGGAGACTGTTCAGAAAACAAACGTGCTGCTGGGTAGACTTACAGAGTAGGTGATAGAAAATATAGCCATTTTAGGTTTTTTGATAAATTATGCATTAATAGAGTTCAAGTATCGCCCTTTTTTATGCGGTAATTATATGTTTAGGAAACAAATTTTTGGATAGTCGCTTTTGTTTCCGACAGAACCTTCGCGTTTAATTATGGATAAACTGTCTGAAAAACAAGAAACAGAAAACAAGGAAGCATCTTCCAGCTACAGTTATGGAGATAAGACACAGAAAGAGTCAAAAATTTAATGACGACAAATCGAGGGATAAAACTAGCAAACCGAAAAAAGCAGAATCGCATCGTAAACCACTGCGGTCCTCAGGAAAGGTTGTGCTTTTGCTAAAATTGTTCCTTATAGTAGATGCCTAGATGCCTTATAACACCGGTGCGTAGTTGTCACAGTTGTGAATTATACATACATTTGGTGTGTCATTAAGTGCGTTTCAAGAGGGCTGTTGAGTGCGTCCAGTGCAATATAAAATTTAATGATTATGAGTATTGTACCATACTCGCGCTTTTGCAGAAGGGGTGCATATGGCGGGAAATGCGCAAATTGCATTTAAAAATTTCCAAATGTGGGCGTGCCATTGGTCGATCGGGTAAACATGAATTTTAAACACAAAAAAATACGAACTGACCGACGGCTATGTTAATCTAAATAAAATAAGCACCAAAACAGTACAAAGTAACAAAGCGTGCTTTAAAACACAGCAACAGACAATGTTATTGACATTAATCTGCAAACTATAATCAACAGCTAAAACGAGGGTGGTTTCTACAGAAAGGCGAATTCAACCCCAAAAGCAGAGTCAGTGGTTTTTTTATCGCAGAAAAAACCCCATGTAACATGATGACACATTCTGTGGCACCCAGGCCAAAAGGTCATGAGGTCTGACACCTGGCGCTTGTTTCGCAAGTTAGCGCAGCGATTCCAGTTCATGGTAGCCGACCTTTTCTAGCTTTCCGAACTTTTGACTGCTGTCGGCGTTGCTGACGGGGCGGTGGCGGTTGTCGTTGACAGAAAATACTTCCTGTTTTGCTCTTCCTTTAAAATAAAATGAACCATTTCCCAGTACGAGGAATTGACGGCCAGACTGCGGCTGTTCTCCTCATTCTTCTCACACCAGTCGTTGAAGGAATGCCATGCCGGTATGTCCTTGTAATGAACGGGTCCGTTGTATTCCATTAAATGGTTACTCATCACGTAGTCCACGTAAAAGTTCTTCTGGTATTCCGTGTTGTTTTTGTAAATTACAAACGGGATGTAGCCGCTGTTGTACAGCCATGATGAAGGCGTGTAGCTAGTGGAGTATACTTGGAGGATATCTTTGATATAGGATTGTCCAGGATGGCACGCGATGAAGCCGGCATTCATCTTGTCTTCTTCTCTAGTCAATAAACATTGGTATTTGCCTTCTTGCCATTCTTTTATTAATCCTGAAAGAAATAGTTATTTTTGGTGTTTGAATTTAAAAAAAGTCCACAAGTTACTATTAAGTAGAAGTGTTAAGTGTTAACTATACAACATAAGTATTAAGTAATAAGTTAAAATAAGTACAAGCTACTTTTAAGTTACTATAATACGTGATTAAATAGTTTTCTCCAAAAACACCTCCGGTTTCGATAAAGAAAGCCTACGAAGTAAACTGTCTTAGTTATTCTAAATATTAGCCATTTAAAAAAGTTCATTACACAGCATTTTGCATTGGATTTGAATATATAGAGTTTGTCGCCATTAAAAGTTTATATGTACCTATAATTTTTGGAAGAAAGAAAACGTCCTGGTCCATAACGATCCCACCGTACTGGTACGCTGTACTGTACTTGATAATATCCGCTTCGTGGGCAATGGAGGAAACGATAGCCGCGCCGAGGTAGAACCGCCTCCGCACCTGCACCAGCTGTATCATGGAATAATTGCTGAACATCGTACAGCGGCCAAATGGCCAGTAGTCGGCATGGTTGGTGTGTATGTAAATCTTAGTAGGACGAATATACAGCAGCGCGGATAAGATGCTAACACACTCCGTCCAGCAGAAGCTGCCGCGATCCCCGCTGGGTGGATCTGTATAGAAGCGCACGAGATGCACGGGCAAATGGCCATTTCCTTCCGGAATAACAATATTGCTCACAATGTCCGGGATGGGATTGTCGTACAGGTAGTGGTCACGGGGAAGGGAAACGGTCGAAGGTGGTCCAGAATCCGGCGGTTTGGGCGATGCAGTGTGCGGTACAGGATTGTGAATGATTTGATAGCTCCGGAGATTTTTAGGGGGCGCTGCTGTAAATTCTGCAGGCTCCGAGCGCCAAAAGTCTAGAGTGAGTTTGAGTAAAGCAGCGAAAAGCAACAGGACGAGGACCGCTTGGACAACACAAGCTGCACTTTTCATCGTGCACGCCGTTCGGCCACTAAGCAATGGCTATTTCTCGTCGTGTTGTATCCATTCCATTCGCAGGTTTAACGTGAACATGAATACAGCAACTAGAATAAAAGTGGAAGAGTGGCTAATAAGCGTGACTTTAGATTCACTAACTCAGCACATAATACATAATGTATGTACATACGGCTTATGTATCTGTATAATATTGTAATGTATGTATCGATTCGGCAACATGTAGTGCTGATTTGGCGTTGCACGGTTTAAAAATGCCGGAATTATTGCTACATTTCAAGTGGTCCAAACGTAACTGTGAACTGCAACTGCATTACGCTCGTTTATGAAATGTTTTCCTTGATTTCTAACACTTAATCTAAGCTTTCAGTAAAAATTTTGTTATAACTGTCAAAAAGCAGATAAGCTGTAGACATAAAATTAAGTAAATACTAAATAAATCGCAGCAGTAAATAAGCCATGACTATCAAATTTGCGGCTGGTTAGTAGCCGTAGTTGCAATCCTTACACAGCATCGCACGCACAGTAGCTGCTCGCCTCAGTTGTCTGTAATCTAGTTTGCGCGGCTGTAACAAACTGTTATTATATAGATCTTTCGAACCGATTATCTTTCGAATCTTTCGTTATTATCTTTCGAACCGATTCGTATCAGAGGTTCTACGATGATCAACGAGCTGGATCAAGCGATCAAGAAAAAATTTGGCATAAAGTTAATAGATGTCTCGCAATGCATTTCCCGAAAAAGCACAATTAATGCGGCATCTACTTGGTTCAGTACTCTGTTATCTCCTGAGGTACAATCGAGTTAAATAAGAGCCATGGGATGAACAACACATATTTGATTAATTGCGGTTTGCAACTTATTGCATCTTTCCGATGTAGTCGTTTCGCAAAATGCGCAAGTTTCTTCGTAATAACACAGAATCTTATATCATGCGAATGGCACAACATACACAAAAATAATCCAGCAATTTTTGATTTATTCGGTAAAGATCGACTGTAGAAATCCCGTGAATCGATGTACAAATTTCGTGGATGGGCGGAGAAACAGAAATGCAGTCAGGGCATCGCCGATGCACACTGCCACAACTGATAATCAAATGAACTCGAATCAGGTACGTCTAAAGCGCCTGACAACACTTGGTTGATTGATTTGTTTGTTAAAATTTTGACAACAAAACTATTTTCAGGTCATTGTTCAGAGAGGAACGGCAGCAGCGACGGCTTCGAGCCAAAAGATTGACGATGGCACTCGATCGTTTCTATTCCTAACGCTACTTACGTTCAGCGTAATGGTATGTTGAACGGTGTACGGCAAGTGTATTGGACGCTAGACAGTTTCATGGACGTCTCTGGGTTATTTCAGTTGCAACGGATCACGATGAATCTCTATCAGGTTCAGGGAATTTTGGATCCCATTCTTTTTGCGTTGTCTTTGAGTATTTTTCGTTCTGCGCTTGTGCAGTTTTGCAAGAAACCTGCCGTGCCCAATAGGCACGCTCCTCTGATTCGATTGAATTAATTCGCATATTGAGACGAATTGCATATCTGGAGTAATTTTAATTCGGTTCGGTTTATTTTCCTGTGGCTACCAATAAGTTTTGTTTGGAAAAGTCGCTTTTTTTTGCATTTTTTCATGTTACCCGTTTCGTAGACAACTACAGTATGTCTTAAAATACAATTTATTAACAAAACTTGCTGTTCCTGATAATGCTCGAATTCTCATGCCCAGTATATTAAATACGTCGAATGGTTGTTTGATTTTCTTATATGTTATATCCGCTGCGTTGCTCTGTCCAACATTGCATTTACACACATTCAGCCGATAATAGTTAAGCTTCCGGTATGACGCAAACAGCGAGCTCATTCACATACTACAGTAATCAAGGATTACCTTACTAATTACAGTAATTAAGGATTACCTTACTACAGTAATTAAGGACAGATCAAAGAACGAAGCACCATCGCTCAAATTCTGACTTTATTTTGTCGATATTCACATACGGAATGTACGATAGAGCTAATTTTTCTTCCGATGACTGCGCACATTTCACTTCATCGCTCGTATGTACTCGTATAAAGCCGAACGTATAATTATTATACCGATGTACTGTTTCTCACTTTTATAGCACGTGCTTGTGGACGTGCATTCGGTACTATTACGATTTTAGCAACAAAATGCCGATGTTTATGTGGATTCTTTCAGTTCTATCGGCATCTACTGTGGTGCTCGGTGTGTAAGGAAAGGAAAACATTCTTTAGCGACTGAGTAAATGAATTAAACTCTTCATGTTACAGGTGATACGGGTGGCAGCAGTGGTGGATCCGCAAAACGCTCAAGCCACCGAGGGACAAATTGACCTCGACGTTCAACAGTCGCCTTCGCTAGACAACAGCAACCACCAGTCGCTGGCCACCGGACAGAGCAGCGTCGCAGGTACATCGATATCGTTCAACAGTAACACCAATACGGCTCTCCAGTTTGATCCCGCGCTTCCTGCCAACCCCGTTATTTCTGGAAGTAACTCAGCAAACTCCCATGGAAACGGCGTCACCGGTGTTATACAGAACAACGACCAAAGCCATTCCAACAGCACGAACGACGGTCAGCATCACTCGGTGGTCGGCCAGTCGCATATAACGGCAATGGCACGGGATTGTATTTGAACAATTACGCGAACGGGGAACTTTTTGCCTATCACGACACGACCGGAGCGCCGTATCGTACGACACCAGCGCCTTGCCAAGGTTATCCGTGCCAGGGTCGATGTTTCCCGGGATGGAATGGCGTGTCGTGTACGTGTTTCTGCCCACCCGCAACGGCTCCCGAAGGACCAGAATCACTAGTTGGCAGCAGAAGCGAACAGTGAAAACTGTCTCACGCGGCTGATCAGCGGCGGCGCGACGCAGCGCCCCGAGCAAAAACCGGTAACGCACAGAAGCGTGGACGGCCACAGGCTGGGAAACCTGGAAAGTCTCACGAAGCAGATCATCCCACCACGGCTCAACGACAAAGCTCGTGATAGAATCTGAAGAGTTTTTAAACGGCAAAATAACTCCGGTCCTTATACATCACTTAAATTACTGTATAAAGCATCTTCATCCGTTACGGTGTGTTCCAACCATTCCCTGCAGGACCAGAAAACTGTTGTAATAGTGATTAAAAACGACATGTATTTATCATCATTCGTGACGGCCATCGGTGTAGCAAAGCTTACATAAAAGCAGAATTTAAATTTGAATTTCCTCTTTGAACAGAACACTGAAAAGTAAATACCAGTAATAAATATTTAGCTCAACAGCCGAGCTGCTACAGAAAAAGGACAGGCGCAGAGCATGCATTAGTGACTATGTATAATAATATTATTATTATCATATCGTATACCTAAATCAATATTTAGATTGTTCAGAAAATATCTCGGCTACATTATAAATAAATTTGCCGCGACGCCAACATTGAAATAAATTATCTGCGGACTGCGTAGACTAAAAATACATTTTTAACAGATGCAAATGTGAGAAACGCATAAGTGTAAAGGTTAATTATTTCTTTCTTCAATGTTTAAATTCGGAATTTGTAATTAGTATCTGCCAGCGTAGGCTTGCTGTTCTGTTAATAGGCTATTGCCGGGATAAAGAATTATTTCTGTAACCGGGCCTACCACCGGCAGAATCCGAATACAAACTTTCCTTTCCGTGAAATTACAACAGTATTGCATGGTGCTCCTTATCAGCGTTCATTCCTTCCGGTGACGCGTTCTAGTGCAGAGGCAGGCACAACGGTTTCTGTTCCACAACTCCTCTCGGCATCATTCGAAAACCGCCACGCATAATTCATAGCAGACAACCACAGTAATGCCGCTCAATAACAATAACACAGCGGGTAGCTGCCTGTTTTCTGGAAATGCGAATGCCACCACCGCGATGGGAAGGTACTTGCTGAAGTATGTACGTTGCAGCGTCAGCATGATGACGCCTTGGCATTCTCCCCACAGAGCACAGATGCAGAATCGCTTGGTAACCTTTGACTGGGCATTCTTCTTAACAGTCGGGACATCTTCGGGTTCTCCATCACTTGTAGAGTCATTGCTGTCCTCTGTGTCGTGCACATTTTGGTGCGCCCTGCAAAAAAAGCGAATGATGCACAACGCGCATTTGTATTCCCCTTTTGCTTGGTGATCAAGGTTAGCTTTATAAAGAAGCAGGCAAATCTCTACGTCTTTTTACTTGTTTGATTCCAGGCCGGCACACAAAAGATTGGTCAAACCATGAAGGAAAATTTTTGAAACGATGACTATTTGCACTAGTCCAACACATGTAAAGGGCAACACGACCAGAAACAGGAGTGCCCCAAGCCTCAGCGTGTACACATATTCCGTCATCGGTAAAACGGATGACGAGAACAGCGAAAGCAGAGCCGGGTTGCTGGTACTCAAACGGGGATAATGCAGATCCATCCAGTACGACAACATAGCTGTAATTTGATTCATTCCCTGTAACAATGCACTGGGCACGATTAATAAAAACTATAATACAGTCAATACAAGAATTACGAAGAATTATAAGCGAATGTTTAAAAGCCCTATTTATACATTTTGAGTTTGCATACCGTTGCGGAATTGTCGCAGTTTGCGAAGTTTGCGTACGACCAGTACTCGTCGTTCTTCTCAGAGGATACCCTGAATTTTTCTTGGGGAACTATGAATGCGGTCAGCCAGTGGAAAAAGGCTGGCACATAGAATATCAGATTCACTGCGTTGGTAGTGACACACTGGAAACCAGGAAGGAACAACAGGCTGATTAATGTTCGTGCGGTTGGCGGCGAAAACAAGGTTCGTGAGTTCTTCGTCGCGTTCGGGGATGGGTTCGTCGTTCACGACACGAATAATTCTTGTCCCGTTATTTCCCTTTCAATAACAATTTTAGCTTGAACTCAGATAATATTATCATATTAAGTATGAATTATGAAGCGGTGTTCCTTGGCAATTATTATAATGCAAGTACAGTCATACGTTTTCTTACATACGAGTAATTCAGAGTAAGTATCGGGCAATGGTAAACCATAAGAATAGAAGTTAAAATAATCTATCATATGGTGTCATGCATAAAAGAAATGACTTAATACAGGGTACCAAATTCGGGTACAAGCATGAAAACTTTCTCTTTCGCCTTACGAAGTCCATGTCTTCGCCCCATCCCGAAAAGCTTTTTACAGTACATTGTCTTATGATTTGTGTAGCGAATAGCTTATACTCATACACGTGAATACCGTTTGTGCGCCAAAATGCGGTTGGGAAGTTCTAGCCGTAAGAATTTCCCAAAAGTTCAAATGCCATCTGGCGTACTTCTACCAAAAGACATCTGACTGGTTTAAACTTTTTGGAATTTCTTTACGGCTATAAATTCAGAACCAGATGTTGGGCGGAAAAACGGTTTTCACGTCAGTATGTACAAATTATCGGGCTCCACAATGTCATTGGACACTGTAAAAGCTGTTTGAGTGTGCGCGAAAGTGAAAGTTTTCATGCATGTCCCGAATTTAGTATCATGTATCGGGTTACTTCCCTTAAGCTTACTGGACATCTTTGTACAGGTCGATGAATAACATTCGTTCATCCACACTCCCCAAACTCTTCCCGTGCAGTGTACAGCCAAGAGACAGAACACGATGGCACTTGCCGGGAACACAGCATCCTTTCCGCATAGGTAACCGCTAAAGAACACCACCACACCTCCGCCATGGACGAGGGGCAGAACACACAAGAACATCCATAATACGGTGACGCAGACCACCCCGAGAACGATGGCAACGGTATGTCTGGTGACAAACACCCACATGGGTGTCGCCGGGTTCTTAACGGGATCACCTCTGTCCGCATCCCGATAGATGTTGTAGCCAAGGAACGATGTAATGCTGTCACAGTTACGGATGTGCAGCGTCCATCGGGTATGGGGCACTCCCCAGTGCCGATTGACAATGATGGACAAGGTTATGGAGACGCCCAACACGGCTGTGGCGGCGACGATGGCGACGGCAAAGTGGTAGCCCAGATTTATTTGGATTGGATTGGTTACGGCAGTAGCGGTCGCATTAGGGACCACGACGGTGGTCTACGGCTTCCAGGCGGATACAATGCCATCCCAGACGCACCCGTTCATCTTCTAGTGAAGAAGCGTTGATTGAATAGCGGAAATATTACGCTGGAATAAAACTCGAAGAGTGGTCATAACTCACTGAAGCGTCCTTTTTATTCTGATCCCTTTTGTTTCACTTTTTGCAGATAAAAATCAGTTAGTTTTTTTCCAAAATACAGTTTTATATTTACGATGTTGTTTTGATAGGCTTGCGAAATCTAATTAACACTTCGTTGACTAGCAGTTTTGAGCAACGCGGCTGACTTTCTTGGTGGAAGTCCCCAGAAGCATCCTATTGGTCATTAAGATCTACTAACCAGTCATTCTTTTTGTTTTGAAGAGGTTTGACCAATAACATTGCCCATTAAGACAAAAGAAATACACTCGCACCTGCGCCAGATTTAGTGGCGATGAAAGAACATGGGAACATCTTTTGATGAGATGTTCTGCTTATCTGCTAATTGATCGCATGGCTCCGCAGCTATTGTCTTTGCTTAGTCTATGCTGACCCGGATTCAACCTTTTATTGCCCTAGCGGTCTGCGCGCGCACCTGATTGTTAGCTGCTCTGGTCGTTTTCCATGTATGCCTGTCAGTCGAACAGCGGCTTCATTGGGCAGTCTTCCCAAACTTCCTAATGCGCCCGACTTTTTTGTAAGCCATCGGCAAAACATACATTGCTCAAAATTTTACAGTAGCGTGCTGATACTGTTTAGTACATGGCCTGATTTTTTCGACATCTTTCATTTGCGCAAACGGGCGGTGTAACAGCTTGAATGTACGGTAAGTGTCCCAAAATGATGGTGACTTCCACCATCCCAGTTCTGGACTTCCGGCTGCACTGCGTGTGTTGTAAAGAGTACTATTAGAAACTAGACGTTTTTTCACCCACACAGCCCAAAATTTGCTGTAAAATTATTTTTTTGAAATTAGTTAGTGATTTAATAAGGCCGGTTGTGGCGTGAGTAACCATGCTAGTCAACGAAGTTTGCACAATTCAAATGAAATTTGAAGGTTAAGTGTAGTAGTGTACTAGTTCCAGTCAATCAAAAGCAGATTTCGAAATATCAAGAAAGTAATTAAAGTAATTAAAGTAATTAAAGCAATTAAAGTAATTAAGTAAGAGTAAGAGTAAGAGTGAGTTACTTAAAGTAGTTAATTCGGGAGTTAAAGTTAAGAAGCACTGCGTCATTTGAAAAAGCAGTTTTATACATACAATTTTAAAGATCAGCCGCATCAGACTATCGAAATCCGTGTAACTATCGTGGTCGACTCGTGTTGCATCCCATTCCGGAAAGAAACGTGAGCCGAACTTCAACGAAATGTGGCATCCGATCCAGAATACGACCAGGGTGTTAGGAGCGTGGCTCTGTTCGTGAGGTTGCCGGCTGTACGGAGAATATCTTACGATATTCTGCTGTACGCCGATAGCCTAGTGGTGCCTCTCTCGGCCTTAGAGTATAGAGGACGCGGGTTCGATTCCCGCAATCGGCAGATTTTTTGCGAGTTATGTAGTCAGCAGCGGCCAGTCTGGCATGGTGGAGATGCGAGTCGTGTACGATCCTCGTACGCTACGATATTCATACGCGGTGGTGGATGCAGCGCACGAATACAATGCACACCTGAGCGCAGCCGCACAATCAACGATGCCCGCAAGGGAAACGATGCCCGTAAGGGAACTATACCCGCAAGGGAAACGATACCTGTACAAGGCAGCAGGCTGGATCGCTCGCTGACGCAGGAGCTCGAGACGTGACGCTCGCTGAGGGAGGGGTGTTAGGAGCGTGGCTCTGTTCGTTAGGTTGCCGGCTGTACGGAGAGTATCTTACGATATTCTGCTGTACGCCGATAGCCTAGTGGTGCCTCTCTCGGCCTTAGAGTATAGAGGACGCGGGTTCGATTCCCGCAATCGGCAGATTTTTTGCGAGTTATGTAGTCAGCAGCGGCCAGTCTGGCAAGGGCCTCCAGAAGTATATCATGATAGGGCCAGGTCAGAGGGCGCTTCAGCGCTAAACGAAACATCTTTCGCTTTTGTCCCAGGACAGAACCGAATTTAAGGTGCGACTAAGATAATGCGCAGCAAACACTAGTGTAAATCGTAATTTATATGAGATCACAGTCTCAGATTGTGACTCGAATGTCCAACACGAGCTAAGGTAATAACGGGATATACTCTAAAGGAGTAACATATAAAGCAGGGTACAATTAATTGGTCAATTACTGCGTTATAGCAAGATTCTTGTTGCAGAATTATGACGTTAGCCACGGAATCAGAGAACCTTAGCTAACAGTAGCGAGTACACAGTCCGTAATGAGATCATCTGATGGAATCAGAGTAGCGTCTTATAACAGATCCAGTGTCAGCGCTGTATATGGATTCCTTGCCCTTATAAACCTTTTGCAATCTTGACCCATATCGATCTGGGGGTAGTGTTATGAGCAGACAACATTCGGCTGTCTTACATAATATATCCGCCGTTTTGCCGGTTTCTATACAGTCTTACTTTATTTAGATTCGTTACTCGTACTGTGTATCGATTTTGATCGGGGCTATTTTCCGTGAAAAGCCGTTCATTTTTATTTAGCGGTACTATGTATCAGCTTCCCAGCCGGTAGTTAAAGGGATCAATTCAGGCTGGCCAAATTTGTCACAAACGAACAATTAGTGGGAAGAAAAACTGCAATTTAATTGCACGCAGGACATGACCTTCTTTTGAAGCAAGCCAGGTAATCCTAGTAAACAAGCAAACGGTTTTACTGTGAAACTGGAGATGTTTGACAAACTACGTACAGTAGCATCACATTCCTTAAATCCCGTACCGTATAGTGCGATCGGGTTTTCTGACAACCCAACGGAGATTATAAACGCTGATTTTACACGAACCAGCTTATGCATAATATTGCGGTACTTACCGAAATGCTTTTGCAGATGGGTATTAGTTCGCTGGTTCTCAAGTCTATTCCCGTTTTTATATTCTTCTGCATTTTTAAGAAATTAAGGGGACAGGCAAATACGATCAGCAGGAATTATTGCTTTAATTGCTAAGCACAAACGATAAACCACAGCCACAAATATTAAAACCACAGCCACAAATGCAGAAGAAAAGTTTTCGTTATTGTTCAACAAGCGCTGGCATTTTGCAGCAAGCCTTGACAGTGCTCCTTATGGTGACAGCAATTAGCGTGGATTGTAATTAATTGTGTACTGTAAATAATTGTTGGATTTAGCGTGACATATGTTTCAAATAAATCAACTGCTTATGTCGAGAATTTGAATAACAGAGTAGCGATTAACTTGCTTACAGTGCATGGGCAATTTTGTTGTCGAATTTCAACCTCTAGCGGTTTACTGTTTGATGGTGCTTGAGGTTCTGTACGACAGCATGGCATTTCACAGGAAAACCGAATTTTTATTTGCATACCTCCTCATAACATTAAATTAAACAGTAAAGTACATCGACTCGGCCGATTGCAGTATGCGTGAACATTTTCCGCAAATGGACTAACAAACCTAAGCAAGAAAAAATTATACCGGCTATGAGTACCGACATTTAAATGTGTGAAGCCAGTTTTATTCTAAAATACTAGTATCTAACACGTAATTAGCACAGATATGACAGCAAATTACATAATGTACTTATGGAAATATTATGATGTTACTATCAACTAAATTGGTACTGTTACTATCAATTACTGATATTAGTATTACGATTAGCAACTCTTCACGTGAAAACTGCTCAAGTAATGAATCAAAAATACCCAAGAATTGCGATCAACCACCTGAAGAACCCGAGCCAGAACCGTTAGTACATTTTCTGATAAAGTTACTCCGGCATTCCGGGATGATCCTCAACGAGTCTAGGCTTTCGTTCGACTAGTTAGTCTTTCGTTCTTTCTGAGAACACTTGCCAGTGGTGCAGGCACAGGTACATCCACCCCAGAATTCTTCTCGGAAAACTTTAAAAATCCCCACCAGTAATTTATACCACACGCCCACGATAAGAGCGGTTAGCAGCAGCAGCACCCCGGGCAATTGCAGGTGTTCTGGCAGGGCAAACGCCACCACGGTGAGGGGAAGATACTTGCAGAACAGTATGCGCTGAAGGGTCAGCGCGGACGAGCCTAGGAATTCACATCCCAGCGCGCAGATGCAGAAGCGTTCAGATACTGCTGGCGGGCCGTTCTTCTTAACCGTTCCAGCTGTACTTGCTCTGTCGTTATCCCTAGCGTTCCAAGAGTCATCAATGTCCTCGAGATGCTGTTGATTGCTGTCAAAAAGCACAGCAAAGAATATCGCATATATAGTTTTGATATTTTTATAATTAATGAATTAGTGCCCCGTTTCTAGCAACGGAATATAAGCCTTACATGATACACATCGTTTGTAATTGCAGCATTTGTTGGAACTAATTGTTACCGAAATAATAAACCAAAGAGCACTCGTGTTTGTTTATTATGTGTTTCAAAAATACCGATTCGTGCCGACACGGAAAAGTGATTCCAAATAGCCGATGAGCATTTTGCAAATCATGATGATTTCCGCCACAGCCACGCTTATAAAGGGCAAAGCGGCCAAAAACAGAATGACGCCCATCCACACAATGTACAGAAACTCCGTCACGGGAGAAAACTTGGACGAGAAGAGAGAGACCAGAGCGGGATTGCTGTCGGATGGCAACCGAGGATAACGCAAATCCATCCAGTACGATAACATGGCCGTAATCTGGTTCATTCCCTAGTTAGGCAATATAGACGAATAAACTTATACCTTGGACTTTGTAGCGCCGGTAGAGTATGTACGTTTTTGCATTGTGAATAAGACAGACATTAAGAAAGGACATTAAATTTGAGCGCAGATGTGATTTTCCTGTCTGGGCTCTAAGGGAACTGGCAGCACTATTGTGAATATAATTATAAAGTCTGCTTACCGTTGCGTAGTTATGGCAGCAGTCGGTGCAGTTGACGTACAACCAGTAGCCTCGGTTTCTCGCTTCACTTGCTGCGTCCACGCTCAGCTCGCGAACTACAACGGGTGCCCGTGCCCGAAAAAACAGATTGATGGAGTTGTGTACGGCACATGTGCAGCCGCAGACGACAAATAGGCTGATTGCCACCAACAGTTCCCACCGAGCTGATCGTGATGAATCTCCCGCTGCGGTCTTGGTCGACGATTTGCCAGACGTTGGTTGCAGTTGCACGATTAACTCTAGTCCCGTTAGTCTCCTTTTAATAACATAATCATCATGTCCGTTAATTGACCTTAAGTTTATATATATTTTTATCAGCAGAATGCTAACCAGCTTAACGATATTTTCGTAGAGTGTACCTCGCCTTTAACACCTATCTGTAATACATTCGCAAAAACGAGGCTCTACCTAAGATATTCTAAATGAAGCTTTACCTAATATACTCGCGAAGACGGGTGAAATAGCTGTCTTGCATCCACACTCCCCAAACTCGTCCTGTGCAGTGTGCAGCCAGCAGACAAAATACGACGACGCAGGTAGGGAACACAGCGTCGTGCCCGCATATGCGCCCGAAGATGAGGACTGTCAGTCCCGCGACCTCGATCAGTGGCAGAACGCAAAGGAAGATCCATAATGCCGGGAAGCATACCGCAGCGCAAACGGCGACGACGACCTGCTTAATAACAAATATCCACATAGGCGTGGCTGGATCTTTCCACGGGTTACACTCCCCATCAAAGTGAACATTATAGCCCATGAAGGATGTGATGCGTCCACAGTTGCGAATATGTTCCGTCCAGCGGATGCGGGGCATCCCCCAGTGCCGGTTGACGAGGATGGACAAGGTCACCGAGACGCCCAACACTGCAGTGGAAATGACGGTGGCAATGGCACTGTAATAGCCGAAATTCACCTGGGTCGGACGTGTGATATAGGTGGCGGCTGGATCGATGACGGTTGAGGCGCTTCCTGGCTTCCAGGCGAGGACAATGTCATCCCAAGTGCATCCGTTCATCTCCTAACAAAGAAATGGTTTACAGTCAGCATGTACTATCCGTTGAGATAAATATGTACTAGCACAGTACAGAGTAACTGCTCATGCAAGCATTCTTTATGTACATCTGTATGCAGAAGGCTTTTTCCTCACAGGCCTTAGGTTAACTGATGCTTCATTCCAGACCTAAATTGTCTTCCTGCGTCATTAATTTTATGGTTCTAATATAACGTATAATTGCGCTTCCATTAAGTTCAAAGAAGGTAATACTTTATATTTTTTTTGTGAAGTGCCAGTTTATATTATGTAATAGAAATTTTATAAAATCAAGAGACTGTGCTATGGCGGTAGGTAAAAAAAATGCATAATTTGCAATCAGTGTTTGAGCACGCATGAATAAGTATTGTACAGATACATACACGACCAAGCATCAGCCAAAGCAGACTATCCAATTCTGTATAGCTGTCCGGGTCAACTCGCGTTACTTCCCATTCGGGAAAGAAACGCGTGCCAAACTTCAACGAAATGTGGCATCCGATCCAGAAAACAACCAAGGCCTCCAGGAGAATATCGTGATAAGCCCAGGTCAAGGTGCGCTTCAGCGCCACACCAGTCATTTTTCTTGTTTGTGTGGAGCTACAATGAAATTCGCGATCCGGTTCGAAAAACGAATACTGCGTCAATTCGTCCACAAAGATCAACAATTTCCATAGAGTTCAACCGAGAACAGGCAATGAAATGGAGAACAGCTTAAATGTAGAAACGGGATATACTCTAAATGTTGAACGCAGACAATAATCAAGATCAATGCTGAAAATTCAGTAAGTCTGGTTACGGAACCCAGCGGTGCGCCTTGTTAAGAAGCTAACCTTGGCTTAAAGCGTTGAGACGATCAGATCACCGACCAAGTTTAGAGTAGCGCAATACATTTCACATTGCAAGCGTAGCACCGCTTTTAGCTAACCTCGCCCTTAACGCACTTTAAGCATCCTCGTACAATAATCGATCGATCTGGTATGATATCATGCCTGACGACATTCAACACGGCTGTATGATTTGGTTTCCAGTTTTCCACATTACGGTTTACCGCTCGGCCCATGAAAATCCGGATTCCCAGTCCTACGACTATCGATTCATATCTTATCCATTTTCCTGAACGGGCGCGTATTTTAAGGCTGGAGGAACACGTCGGCTCAAAAACTGCAAAAGTAGATGCAAATTTAGCCACTTTAATCTGTACAGCAAATGGATTATCATGGAAGTGGGTGCTGCTAGCACGCATGGTTAGGTTTTTTTGCAACTTTGTCCAGGTAGTACTGGTAATCAGGCAAACCGCTTTTTGTGAAATGGCAATTGTTTAGAAGGTCACGTAAAACGACGCCATAATACCAGTGCAAGGAAAGAATAGTGTGATTCGCTTCTTCCGACAATGTTGCGGCGATTACTACCGCGTCAATTTCTTAAAGACCATCTTAACTGGGCAAACCGTGTTAAGATGACTTGATGAGATGAAAAGTAATTCATTTCTACCAGCCACGTCAGACCATGGAACGATAAAATAATTAGTTCACAGAATAATATGAGTGCTTCAGAGCGATACAACATAAATAGTTAAAATTAATACGGTGCATCCTAACTCAAACGTTCTATTTCGACATCGGTTCCGGTGGTGTTCCCGGTAAATTAGGCAAGGGAGCAAAAGCCGAAGAAAGATAGGGATATCGTGCCGTTCCGCCTTTTTCAGCGAAGACCACCGCCGCTGGCGTAACTACGTGGACGTTGTGGGTGAACGTATTGTGCACCGTAACCCGCGGTCCACGCTTCGTGCAAGCCACAGTGATTCCAATGACGGTGGCCACTACCGCCACACATCCAATGACTATGCCGGCAAAAGCCCCGACGCTCAGCACATCGTTGGATACTGTGAACCATCAGTTCGTAGCACGAAAGTACAAGCAAGTTTTCCATTTTTCACTAACCGGAAATAGCTGTGATCGCTGATCTTTCTGTTGTAGTTGTGGCTGCTGAAACTGAGAAAATACAATGCAGCAGCAGAAGCGAAGGTGAACCGTTCGTTTCTTTATTATAAAACATTCGTTAACTATGTTTGAAACATGACATTCAAGAACTATACCGCAAATCCTGCCGTTACATCGTACTGAAGATAAATTTTAACATTTTCCTAACCGTGCGCGGAATAATCAATGGCCGTAGTCGTTGCTCTTCGTGTTACCGTTGTCGGTGTCTTTGTTGTTACTGTTGTCGTTGTTACTGAAATTTTACAGAACGCGCGAAGAATGTAAAAGCCTAATGAGCTGTTTTGTCTACTGCTTACGAAAATTCATCTTGCAACTGGTTGAATTGTAGTATTTTCCTTTATGCAAAATGACACTATCTAACCGATTACAGCAACAGTACTTTCAGCGCATGAAGCTACTGTTACGCCAGGTTATCAGGTGCAGAAAATCATCCTAACATATTGATTGACACGTCCCATTATCTTAAATAGTTGTCGCGTGTGAAAAACTTAAGACAGTCAAGAAAGCGCTTGCTTAGTACGCGCTTCAGCTTTGCTAGTCGGTGACACGCTGGACATTATACAGGATGACCTTGATTTCTTTGCTATCCACCCATTGGCACCCAATACCGCTGTACGTAATTTCATTGCATAGCATTACTTAAAGGTGGCTTCCCTACAATTCTGCTCTTATCAAGTGCAACTAACAGTACAGCACACCGTTTAATGCAGAAAAGCTCAATGTGCATCGACTAGTTTATGCTTCGATAAGCTTAGATAAGCTTATAGCTCAACAAGCCTATCCTACAAAAGTAATGATTGCTAATATTGCTTTAGCGATACATTTCCAGAAAATTGCAGTCGCTGACGTTGCACCTTTAGGTTTCGTATTTTCCTGTTTGTAAAGAACGCGGAAGAGGTTAATGAGATTCTGATGATCAGCTAATTCTGGCTAGCAACTTAATGCCATACTTCCGCTGCAGCCGCATTGGTGAAAATCCCAAGCGCTCCAAGTTGGGATTGTTTTCTGGAATCATACGTTATGACAGACGTAAGCTGGAATTCCAGAGGTAGCAGACCAGGGGTAGTCAATCATCAGTCTTTGCTCAGTAAATATCAATTGCAGGTATTTTCTTGAGTTAAGGGAAGTGGGTCGGTACATGGTACCGAATTCGTATACATGCACGAAAACTTACACTTTCGCACTCCCAAACACATTTTTGTTTCGGTTTATGACGTTTTGTAGCCAGAAGATTTGTATACACAGAAGATTTATGCAACATCCGGTTCGGGAGTTATGGCTGTTACAAAATTCCAAAAAGTTTAAAGGCGTTCAGGTGTACCAAAAGTCTCATTATAGACCGATCTCTCTCAAATTTTGCACGTAAATGCGCATGTCCATGAAGATCGTTTTTACACCGATCCAGACTTCCATGATTTTTTTCAAATTTTAAAATGGATTTTAAAATTTTTGAAATTCATTTTAAAATCTGAAAAACATGCTAGAACAGTGGATCGGTGTAAAAACGTTCTTCGTGGTTAAGTGCGTTTACGTGCAAATTCTGAGGGACATCGGTCCATAATGAGACTTTTGGTACACCTGAACGCATTTAAACTTTTTGGAATTTTGTAACAGCCATAACTCCCGAACCGGATGTTGCGCGCACAAACGGTTTTCACGCCAGTGTATACAAATCTTCTGGCTACAAAACGTCATAAACCGAAACAAAAATGTGTTTGGGAGTGCGCGAAAGTGTAAGTTTTCGTGCATGTATAAGAAATCGGTACCATGTACCGGCCCACTTCCCTTAAGCTAAACTGCGCCGAGAATTTTTGGTTACTTGCATAAAATTTTCACTACGCGAGTTATAAAAGCCGTTGTCTTAGTAAATTTGACGATTGCCTGCAAAAAAACAGAAACTGTCGTGTTGGCAGTCCTGAAAATCATCTGTCGGGATTAAGCAACATGAACGCTACTTTCAACAACAGCATGACCAACGCTTCCATTGGAGTTCCTCTGCCACCACAGTTTGGAGTTCCTCTGCCATCCGACCACTGACATTCTTCATCCTGCAAATTGTTCTGAATGTTTCTATGCTGCTCTTTCTCATCGGACACCAAACGCTGCGCACCGGATTTAGCGTGTACCTCATTTTTCTCCTCTCTTCCAACGTATGCTACGCTTTTGGGCAATACCCTATGGACTTTCTGCAGGCACTGTACGGACGTTGGTGGATGTCCAGAGCAGCCTGCAGCTTCTATTTATACAATTGCTGGGTCGTTGTCGCTGTGCCGATGCATATGCACGTTCTCATCACCATTAATCGCCTCTGGGCGCTGACCTTTCCTTTGGCGTATCGCACTCTGCACAACACTAAAGTGGCGTGAGTGGGGGGTCTGCTTTCTTTAGTCATGGTAGCGTATGTGCATATTGTGTGCTTTCCGATGTTTGTTATCAATGAGCTCTATTACCGGCCAACACCGGAAACGCTTGGTTGCTATTTAAATATGGATAAGCAAAAGCTGTACTCCAAAATAGTAAACATCGTTGTATTTAATTTGCCCAATGAAGCCTTTGTTTTTTCTTATCCGTACATTCTGTACAAATATCTTAATGTACGGCGAATGAGAAATTCAATTGGAGCATCGCCAGTTCTGGCTGAAGGATCTACTAACCAAACAAATTTGAAGAAGGTGCGTTGTAGTTTCCTCGTCGATATATAGCTTTGCTTTGTGGGTTTTGTGGCGCGTAGTTGAAACTAATCTTTTTAGGAGGTTTTTATACAGAACTTAACCGTATCAACCGCTGCGAGTCAGAAGATTGATGGTGGCACTCGACCTTTTCTGCTCTTAACGCTGCTCACATGCAGTATAGCCCTATGCTGGACGCCTGTTCAAGTGTACTGGATGCTGGACAGCTTCATGGACGTCTCCGGATTTACCCAGTTTCATAAAATCACGATGGTGTTGTATCCGGTACAGCCAGTTTTGGATCCAATAATTTTTGCGCTGTCTTTAAGCAGTTTTCGAACGGCTGTGATACGGTTTTGGAGAAAGACTGCAGTGTCTAATGGACATGCTCAGGAAATTCTTCAGTTAAGATGATCATGCCTTTGGTGTCGACGCTTTTATCTATTTAAGGGTTTTTGAAATGTATTTTTTCTGAAATCATCATTTCTGATTCTCATGTGACGAGATCATGAATTTCTCATTTTGAACTTCGCAAATGTTTCAGAGACTGGTTATACAGTATTGAGGTGCAATTTGCAAATAAATCTCAGGTAATCAAAAAAGCTGGTACATAAATGAGCCAAAAATGGTAGGCTTTGCCCATTATTTTAATCAGTACCGCTTTAGGGATCAATATATTAATCGCTTTACCGAACTGACAGCCTTTTGGGGCGGGCGGGTACATAAAGATTTACAGCTGACTGTAATGCAGTCTTCGCACTGACTGAGTATTCCAGTCGCACGATATGCAATTGTGTTGAAATCCGCATAACGAATTTTATTAATAATTATCAAGAACCGCCGAGCTTTCATGCAAAATTTAGTATTTTACTAAATAGTATTTTACTAATTTGTTTAGTAGTATTTGCGTGCAATTTTTTTATATTATCTGCTTTGTTGTACTCCATGTTAATTTTGACTTTGAAAGCTCGTTTGCCACTGAAAGCTCGTTTTTGGACGCATTGGAAGAAAGAAAAAACTCCGCCCGTTAAAAAGCCGTCTAACTCTCAGAAGAAATGATCTCTTTTTTTGGGAAAAGATATTGAGTGAAACAGATTTTTTAATGGAAACGTTTTTGTAAGACCGGTGCTGGTCGCCGGTTAATTTTATGACAAAGATGTTAATAGAGCCGGTAGTCTTGTGATGGCTACCGAAATTTATGTATGTTCGAATTTTTAACTATTTCTGACGTTCTGTTTTTCTTAATAAATGTTCTTAGGAATTGCAATATCTGTTTATGAGAATCTAAAAATTATTTTTTTAAAAAGGCCTGCACGTCAAAAGTTAAGTTTCGGGTGATTAATATATTGGTCCGTACAAGGGAAGTGATTGAAATAATGGGCAAAGCGAAGTATGCGACAGAAGGGCCCCTTCTGTCGCATATGTATACCATTCTGTCGCATATATTTCACAAGTGTAATACTGGTTTCATTTTACAACAGCGGCAGCAAAAAGTATTAATAATAAGCAATAAGAAAGCGCAGCCATCAACCACATACAAACAGTTAAAGCATGGATCATATGCTGTATAGGGATGAAGACAATGTGATTAATTGAGTTTATAAGGGAATCTCGGATGCATACGTAAATCAGATGCTGCGACACAAATGGGTTATATACAAAGTATGTACGAGTGTCGTATTTGCATGTGGCATACTCTACATGTATATGTCAAACTGCTGTCTAAGTAAAAAACTTCAAAACATAAACGATAATCCTCAAAAACGATAGATCACCTGAAAAAAACCCGAAACAAAACTGCATTCTTTTCTGCAAAATTTAGCTGTACGACACTTCATGGTTCTCTGTAACAGTTTTCACTCCTCCCGGTGACTCGTGCTCGTAGAAAGACGGTTGCCTCCTTTCAGACTTCCTCTCGGTACCATTTGAAAACCGCCACCAATAGTTCATAGCCGACAGCCATAGTAATGCCGCTCAGTAGCAATAAAACCGCGGGCAACTGCGCGTGTTCCGGAAGTGCGAATGACACCACCGCGATGGGAAGATACCTCCAAAAGTATAAGCGCTGAAACGCCAGCATCCAGAAGCCTTGTCGTTCTGCCCACAAAGCACAGATGCAGAATCGCTGATCAGCCGTCGATTCGGCGCTCTTTTTAACACTCGGAACGTCGGCGCTTGCCCGTTCGCTTGAAGAATTATTATTGTCTTGGAATTCTTGATGTGCGCTGCTAAAAAAAATAAAAAAATGAAATTACTACGGTAGTGATTCTAGAGTAATTGCATTTGTTTGCCAGACATTGCTGAAAAGCTTCACTAGCAACGGTTAAACAATCTGAAGTTTTGTTAAGGGGAGACCTGATACAAATAAGGTGGTTTTGGTAGTTTGCTTTAATGAAGAGTAATTCCAAGTGTTGTTAACATTGTAATTGTAGCTTCTTATATACTCAGTAAAACAGTCAGATTGACTAAACTTCTGAGTAACAACTTCGCCTTTAAGGCCGGTGTATGACAAAGGGGCTGGGTGCCAACATGAGTAACAGACATTAGTAACGGTTACACTCATTTATTCTAACACCCCCCTTCACCCAGTCCGCGGTCATTCAGTCCATGCATCCCGAGCAGTCCGGT